AGACATGGGCAACAACTCTTGCCCCCAAAAGAGCTGAGTGTTGAAACAAGGGATGTAACTGTAGTTTATATTTTAATTGCCTGGGATCAATAGACAATAAAATGGATTATATTCAGTCTAAATTGTGTTTGTTTCTTGTATTTACTCCAATAAATAACACTTGGTTTAAAATTATTTGAACCACTGTTTGAGTTTGCTCCCCTGGAACTTATACCAGAATTTATTGTGCGATACCACGAAACATGGTTGTGACTGCAGTATGTGACACTGCTGTTGTTCTCCAAGGAAATATCATCTTTGCCGATTAGATGAAAATGACCGGTCTTTTATTGTTTATCCTTGCTTTACGATGAGTTTGTTTATAATAGCTAAGTTGGCACCTTGCTGAGCTGACCGTGTAAAATGGTGCAGGAAAACATTGCGATGGACGACATGTTTTCAGTTTTGCTCTGTTGTTCTCAGTGTCTGAAAGTGAATGGATGCACGGACTCACTTCAGTTCAAGGTGGCCTACGTAATACAAACAAACATGTTCATTGACAGAAGGTAAATTAGGTCTGCCTCCACCAGTAAAACTTACAAGTTGCTGTATTGTCATTGTAATGTTGCAACTTAAAGTATATGTACGAAGATATCAAATATAATCTAGAAATCAGACTTGTTCATAATCAGGTAACAAGGTACCCAAGGATAAGGTTATTCTGTTACAGAAAATGTGACCTTTAGCTTGAATGTCAAGGCTATCTTTCAATATGTCCAAATATTACATCTCTTCCAGATGTATTTCTGAAATCCTTTGTGCATTATTCCAGGCACTTTTGTAGGACCTCAGACTTTATGCTTTTTCCCATGGAAGAATCCAATGTCCCTGGTGGTATTTGAGCCCACTGGGTTGAGGGCCAATGAAGTCAGTGACCTTAACCACTCACTCACAGATCCAATATGTAAAATAAACGTGTTATCCAGATGTATATTTGTTTTGGGGCACTAACACAATTTTGGTCATGGCAAACCCATTTAGTCGCCTCTAACAATCATGCAGGGATAAATGGTGGCTGTCATTCCTTAAAGGCCACACTTCAGCCACTAGAGGAGGATGTATGTTAAGTCCATATTTAAGGGCTGTAGCTTAAATGGAAAAGGTTAAAGTTACAAAAACAACATGGAGTGAAAGTGTAGTCTTCAAAAAGTACATAATTATACAAGAAATATGCTCAAGACTCTAAATTTATTACACAGACATAATGTACAATTAAATAAAGAATGAAATACTTGAATATAATCACAAGTTTAGAAAACACAAAACAATGACTATAATTCAATCAAATTATACAATTACACCACTTTTTTTTTAATTGGTTAAAATATGGCTTCAAAACATATTACATAATTAACAAAATGTCCAAATTCATTTGAAAACCAATGATAAAAGAAAACAGTTTTTCTACTGACACTCTTCATAATTTATTTTCTCAATATAAACAAACAAATGCCATCATTTTTTATAGATAGATGAATATTAATGAATAATTCAATCAATATTCATTCACCATTCATGTTAATAAAAAAAATCTATGAATATTGAAGAATAATTTCATAAATATTCATGACTTATTCTATCTCAATATTCATAAATCCATTAATATTCATAAATAATTATCAATATCATAAGCAATATCATAGCCATTTCTATCATTATTCATGAATCTTGAAGAAAAAATCTGAATATTGAGAACAAATATTCATAAATATTCATGACTTATCCTATAAATATTCATAATTCCTCAACATTCATGAATAACTATCAACATAGTATGAAATTTTCTATCAATATTCATGAATCTTGCACATGCACTACAACAAAACTGAGATTATGAAATTAATGGTACATGTACATAAAGTAACAAAATGAGATTCTACGCCATTTAAATTTTGACAAGGGTTTTCTTGTTCTTTTTGACTGGTTTTATTTGGCCCATATAATTTATTCTCAACTGGTTTTGACTGGTTAAAGCATAATAAAATCTGAAAAATTGCTACAGAAACAATGAACTTCAAAAGAATAAACAACAAGCAAAAATTTAACCAGAATCAAGTTGTATTTATCCAAACAAAGCCAACAGACAAAACACATAAAATACTAATAATGCTCTGAAACCTCGGCAAATGTGGGTTTTTCCACCCATCTAATCCCTCGGAACAAACTTTTACAGTTAACAATTCATCCAATATACAGATAATTAGTAGACTTTAACCATCTAATTGTAAATGGTAATGCATTGTGAAGTTACAACAGTGACAATTTGTTTGTCCCCTAAGATAATATGAGAAAAACCAACATTGACCGTGACCCAGATAACATCTTTTCATTTTTGGGTAAAGATAAACTGCAAAAATTTCATATCTGTGAAGAAGCTGATACCTTAGAGTAAAAGCCAATCAGAAACTAGTATTCTTAATAACTAGCCAATCAGAAGTGTTCCTAATTGCGGACCAATCAGTAACTGGCATTACAAAAAACTTGCCAATCAGATGCTAGATTATCATTGATTGTAGCCAATCACAAGTTCTGGTTTATAAACTGTTTCCATCCAAACAAATGTCTGAAACTAAACTAATTTAAACAAGATCAAGACAAATCATTATTCATTAAATAATCATGCAACAAATATGAAAATATACAATAAATACTTCCCACACTGCATTTATGCAATGAAAATTTTAATAAAGTAAAAGAAATCAAATTTAAAACCTTACCAGAGGCAAATATCATGAAATTATAGTTTTTTTAATAAAAAATCTTATCTCAAAATCACATTTATTTAAAAGAATATACTTATAATCATATCCAAAAAATAGTTTAAAGTGCTGAAATTTAAATTCTGCAGTTTTTACAAAGTCCTGGATTTTGAATTTTTGACAAGAATGAAATTTCAATAATGTCTATGAAAATAGTTTTGGAAACAAAAACTCCCACTATGCATGCTCATAATTTACAAGCAGGGTGGCGTACCCACGCGACTTTAGCCTGTAGTGCACTGCAGAAAATAACCCTCTTTCAAGCAGGTTTTTTGTAAATATTTCTTTAACAGCAAAGTGATTTTCTTTAATACATAAATTGCAAAAACTTTTCTTTCTTTGGTTGTTACCAACTTTGTTTCAGGTATTTATGATTTTCCATAATTTTTTTCGAAGAGAATCAGTCCACATGGCAATTTTATGGATTATCAGTTGGGAAAAGACAGTGAAAAATCAGCAAGACTTCATGTAAAGCCAGTAACAAATGTAGGGCTTTGTGTGTTTTTTACTGTCTTACTTGAAGAAAATCACAAAATCTTAACAAGAAACGAGGCCTTTTTTGAAACTTTTTGTCATGCACTTTGTCCAATAGTCATGTGGGTTCGCTACACTGACAATGTCCATGTATATTTAACTATCATTAAAAAAAAACATACAAAATTACATACACGTACTTAACAAATCAGACATGCCCACCCTATTTAACACTTATGAATGATGATTAATTGTACAAAAAAAAGTCATGTAATGCCCTTTTCAAGCTCAGTGTGTATTGTTATGCACCTTTTCAAGCAGTTTGAATTGTTCTGCCCCTTTTCAAGGATAGTTTGTATTGTTGTGCACCTTTTCAAGCAGTTTGAATTGTTCTGCCCCTTTTCAAGCATTGTTTGTATTGTTCTGCCCCTTTTCAAGTGCAGTTTGTATTGTTCTGCCCCTTTTCAAGCACAGGTTGAATTGTCCTACTCCTTTCAAGCACAGTTTGAATTGTTCTGCCCCTTTTCAAGTGTAGTTTGTATTGTTCTGCTCCTTTTTTAAAACACAGCCTGTATTGTTCATAAATTGTTCATCTTCCATCAAATCTTTGTGTTCTCTAACACAAGTTGCTCCGCTCTGGCCCACATTTTCCTCCTTCAATTCTAATGACAGATCCTGTATGGAATAAGCATAAGTAAAACATCATAAACTGGAAGAAGCATTAATAAAACATTTCAAATGGAGTAAGCATAAGTAAAATATCTTTAAGTATGGTAGTATAATCACATGTATGGAGCATAGCTAAAGTAAAGTAAACATGCCTTTATGGACTATTATAGACTATCCTGTCCACAAAGTATTTATAGAATGACAATTATATGTATGGAGTAAGCATAAGTAAAACATTGTCAAACAGAATGGAAAATGCGTATATAAATGTAATATTCTACATGGAGTAAGCATTACCAAAACACCAGTTTTAAAAAAACTCCCGAGGGAGCAAATTGTTAACATACATGTAAGTTTGTTTTTAAAATAATGTTGAGATGAAACAAGTTAAGCAATATGTAAGACTTTACATTAAGACACAAAAGCATGAGAAAAATCAGAAAAAAAACTGTTTGTATGAAATCGTAGAACAAGTTCTGGTTAAATCAGAGTTTTCTATAAATGCTGCAGGTATAAATGTGGGACTGGGTAAAAGATGATGATAACATTGACAACCTAGCTTCTTGTTTAAGCAGGCTTTGTGATTATAGAGGTCTTTATGCTGGACTACCAACTTCTTGCCTGAAGTATCTGCTTCAACAAACTCATGCATTTTGTATTTCCAGTTTTTTTTTGCTTTTTTTTTTAATTTTTTTTTTTTTGTTTTTTTTTTTTATCATTTTTTTTTTGTTATTCCTTTTACTTTGCTTCATCAAACTCATGCATTTTGAATTTCTATTTTTTTGTTTTTTTGTTTTTTGTTTTTTTTTCTTTTCTTTTTTTTTATTTAACATCGAAGAAAAGGTAAGCATTTTTTAGCATTTAAGAGCAACACATGAAAAGCAGCAGTTTATATGAGAAGGTTGTTCCAAGAAATTGGCAAGGATATAAAGGTTATTAAAATTTACTGAGAATTCAGCACACACAGCTCAAATATTAACTGTGATTCTGTGATTCATCTGTTGTTTTTTATTTAACAAAATTGTTCAAGTTGATACTTACTGTAAATATTGAGTATTGTTACAACTGGTTCTCTTCTGTCTCAGTCAATGAGAGGCTTGCATTCTGACTGGTGTCCATCATTTCTACATCAGTCCCAGTCACATAGGAGCTTGTCTGTAAATTTGACTGGTTTACAGAACTGAGATAATCACTCAAATTAGTTGTGCTGTCCAGTCCACTAAAATCATTACACAGTCCATTATCTTCACTAACCAGTCCGGAAGTAGTTATTCCAACATTGCCTGTAGAGTAACCACCACTGACATCCACATTTTGACTTTGTAAAGTACTTGATGCCTGCATTAAATTGATAGATTGTATTTCTTGTGGTAAATTGTTTGAAGGGTTCACAGGTTTAAGATTCATGACAACAGCATTTTGTGAACCAGTCGGGATACATTGTGGGCGATTACTGATCAAAGAGTTCAACTGTTGAAGTAAAGCATTCTGGGTGCTGGGATTAATGGTAAGTCCTGTACTGCCTTGTTTTAAAGCCTGTAACAGAGCACTTGGAACCTGCACTGGTGGTTGTGTTAATGTGCCCTGTAATGTAGGAACATTTGGTAAATTCCCAGTTCCTTGTTCTAACATAGTTTGTAACTGCACTGGTTGAACAGGGTTACCTTGCGAGACTTGAACAGTGGTTGGTATCAAATTTGACTGAACACTTTCTTGCATCATGTTTGTAGAAAAAATTACATTTCCTTGCGATATAACCATAGGTGTCGATATAACAACAGGTGTTGTGTTTACCACATTCTGTGTAAAGTTCCCGGAAGGTGGTATAACGGAAACCGAAGTCAATATGTTCCCACCATCTACGGATACCATCTGTTGGTATCCGGTAGGAACCACATTAGTATTACTGACATTACTTGAACTAAGAGCAATGTTCAATGCTTGTGGATGATCATTAGGACTTAAACCACTGATCAAAGATGAGTTCATTGTATTTTCTGAAGTCGTTTCCGGATATAAAGCGGGATCACCCTGCGTTGTAGATACCGTAGTTGCTGGTGCTAAATATTCATCCTGCAATTCAAAAATGTCTTTTTCAATTTTTTCGAGGTCAAAATCATTTTTAGAACCATCACCACAACATGAAGAGTTAGAGGAATAAATGGGTGTAAAAAGTTCAGTCGAGAAAAAATCCTCATAATTTACAGAAGCTACTACTTCTTTATCATTTAAAAGCATACTAGGTATATTTGAAAGCTGGGCTTGTGAAATTTGTGGTTTATCATTAGATCCTAAAGTAAAGGAACCAACCCAACTAAGAGTTCTCTTTTTAAACATGTTATCTTTGTTAGTATCAACATTTTTACAAAGTTTTTTCATATGACTATCTGATCCGATGCCTGCCGATGAATCTACAGTTTTTCTCACATTGCTCCCCACTATTTTACAAATTTTCACAGGAGACCTGGATAGCCGATATATTTTTCTTTTAATTTTCAAAAGATTCAAGTCACTTTCACACTTCTCAGCATATTCATTCATATTCTTAAATATTTCATCACCTTTACCAACGGTATCAGAATTTGGATAAATTTCTCTTGGCTTTTCACAATTGTCTTGCTCAGGCTTGAAATTTGTATCTAAAATTCTACTGAAAACCCTTGAAGGACAATTTTTTTCAGGCACAGGTCTGGGGATGACAATAACTTTCTTGTCTCCTTTTAATAACTGTTGTTTTCTTTGTGCTTTTGAGTTACCATTCTCTTTAACATCAGTTTTCTTTCCTTTCCTTCCACTAGAATATTTACGTTTTGTTCCAACTTCTGCTCCTTCATGTTCTTTAACAACAGGGCCTGGTGGAGAAAGGTCCATTGGCACCAAAGTCAGCTTCTCAAATTCTTTAGCAGGGAGGTCTGTACTTCCAGTGTTAGACTGCACTCTTTTAACAACAAATTCTAAAGGTTTTTCTACAGGAGCATCTTCAATATTAGCAACATCTGAACTAAGAATATTTCCTTCTCTTACATTTATATTCCCATTTCCAACATTAGCTCCATTAAATCTGACCATTTCCTCTTCTCTTCCATTATTAAATTCAACTTCAGAATGAATAACTTTATCTAATTTTGCATTCATCTTTTCAGCAACTTTTAAAGGTCTTTCACATACATTGACAATATTATCTGTATTTCCCTTTCCCATTTCTTCCACTCTAGTTAAGTTCCTACTATCATCAGCATTAACAATATTATCCACATTTGAATTAACATTGGCTTCATCTCCAATCAGATTTTCATCAGCATTTGTTTCAGTCATATTGTCTGAATCTTCACCTAACACTTCTTTTACATTTCCATTCACTTCATTTCTATTTCCATTATCTGATATTTTAGAACATGTATTCTGATCATTATTCAAATTATCAAGTTGTTCCTTTACTTTCAGAACTGTTTCAAGGTGTTCTTCATCCTTCTCAATATGATAATCTTCTTCAATTTCATTCTCTACATTATCAATTTTACCCATAATACCTGCTTCTAAACTTTTCATTTCTTCAGGGTAGTTTTGAAGGACATTTTCTGACTGAACTGTGACTTGTGACATTTTACTACAATTAGGTGTATCTAAACTACAGTTAGGCAACTTGAAACCACAGTTAGGCACATCTAGACAAGAACTACATCTAAATGCACATGCAGGGTTAGAATCAGATGAAGATCTAGTATCTACAGATGAGCATAAACAAGTGTAAAGTAAAGAAGGTCCACAGATTACACCACTAGCAGGAACATGGACGGGTAATGTAGACGTGTAAGAGGAAATCTCACTGTGAATACACTGCAAAGATATAGTACACTCAAAGCAGGAGAAGACTGACAGATATAAAATATATTTAAATCTCTACTAGCAAATAACCTACAATGGCTTGATGTACTTTAAGACAATCAGCAAAAACTACAGAAATATGTGCACTGAAAGCTGCAATGAAACACTGGCAGCCCCACCTATTTTTTCATGAAGAATGATTTCTCAACAGATTTTTAAACGAGAGCTGTCCATAAGAGAGCGTGCTTGACTATTGTCAGTGCTTGACAGTAAGGAAAGGAGCATAACTCTGTCAAAAGGTAAATTGAGTTATGGAATCTATACCCATCTATTTAACAATTAAAGAAGACAAGTGTTTCAATCTATATTCTTCAGTAGTTTTGGTGATACCAACTTTCAGACAAAAACTTAACCAAAGTTTAAGATCTTACTTGAAAATAGGCATGAAAATGTTTTCTTTCAAATCTTACAATGAAAAGCATCTGTTTCAAAGCCATGAATAAGTGCAAAAATAAAAATATTAAACCAAAATCAAACAAACATCTAGGTTTTTGATACTACAGCAATTTCTGTGTTAAGATTGGGAAATTAAAATTACAGCAACATTTCAATTGTGCAGACAACAACAATAAGCAAAGTTTCCGGTTACATGTTGTAACTAACTATACTCGCATTTGTGAAAAGCAAACATGAAAATTTCGTCAATGAAAATTGTGGGAAAGATTTCTGTTAATGACCCTTCTCAACAATCTTTGAATTTTATTAATAAATATGAATAAATAAAATATTTATGACCATAATACCACATCTATACTGGTTGAAGAGACAACTCCGACACTAAATCACATATTGTTTGCAATATCTTAATTATCTTTGTGTATATTTGAAATATTGACCCACTTAAACAAAGTAATGTTCAAAGAAATAACAATATGCTACAAAATTAGTTTATCAAAATGGAAACTGAATGAGGTATATAAAGCATGGTCTGTATTTCAAAAGAATGTTTTTAGACAGTTTTTAAAAGCAAAAAAATTAGTTAACTTGACACAAATTAAAAAAGTTAACTAACTTTAAAAGGACCATCGCAGCTGTCCTGCTCCTACATTACTTAGTCACCTGTTTTTGGAAAGCTAAAGTTTAAACAGAAATACTTATCAAGTGTGGCGTTATCTATACGTCGGAGTTATCTCTCCAAAAAGTATAGCACTATTCATACATGTGAGCACATAATAAAATATCTAATTAGAATCTACCATGGTTTATCTATGGTGAGCACTTACCCTATTATCAGGATTACTATCACCAGATATTGGCACCTCACTGCTCTTCAACCCACTAACCTGAAATAGTATTTCTCAAATTCTTATCTTTGAATCAAATACTTAATAAACAAGCAATTATCATAGTATTGCAAGCAATCCCTAAGTCCCCTACCGGTTAGAACCCCATCAACATTCTGAAGGGCCATTGGCCATTCACTAATGTTTCAATTTTTCTATATTTTAAGTAAATTTGTTGGAAAAGTTCTTTAAAAGTGATCACAGGAAACAGTTTTTATGAACAGACAGACAGACGGACTGAAGGACACTCTAAAGTTAATATTTGAAACATCCCTGTTACCAAAATATAACATTTTTAAAAGCAAAATTCTTAAAGAGGAGATAACTCTTGAATTAAAGATGCAATTTCATAAAAAAATTTCAGCTCTTTTTGACTAATCACAAATAATGTTATATTTGCCATGTTTTAAGCCTATTTGTTGCCAACGCAACCAATATTTTTTCAAAATAGGGAGAACAGATAAGACATGCATAATCTCAAGACTGCCCATATGTCAAGTTTCATAAAAGTATTTCCAGTACTTTTTGAGTTATCACTGGATTCAGTGTATGTGTAAAATTTGCCATATTTTCAGTCTATGTGTTGCCATAGCAACCAGAATTTTCAACATATTCAACATAGGAAAAAAAGAAAAAGACGTGCATAATCTCCAGACTGCCATCTACCCATATTACAAGTTTCATAAAAATATTTCTATTACTTTTTGCGTTAACACAGGATCCAGTTTATATGTAAAATTTGCCATATTTTCAGTCTATTTGTTGCCATAGCAACCAGAATTTTCAACATAGGAAGAAAAGAAAAAGACGTGCATAATCTCCAGACTGCCATCTACCCATATTTCAAGTTTCATAAAAATATTTCTATTACTTTTTGCGTTATCACTGGATCCAGTTTACGTGTAAAATTTGCCATATTTTAAGCCTATTTGTTGCCATAGCAACCAGAATTTCAACATAGGAAGAAAAGAAAAAGACGTGCATAATCTCCATACTGCCATCTATTCATATATCAAGTTTCATAAAAATATTTTCAGTACTTTTCAAGTTATCGCGGGATCCAGTTTTGTGGACGGACGGACTGACAGACAGACAGACGGACAGACAGACGGACGGAGGGTAAACCTAAAGTCCCCTCCGGTAAACCGGTAGGGGACTAAAAATGTTGATTATTTGCCTCTATCATATGACCTCTGTTGATATGATGTAGTTTCATTGTATGCATTATTTTAGTCAGATGAAAATTCTTTCTGATTATAAAATAGTATATATTACTTAAATCATTTAAATATGACCTATACAGCTATAATAACATATCTATACAGCTATAATAACAGACCTATACAGTTTATATCACAGACCTATGCTGCTATAATAACAAACTTATGCTGCTATAACAACAGATCTATACTGTTATAATAACAGACCTATGCTGCTTCATTACAGCCCAGAGCTGCTATAATAACAGATCTATACAGCTATAACAGACCTGTGCTGCTATAACAAACTTATGCTGCTTTAATAACAGTCCTATACTGCTATAACAAACTTATGCTGCTTTAATAACAGTCCTATACTGCTATAACAAACTTATACTGCTTTAACAGATCTATGCTGCTATAATAACAGTCCAGAGCTGCTAAAATAATAGATCAACACTGCTATAACAGCAGACATATGCTGCTATAAGACAGACCAGTAGACCTTTACCATTTTTTACAATAAAAGCATAATATATGACATTATATAAACAAGACATGTATATGACATTTTAATAACTGAAAAATACTTGAAAAGTAACCTACCTCAGTCTGAGGTTTCACAGTATGAAGTTTACACTTTAATGCTTCTAACACTGAGGTGGCCTTTAAAGGAGATCCAAAATTCAATGTGCTTGATGCTGGTAAAGATATTCCATCAGCCCGTAATTTTAACTTCACTTCTAATGGGACATTATCTCCGGTCAAGTCTTGTTTTTCCGCTTGACTAGATAAACTCTGATCATTTTCTAGTGGATTAGGTATCACTGCACTTGCGTTCACTTTATTAGCTTCAAATGAATCAAACAGGTTTTTTCTTTCACTTTTTTCTGGTGAAATTTCTGATTTTTTCACATTCAAAGAAACAGGCGATTGACCTTGAAGTGCTTCAACCAATGAAGGATTTGGAATAGTCTTAGAAATATCACCTGGTACAGTTTTTAGTGGTGTACTTTTTGCAAGCAATGCTTCTATAGGACAAACGTCAGAGCTACTTTGAGAAACTTGTTTAAACATGGCTGTCCGAAGCAAATCTGATACAGAACTGCTTGAAGTTAAATTTGACACAGTCTGTGGAATATGATTCCCACTTCGTGGTACTTGATCAACAATTTGCTGAGTTTGATTTATAACATGTGGTATTCTATTAGAAGTTTGTGGTGATTGATTAACTGATTGAGGAACTGTATTCACAACCAGCTGTGCTTGATTAATAATTTGCTGAGTTTGATTAGTAACTTGTGGTGCTTGACTTTTTATCATTTGCTGCACTTGATTCACAATTATTTGATTTGGATTAATTGTCTGAGGGACTTGATTTAAAGCTTGTGGTGCTTGATTAACAATGGTGCTCTGAATCGAAACTGCAGGAACTTGTATCTGCGGACTTATACTCAAAGCTGACCAAGATTGCTGTGCACAAATGTTTGTTTTCATTTTCTGCGCATTTGCCAATGCAGTCACTAACCCACCTGTGCTGGTTTTACTTATCAAATTATAAATCTGCCGCGTCACCTCAGACATGCCATGTGCAGGGGATGCCTTCTGGTTTTGAGAGTTCTGCAAGTCATCATTTACTGTATTCAGATTAGAAACTGTTGTTTGAACATTTGGTATAGACTGAACAATTAGTGTTCCCTGACCACTCCCGCCCTGCACGGAGGAAGTGGGTATAGACGATACCACATTTGCACCACTCTGTGTCACAGTTTGATTCTGATTTAACTGTCGAGTATTTTCAGGCAAGGAACCAGAAGCAGACGGTACATTTTGACTACCTGCTTTTGATTTGGCTTCATTTAATACACTGTAGTACGTATCCAAAATATCACTGGCTATATTAACGTTACTAATCACATTTTGTGAGACAGATCCGAGTTGTTTGTCTATATTAACAATGGGATCTTTCAATCTCTCCTCGATTGCACTAGAGCCACTGGCACCCAAATTCACCTCCAATTTAGGCATCTGAGCAGCTTTTTGTTGCTCTAATAATTTCTTCTTTTGCTCATGCTGAAGAAGAATCCTTTGAGCAATGTCAAGCTTTTTCTTCATTTCTGGTGTTAAGTTAGTTTTATTAGCCATTTGGTTTACTAAACCCTGTAATGCTGGATGTTTGGGATTGATGGCGGTCTGTTTCAAAATTCCTTGCAAATCCAACGGCTGCTGCATTTTAAGCTGGGTACCAGACGGTGAACTATTACCTTGCACTGGTACCTGGTCTTCATTCTGAGCTGAAGCAGTACTGGAACCAGTGATAGCATTATCCTGGATAGCAGCTGTACCAGATGGACTTTGGCTAGTCGTCTGCTGCAAATTAGATCTAGCGGGAATTTGTCTTATTGTCTGCGACTGACCTCCATCTGAAGAGGATGATACTGGTCCAGACGCAGAAGGCGGAGGCTGAATCACGATTTTTGTATTTTCAGTTACTTTAATTCCAGAGTTTTTCCCACTGATTATCAAATACCCGTCCGAGGACACTCTTACATTTTCTGCTGTCTGCTTCACAGATTGTTGTCCTTGAGCATTGGCTGCAACAATTTTGATCACTTTTGGCTGATTTGATCCAGGAGTGGTTTGGTCAATTATACTCAACCCTGTCTCTTTTTTACTCAAGTCTGCATGTAAAACTGTCTGACTGGGATTGTTGGGAGTCCCAGCTGGTTTAAAATTACCGTATCGATGAGAAACCGGTGTTAGGTTTGGTAACTGTGTATTTACTTTACGTTTAATTTCTCGTGTGGCAGCCATTCTGAGAACGCCCGAGGGATTCATTTCACTTTTTGGAATAATCATAACACCACCCTGTGGGTTTTGCACACGTATACGCTCCGGTCCACGAGTGATTATACCGTGATTATGGAGCGCACTAGCAGCTAACTTTCTCTCTCGTTGACGTTTCAACTCAATCATCTTATCGAGAAGCAACTTGTCGTGTGACTGAGTTCTGAACGGGGATGCTGTGGAATCTTTTGGTTTCTTTCTTTGAGGAATGTGGTCCTCCTCATCACTGCTTGACTAAAATTCAAGATAATTCTAATGATATCAGTATCATTTAAAAAAAACAAACATGTTCTCTATTGGAAAAATGTTTCAATATTTTGAGTTTTAAATGCAATATCTATAACTTATAGTAAGTCACTTCTTTACTCACCACGAGAAAATAAAAGTAAACCATGAACATCCAAAAAGGATATTCTTCTTTACATATTATCAATCATAATTTCATTATCCTTGGATCAATTCTTACCTCAGTATCATCATCATTTAAAGCTTTATGTACTGTCTGTAAAGCTCTAGAACTGGCTGCTCTTTGAGGCCGGTACCTCTTTTCTCCAGTACGAGGCCCACCACGCCCTCCTGGAACCATGAACGGTTTATCCTCGTAATACTTGTCTGTAGGCTCCTCGGAAACAAATCTCTTCATGTATTTCTTCAACATATTTTCCATTGATCGTGCACAATCGGAAAATTCTTAGAGAACAAAAAAATATCTCTTAATATCAAGAATATGAAATTTATGACATGTGAAAAGAAGAAAATGTTCCTCAAAAAGAGAGCTTTTATGATCATAATTTTTTTGGCTAGTTTAAAGCAAGACTGACACTGTTCAGTGACCAGAGACCTTAAGTGCATTTTTTCAGGCACAATAAATGTTGTTGTTTTTTGGGTGGGAAGGAATATTTTGTCACAGTGACACTGTTAAGACTACAATTGCCACCTTCCAGCTTTTCCTGGCAGAGTGAGACTTCAAATGCACCTCAAAGCAATTTTTCAGGCACTAAGAGGCACAAAAGCAGTAGCATTTATCTACCATAAGTTTTTAAAAACACATTCCTCACATAAACGAATTCAAAGCCCTGCTATAGATCTCATATATATAGAATGCTCAAGCCAAAGAAAATTCAGGGAGCCTTCTTTTATCTATCATTCCTCAAAATTCATACTATCTAAACTGCTTAACAACAACCAATTTCAATTTTCATATCAAAATTATAAATGTATTTCCAAATTATTCCCCTTCCCATGATTTACATGTATGCAAACATGTTTCTTTTATACACTATAGAGCCTTAAAAATCAATTATCCATATGTTCAAAGTTGTCCCACAGCCTGTGCGGACAAGTTAAATTTTCCAAAAAATTTACTTTATAAATATCATTCAGACAAATACATTAATGCTTCACATAAAATGGACAAACAAGTCAAAATTAGATTCATCCAGCCCTGCACCATTACAGAGATTAAGTATAAAATGCACACAAAAAGATCTGCCTTATTTAAATATTACTAATGACTAACCACTGTCTTGGCCATTGAATCGTTTACAGTTATTGAACATCAGTCTAAAATCAGACAGGAAATGTTGTGTAGACCTGTAATCTCTTTTCTCCACTTTCTCCTCTATTTTAGACAAATCCATCGGCCTCTGAAATGAAAAAATTATTTTTTTGCTGGTTTCTTGTAACTGTTCAGCCACAGAAAATGTTTGTCTTGTTAAACACAGCTTTCTGGAAGGGAGATGTTATTCAGAGTAAAAGTTGTATATTTGTTTGTTTGGGTTTTATGTCACATTGACACAGTATATGCCATATGGCAATGTTCCAGCTTTAATGGTGGAGAAAGACCTTTGGTGCCCTTCATTTCAGGCACAAATAGGCACCTAAGTAGAACCACCTGCATTCCGTAAGCTACCTGGAAAAAGTTTAAGAACATTAGAACAAGAGGGCCATAATGGCCCTGAGGTCGCTCACCTGTATATAGGCCCCCCCCCCCCCAACCCCAACCCCACCCAACGTTGCAGAGCCAATTTACCCTAAGGGCTTTTATTTGCACGAACTTGGTAGACACCCATAAGAAGATGTTTCATGCTAAACATTTAAGCTCTAGCTCATTGGGCTTTTTAAAAGAAGATTTTTTTTAAAGTTTTTACTATACACATATAGTTAAAAACAATGACACCCCTGGGGCCGGGCCAGTTTTGACCCCAGGGCTTTTATTTGAACAAACTTTGTAGACACTTACTAGAAGATGTTTCATGCTTAATATCTAAACTCTAGCTATTTAGGTTTTTTCAAAGAAGATTTAAAGTTTTTGCTAAACACATATAAAGAAAATCAATGACCCCCGGGGCGGGGCCAATTTTGACCCCTGGGCTTGTATTTGAACAAACTTGGTAGACACCTATTAGAACATGTTTGATGCTCAATATCTTAGCCATAGCTCTTTGAGTTCTTTAAAAGAAAGATTTTTTAAGTTTTTACTATATGCATATAGGGAAAATCAATGACCCCCCCTGGGCGGGGCCAATTTTCACCCTAGGGCTTTTATTTGAACAAACTTGGTAGACACCCATTAGAACATGTTTCATGCTAAATATCTTAGCTCTAGCTCTTTGGGTTCTTTAAAAGAAGATTTTTTAAGTTTTTACTATATGAATATAGGGAAAATCAATGACCCCCCGGGGCGGGGCCAATTTTCACCCTAGGGCATTTATTTGAACAAACTTGGTAGACACTCACTAGAACATGTTTCATGCTAAATATCTTAGCTCTAGCTCTTTGGGTTCTTTAAAAGAAGATTTTTTAAGTTTTTACTATATGCATATAGGGAAAATCAATGACCCCCCCGGGCAGGGCCAATTTTGACCCCAGGGCTTTTATTTGAACAAACTTGGTAGACACTCACTAGAAGATCTTTCATGCCAAATATCTAAGCTCTAGCTCTTTGAGTTCTTTAAAAGAAGATTTTTAAGTTTTTACTATATGCATATAGGGAAAATCAATGACCCCCGGGGCGGGGCCAATTTTCACCCCAGGGCTTTTATTTGAACAAACTTGGTAGACACTCATTAGAAGATGTTTCATGCCAAATATCTTAGCTCTAGCTCTTTGGGTTCTTTAAAAGAAGATTTTTTAAGTTTTTACTATATGCATATAGGGAAAATCAATAACCCCCTGGGGCGGGGCCAATTTTGACCCCAGGGCTTTTATTTGAACAAACTTGGTAGACACTCACTAGAAGATGTTTCATGCCAAATATCTAAGCTCTAGCTCTTTGAGTTCTTTAAAAGAAGATTTTTTAAGTTTTTACTATATGCATATAGGGAAAATCAATGACCCCCGGGGCGGGGCCAATTTTCACCCCAGGGCTTTTATTTGAACAAACTTGGTAGACACTCATTAGAAGATGTTTCATGCTAAATATCTTAGCTCTAGCTCTTTGGGTTCTTTAAAAGAAGATTTTTTAAGTTTTTACTATATGCATATAGGGAAAATCAATGACCCCCTGGGGCGGGGCCAATTTTGACCCCAGGGCTTTTATTTGAACAAACTTGGTAGACACTCATTAGGAGATGTTTCATGCCAAATATCTAAGCTCTAGCTCTTATGGTTTTTTAAAAGAAGATATTTAAAGTTTTTTCTTTCGGTTGCCATGGCAACCAGAGTTTTGCATGGAATTAAATTCTTTGAACAATTTTTAAAGGTGACCACCAAAGGAACATTCCTGTGAAGTTTGGATGAAATTGGCTTAGTGGTTTATGAGGAGATGTCATTTAAAGTAAAAGTTTACGGACGGACGGACGGACTGACGCCGGACGAAAAGCGATCACAAAAGCTCACCCTGTCACTTTGTGACAGGTGAGCTAAAAACACAATACACTGTGTTCGGGTGAGTTAAAATTGAGTCAGGATAAAGTCCAAATTGTTTAATTTTAATAATCAATGACTGCAATATGGGAAAAAAATATACACAGAATTTCATCAATTCCTTTTAAATGGAGCCCACTGTTATAGAACAGTGCACATTGTCTATATTGACCAATATAAGAATATATAGAGAGTGGTTTAACATAAACAGGTGGTCTCTCAAAAGAAGGTAATTTTACACTTCAATTAATCAAAATACACTCTATGGTATATCCATAGAAACAGACTTCAAATGTGATTTTTTTTTAAACAAAAACAAATCATTTCAAGGGAGCTCACTCTTCAGGCCATAGTTTTTTTAGTAATTATTTTCAAGGGAGCTAATTAATCTTAAGACCATTATATAATTATTATTATACCTAAGCTTTCAAAAGACTATGATTTAGAGTTCTGTTAAGTTTTCATGTGCCACTTTTCGTTTAAAGTTTCCAATCAAGGCCACAAGTACATAGTACCTACACACATGACCTTCCTTTAAACAGGTCTCATCTGGACAAACTACTATGATAGTTTTTATAGACACAAAGAGCTGGCTCTAAAAATTAGGAAGAAACGGGTAATAATTAAATCACAGTGATTGAATTTCAAACTTCTACTGACCTTGATGATTTCACTGTAGCCAGGAGCTTGTTCATCCGTGACTGGCTGTAAAAACGGCCAACAATCTTTGTGGTATTTCATAGCATTTATTACTGGAAAAAAATTTGAAGCAAGTTTTAGCTCTAAATATCTGCAATATTTTAATAGCAACATATGCAAACTGTTTCTATTTCAGCAACAACAAAAGATATATATCAGAAGTTTGTTTTTATCTTCTTGCGAGACATAAAATAACATTTATTTGAAGAATAAAACGTCTTGAATACTTTACAAGAGTTACCTACCTTTCATCAAAGCTTCATAATCCTCTTCCTCTTTCAGGTCACACCTGCAAAGGTCATTAGCATAATGAATATTCACAAGCTAATTATATATCAATGCATTATGCATAAGCTAATAATAAATCAATTAAGCTAAAAAATTGACCTTAACTTCATTTTTATTTAACTGTCAAATATAGTATAAATTGGTCACTACAGTGTGCAATATATTGGACACTTAATGGTAACGCTGGCAAGAAGTTATTGCATGTAAATAATTGGTTTATATAGCCTAAACATAAAACATACCTGCTATCATCGGAGTCGTCGCCGTCATCCTTGTATTTCTGAGATCCAGTGTATATCATATCAGCCGGAATCTCCTTGCCTTCAGCCAGTAATCTTGCTCTTTCCCCTCTCATAGACAACCTCTTTGCTCGCTCTAACAAATATATTATATAATTAGATATACTAACTTTACACACCTTATCATGCTTAATATCCTTAATGGACATGTCCATCAAAACAATTTGTGTTTAGCCAACATATTAGAATTTGTGTCGACAGAATAGTGAACAGTGCAGACCCGAATGATTCGACGGCATTGATGTGTGCCCTAGATTGCTCACCTCACCCATCACACTCCTCTGAGCAATTACTTAGCAAAAAATTTCATCCGAGATGACCCATGTTTGAACTCATCCAAGCAATTACCTAGACAAGCATCTTGATCAAGTTTGATGGTAAATGAGTCAAAAATGTGACCAAAATGTTCACAAGGTTTTCCCATATATGGGCGGTCTGACATAGTTTTTGACCCAAGGTATTCCAACCTGACCTAGAAATCATCAAACAAACTTTCAGACCAATTTCCAGGATATTTGAATCAAAACAGTAGCCACTAGTGTAAACTAGATTTTTCTATTTTTGGCTCCTGTGACCTAGTTTTTCAAGATGATGTTCGAAGTCATCCAAGCAATAACCTAGACAAGCATCCTGACCAAGTTTGATGATGATTGAGACAAAAATGTGACCACTAGAGTGTTAAAGAACAAATGTGAACGGACGACAGACAATGGACATCCAATGATCCTAAAAGCTCACCCTGAGCTAGCTTAGGTGAGCTTAAAAGTTAAAACCTCCAGGCCTGATTTATAAGTGGTAAAAAAAAACGCCTACACTCACCTTCCCTTGCCTTTCTCCTATCTTCCCTCTGTCTATTCTCATCCTCCAGTCTAAGTTGTTCATCCTTCAGTTTTCTCTCTTCCTCAGCTTTAATTCTCGCCTTCTCCTCCTCGGCTAACGCCTCCGCTAAAATCTTTTCCTAAAAAGTTATAAAATATAGAATATAAAATATCTTCAAATACTACTTCTGTAGCCTTAACATGGTTTAACATATCAATATTTTTTATTCTAGACCATGCAGTAAAGGGTTAAGTCCTATTAGATAATTAAAGGAGCCGCTATTCATACAAATTCTATATTCTTATCTATTTTAGTGCATCTTTTCTTATTATAATAATCATAAATTTAAAGCCATTGTATATAACCTATTAGATAATAGAATTCTACATTACCACAGGATTATCTACCTACTGTAAGTAAATGATGCATCCTAAAACATTCTATAAACCCAATTACCACAGGTTTATCTTTATTCTCTAATATACAAGATCCCACACAGGGCTCTACAAATCCTATAGTCCGACGTCCGGGACAACTCTAAAACCACTTGGGACAACTGACAATAAGCAGAAAGTTAGTCCCGGACAAGTCAAATTTTGACAGATGCTAATCTTGGACAACTGTAAAATTATGTTTATTAATACGACCCTTCACAGCATGGTGCGCCGGTAATCTTCGCCTGAGGCAATCAATCTCAGCAGTTGCTACGCTGATTAATTTTACATTGCCACAGGCAATAAAAATAGATAAGACACTAAATGTTTGATAAAAATCTTAAAGACAAAGTCCAACATTATTATAGACATGTCAAAAACATTATTAAGTCACAGACTTGGTCTTTGAAGTTGATATATTGACACAAGCAGACAGTAATTTGTGCTTTGAATTGAAAATTTCGAATTTTTTGTTTTAGGCTTTTTGATAAATTCCTAAGTGGAAAACAATATTAAAATATCCAAAAAGCATCTATTTTGAATGCATTCGAACATACAATAGTCAAAATAGTATAATTTATGATGAAAACAGAAAAATTTTCATTTGTCACATATTTTCGCGATGCCGATTTTTTTTATAAATCGTGAGACAGTTTTAATAAGTTTAAAGCTCTGCAGCAAGTAGAAATATTAAAAATCTTTTGTTACTTATGAATCAAAAGGACTTTTGACAATGTTAAGATAAATAATGATGAGATTTGTAAGTATTTGAATAGTCTAATTCACTATCATATTTTATATTTCCCTACCGGGTAATATTAATGACTGTCTTTTTCTTATTTACCATGTCCAATGTGAAATTTGGAAACTGAGAGAGGCTATGGCTAACTACATTCATGTTGGAATAATTTTACTTAAATTTTCAAGATCAAGGATAAAAATTCAGGAAAAAAAATAAAACTGAAACAAAACATATATAGGCCTACACAGGCTATTGAACTTGAACAGTGCTGAAAGGTACCTGGGAAGAGTGCTGAACAATCAAAACTATTTCAGTTGAAACAAAATGTTCTATTTTATACTAAATGAAATACAAATTGTAACTTAAAAATATTAAAAAATTAATTGTTTTTACTTCTTCTTTGGATATAGTATACATACTACGCATACTGAACATTTACCGAGACTTGGACACTTGTGGTCAATTTTGGGACAACTCTATTTTGCTAGGTCAGTTGTCCTGGACAACTCTACTCCAAAAAAATTTGTAGAGCCCTGCCACAATTTTATTATATAAATTTCAATTTGTTCCATTCTAAAACATAATAAAACATTTATCAACATTCTACCTTTGATCAATTCTAAAAATCTACAACCTTCAATTACCACTAATTCATCTTAATTCTACATTAAAGCCATTCTAGAAAATTCTACAAATCTCCCATTAACACAGATTTATTTATATTCTACATTTGATCTATTCTAGAATATTCAACTTATCTCGCATCACCACAGATTTATCTATATTCTACATTTGATCCATTCTAGAACATTCTACAAACCTCCCATTACAACAGATTTATCTAAATTCTACTTTAGACCCATTCAAGAACTTCTACAAACCTCACATTAACAAAGATTTTTCCATATTCTACATTTGATCCAATCTAGAACATTCTACAAACCACCCATTAACACAGATTTATCATATTCTACATTAGACCCATTCTAGAACATTTTATAATATTACACGTTTGCAACGTCGCTTTTCATTGGATAATCGTAACGTTTATATAGTCTTAATACAAACACGGCTGCTGCCAATTTATGAAGAAATCTCATTTTTCTCACTAAAAATGATGCTTGCTGTATTATAAATTCTTTAAGGTTACTGGTATATAGATGGTTGTTTGCAATATAACCCTCGCCTAGCGGCTCGGGTTATATTGCCAAACAACCGTTTATATAGGGCCATATAACCTGTCAAAAATCTTTATAACTAATACTATAAACCTCCCATTAACACAGATTTATCTACATTCTACATTTAATCCATTCTAGGACATTCAATGAACCAACCATTGCCATAGATTGTTCTATATTCTAGATTTAATCCATTCTAGAATATTCTACATTACCTGTTCAATCTTCTCCCTCATCTTTACAGTTATTCTGTTCGACCTACGTAACTCCTGCTCTTGTAGAAGTTTCTTCTGTCTCTCCTTTTCCTGTAAAAGAATAATAGTAATAATAATTTAAATCTTGACTTGAAAATTGATAACACAGAAGCCTTAAAGGTGGCTAAACAAATCAAAATTGAAAATGATGCTGGTTGGTTTTGATTGGCAAGCTAACACTTACAAACCCTAAGACGGGGGCATCCGTGGACAAGTGGTTAAGGTTGTTGCTTCAAACCACTTGCCCCTCACCGCAATGGGTTCAAATCTTGAAAGGGACCTTTTCAAGCCACAAACCCTAAGCACTGGGTTATGCTGGACCCATGGTGTTTACATATATATAGGTTTAAAGCAGTAATAATTGAAGAATGGCAGTATAGACCCTGGCCAACAAGCATGTCCAAATATCAAAAAAAAAATAAGTACAAGTGAAGTCCCCCTTCCCTAACAATACACATGATCACCTAAATACTGTGCAGGTTTTAATCAAATAAAAGAGCTATACATAAAATACTTCAATTTCAGTAATGACAATAATTATTAATTTTCTTTTTTACATATTATATGATGAGCATCATAATTATAATTAGAAGTTCATGCAGGGATCTCGCAGACCACACATCATTGTTTGTCATATTTTCTATTATAATGATATGATATTATCATATAGATAATATCTATAGATAATATCATCACTTTCACAATCTACAATCAATACATCATTACCCAAGTCTCTTAATTAATATCATTAGTTCTAGCACATATATTGAAATATTTGTTTAAAACGAGCCGATAAATACATCTCACTTGCCATAATGTATACGCAATAATATAATATATACCCTATAATATAAGAACATAAGAATAAAAGACCTCACAGAGTTGAGAAATAATTAGCGGGGTATTTTAACACTGTAGAAATTTGTTTTTGCTATTCTTATCACCTTGGGTGGCTGAACTCTCGTTAATAACGTTTCTTGGGTACTCTTCAATCAGTAAACAAGGAGATACAAAAGGACTTGTTAAATGTCTCATTTGGTAACTTTTAATACAAAGATATTAACTAGTATAATTATTTAGTCTCTTATGATCGGCCACGCGGGTAATCAGCGAGGCCGATCAAACACTTTTGGTACAATAGAAGCTCTTCTATTCTCCCTCTAAAATAGGGTGTTTTTTTTAAATATGGTCACAAAATTGAAGGCAAGGTTTAAGTACAAAACATTCTTCAATGGTCACTTTACCATCAGCATGATCAAATTACTTCTTTGATTAAAGACGCAAGTCCAAGATTTTTAAGATTACCTCAATTTGAAACTATCGTATGCCGCAATTTGTTTAACGTATGTTTTCAAACAGTGAAACTTTGATAATAACAGCATATCCTACAGATGTCCTAAACGTAATTGACTTTTCCAAAGAGCATCTTAGTACAGATCACTAAGTTGTTGTTGTTGTTGTTGTTTTTTTCTTTAGATTATGCAAAAAAAAATATTTCTACATTTTTTCTCTTTCAGTATTAAACAGCAGATCCCATCTGCGTACATATTTCCATACCTCAATCTATCCTATTATTTATCAATCAACCATTCTGAAAGCCACTATAATTTATCATTCTTTGTACCTACCCTACGTATAATCACAAAGTGATCTGACCTTTACAAACGGCAAGCCTATCATCAAATTTATTTCAGATACCCCTAAAAACCTATTATCGCCAATTCTGAAAATTTCCCAAAGTACGAACTCTTCATAAACATTTTTCTTGCCGAACTAAGTGTCTTTATAACAATAATAATGACAAAACCGTTGACGTTAAAAGGAGTTTCGATTTTTTTCAAAGTTTAGAGAGAGAAAAAGTTCGGACAGATCTATGGGAGAAAACAATAGTTTCAACTACAGCTTCATACATAATGAAGACGTGAGGAGAGTGGATTGTATTTTATGGTCCAATAATTATTATTATTTACATAAACATCACTGTCAGAATGACGTTTTATCACCAGACTAATTTTTTTTATGGCCGCTGAAAAACACAGACGCTTTAAAATAAATGACGAAAATACATACACATTAGGTAAATTAAGAAGAGTAACGTTTTCAATAAGGCCTAAAAAGAGGGAACACTCTCTTTGTATTGTAGCAAGTACTTTATAACTGACTCTGCCGTTAATATCTCATATCTAGATCGGCAGATGTCATTTAAAAAAACAAAACAAAAAAAACACCATCTCATCACTCACAATAACTCAATAATTACATAAGCACTGAATATAGCCTTCAATAAAACGGCTATTTTTAGAAACATTGAAAATTCCGTAAAAGATTGTTGATTACCTGGCCACCTGTTAGCATTAGCAAGAAAGTACGCATCAGAACTATCGATAACTTATGGATTATTGCTTATTATTGTGCAGATCCTGTAAGTCTGTCTGCATTCTTGCGGAATGCCGAAGCGCATTCTCAGACGTTGTTGTTTTTTCTAATAACTAAATGTTGAAATTGCTAGAGTAATGTGCCAACTATTGAAGACACAGACAACAAAAACTCTCCGAACAAAAACCTTCCAACTTGGAAACTAAATAAGCTATACGTATTCCTTGACATTGAAATAAGTCCTTAGAAAATATGTGTACAAAAGACTTAAGATATAAATTGCAAATTTTTACAGCACTTCAGGAAGTTTTACAATGACATAAATATTGTTAGGCACTAATAGGCTAATATATTAAACACAAAGTTTAAGTTGTCCTTAGAGAGATGGACAGACAGACAGACAGATGATCCATCCATGGCAGAACAGGATAAAAACATTAAACACCCAAATTTTTCTACCCAAACAGCATAACATGGTCATTTTTTACATGGATAAATTTTAAAAAGTATCTTTCGCCCCTTACTTGCCCTCCTCCCCCATGGCCCAGCCTTCAATTAAAATAATGTCACAGTCACTAAATATTACAACAGAACGATTACAAGCTATAAATAATCTAACAGAGATATATTTAAAACAGGAGCGTAGTTGAAAATAGTTCCAATATCAATACATTACGATGAATGCAGAGAACTATATTGCAACAGATGTATTTCAAGATAGGAAAAATTACCACCCACACAACCTGCTGGTTTTCTTTATATAAGCTATAGAAAATCCATTATTTGTTTTTCCATTTAAAAAAAGTTTGAATATAATTTATAATGTTTTTCCTCCTTGCTTAAGAAGAGAAAACTGTACTGTCTCAAAATACTTCATGAATATCTTTTGTTTTTTACTCATTGAATATTTATTTTAATTTCCTTTACTATTCACAGTATGAAATACCATGTCTTCTTTTCTCTATATCCACAATGTCTGCATATAGATATCCTACTAATTATATTTGTTCAGTTGTGATTAAAGTGTTTTTAAGTTCAAACAGTATTTATGCTCGGCTGTGAAGAATGCTTGTAGCTAAATTGATCCACAAGCAAGTCTCCCTTCCAGAAACTAACTTACTCAGGTGTCTATATATATATACTGTAAAACACCTGTAGGGTTCAAACACAGGTGCCTTACTCCTCTCCTAAAGTGACAATTTGTTTATTTGATTGGGTTTTACATCAAACCGACACGGTATAGATCATAGTGCGATGTAACAGCTTTACCGATGGAGGACAACCTCAGGTGCCCTTCCGTGACAGTTTAACTTGGTCATACTAGCAGGCTATAAACAAACTTGAATGACCATTATTTCTCTAACAGTAATGGCCTACTTTCTCCCTTCCGTGCATCTAAAGTGACTTGGTCATACTAGCAGGCTATAAACAAACTTGAATGACCATTATTTCTCTAACAGTAATGGCCTACTTTCTCCCTTCCGTGCATCTAAAGGTACAGTTTAAACCATAACTTGATCATACTAGCAGGCTATAAGCAAACTTGAATGACCATGATTTCTTTAACAGTAATGACCTACTTTCTCCACAAATAAGAGATAACTTCTCAACATGCAGTCCTATTGAATCAGTAGTGTTAAAACTCTTTTACATTCTTAATCTAAGTCTGTTTTTATTTAATTTTGGTGAAACTAACTTTTTGTGCTCAAGTTTGTATTGCTTAATACTACAGAACTTTATTTTTTGTTTATTTGACTTAAAGTCTACCTAACATGGTAAAGGTCATATGGCAAATTTCTAGCTTTACTGATGGAGAAACATGTTAGGTGGCCCTTCCTGCATTATTTTTAGCACAGTAAACACTAAAGGTTGAACCACCGACCTTCCACAACCTAGCTGGAAAGCTTCCTCACATGAAAACATTCAAAGTCTCTGACAGGATTCAAACCCACAGCCATGTGGAGCAAGAGGATTAGAAGTTTGCAACCTTAACCACTCTGGCCGCTACTATCAGATGAACTTCAGTCAAACAACAAGTTTGGCCAGACTTAAAAGCTTTCAGCATTTCAAAATTACAAAACTTGGAATTCAGGAATTGGAACTGGCTTCATCTTTATATTTTATCTAGCAGTATCATGCATTATGCATATAAAGGTCTAATCATCACCTTAGTGCAGTAACATGTTAACTCCTATTGAATTATATAAGATGTTGACCTGTTACTGCACTAAGGTGACATAATATTCCTTTTCTTTTCATAAAGCAGACGCAAGAGTTTCTAAAATTTCAATTATTTTATTTTTATTCCTTGTCATAAAAATCCTTGTCATAAAAATTTCTTAATATAAACCTAGCTGCCTTTACAGACACACTCGTTATTTCCTAGTCACCTTGAATTACTGCTCCGACACTAAAAAATTTTCTTGCATAAAAAATCAAGGACATAAACTGCTGCATTCTTGTGATTTTATTACCGAGTATCACACAATGCAAAAATCTGTGGCATCCACATCGGATGTTGACTTCTTACTACATTACAAGTGTTATACATGTCTGACATTGCTAGAACAGTGAAGTTTGAAGGTAAAGGGCCCCTGAGTTGTTGAGATATTGATCAGAAAGCATTTTTACCTATAAGGTCAATGTGATCTTGACTTCTGACCGCTTGACCCCAAAAATCCATTGAGGTCATCTTCTGACCAAAAGCAATGCCTCTGTAAATTGTGAAGGTCATGGGTCCATGGGTTGTCCAATTATTGATCGGAAACTGTTTTAACATACAAAGTCAATGAGACCTTGACCTTTGACCCCCAAAACCAAAAGGGGTCATCTACTTGCCAAGATCAATGTTCCTAGGCTTTAGCATTCTTTAGTTCTTGATTGGAAACTGTTTTAACCTACAAGGTCAATGTGGCCTTGACATCGACTCATTGACCCCTAAATCAATGGGGGTCATCTACTGGTCATGTACATCATCAAACCAAGTTTTCAGTTCCTAGGCCTAAGCGTTCTTAAGTTATAGATCGGAAACCATTTTTACCAACAAGGTCAATGTGGCCTTGACCTTTGACCCCAAAATCGATAGGGGTCATCTACTGGTCATTAACAATCAACATACTAAGTTTGAGGTTCCTACTGATCGATGGACAGAAAAATGCAACGCAATATACCCCCACTTCTTTGAAGGAGGGGGGGGGGGGGATAATTACAAACTGAAAAGTTTATTGGCAATAAGTGACCTTGAACCAAGAAAGTAGGTAAAGATTTCAGTGAATTGGCAATGCATTGGCAAACCTTTTACTAATGAAACAAAATTAGAACCATAAAGTCAACAAAATACCTCGAGACAACTAATTCTAAAGTGAATCGTTAGACCAATAATACATAAAAAAAAATTTGTAGACATAAAAATTATTTGGCAAATAACTGCTTTATAAACAGGAATAAATGTTCTAGCTGGTAGACATTAACTCGGCTATTTTCTGCCTTAAAACAATACTCAAAATCTGATATCCACCACTTGGCATTTCCGTTAATTCCCTTCCATCGTTTTTAACAACATCTCGTCAGGCAATCAGAGGTATGCTTGGAACGCCAGGAATTTTGATGATATTCTAATTTGTGAAAAAAATCAATCCCCAATACTTGAGGAACAAATTATCCTGCCAGATTTCTTACTGCCAGAATAATTGTCATTTCAGCCAATAAAATGAGATAACATTTTGAAATGCAGCTTCTAGAAAGAGTTATGGACCATCTTCCAGCATTCCAGACCAAATAACCACTTTCTATATTCTTTCATCTTGACATTAAACGAAGAAAGCCGTAAAAAAAATCTCCGTGGCAACAAGAGAGCCGGAATGAGCCAAACTCACTTACCTCTTTATGTCTAACAGCTAACATATTTTATAGGAAATCTCATGATTCATGTTAGAATTATTTTGCTACCGTTTTAAAAACAGAAGTGGGGCAGTTAGTCAGAACTTGTGGAGAAGTACAAAACTAGGTTACTATATTAACATTCCAGGATAACTAACAAATGATTACCAATTTCTCCACAAGTGACATACTAATCCCACATGATTTCTGAATGGTCAATGAGACACAAAATAAATTAGAGGGTAGACCGCAAGATTATCACAAGTCCTTTTTTATTTCATTTAAGTTACTGCAGTTTTGCGGTCAACTCTCAAAATGACCATTAGACTCTATGTCTCAGAGATCAATAATCATTGAGAAATTTCGCCTTGCTAAAGGATCAAACCTGCGATCACTGGATCACATATTTAATGCACGCCCTATTGAGCAATTAGAGCAACAACTGTATACATTATATTTCTTAACAATTATTTCTCAAGGTCCATAAAGAAACGCATGGACCAGAAGGTTTGCTACTTTATCTATAAAGTACATTTAACAGTGCACTACCCCAAGACCTATATGTATTTAACCTCCTAACTAAACTGCAATTTTTTTTCTGTCATGAAAATAAAGGTACAATAATGTAAAAGCTAATTTAGAGTGACTTTTTTTATCTAGATATACAATTTGTTTCAAATAAAAGTAATTCAATTACATCATTTTCTCAGTCAGCTGCCAATATTTACACTTTTAACAGGACAAAAAATACAGATTATACGCATAGGAAAAAACATACAGAGAAAATTCCAAAATAAAAGTATATTTTTTGCCAAGAATCAGTACTACTTAAGCCATGTCTGTGAATTAATAAGTCAGCTTGAATTTCTACTCAGACATTTCAATTTCTCTCACTATGTGAGCATAATGCACTGTAAGTTACGAGAGAAAAAAACAAGACCTGTCGGTAGGACAGCAACGCTCGACTATTCTTAGTGCTTGATAGTAAAAAAAATGCTTGATACAGTTACCTCCTCCTGTTTACAGGTTGGGGTCATGATGGTTGACAAGTGTGCAAAGTTTCAAAGCCATATGTCAATGGACTTTGAAAATATTTGAACTATCACAAAAACTTTAACATAAATTCTAAGTCGAAAAAGGGGCATAATTCTGTCAAAATGCTTGATAGAGTTACCTCCTCCTGTTTACAGGTTGGGGTCATGATGTTGAACAAGTGTGCAATGTTTCAAAGCCATATGTCAATGGACTTTGAAAATATTTGAACTATTACAAAAACTTTAACATAAATTTTAAGTCGAAAAAGGGGCATAATTCTGTCAAAATGCTTGATAGAGTTACCTCCTCTTGTCTACAGGTTGGGGTCATGATGGTGAACAAGTGTGCAAAGTTTCAAAGCCATATGTCAATGGACTTTGAAAATATTTGAACTATTACAAAAACTTTAACGTAATTTCTAAGTCGAAAAAGGGGCATAATTCTGTCAAAATGCTTGATAGAGTTACCTCCTCCTGTCTACAGGTTGGGGTCATGATGGTGAACAAGTGTGCAAAGTTTCAAAGCCATATGTCTATGGACTTTGAAAATATTTGAACTATTACAAAAACTTTAACATAAGTGGTTACGCCAACGCTCGGGTGACTGCAATAGCTCTACTTATTCTTATCGAATAGTCGAGCTAAAAATTTACAAAAAGAATATGTAAAAGTTTGGATTTGATTTCTTATAAGGTGGCTGGTTTCTTTTTATTCTTTTTTCCTCTTTGTTTTACATTACAGAGAGCTAAAAATACGGCCCTTGTAGGGGAGGGGACCGAGGGGTTGCCTTTAAGGATTAAGGGCCAACATTTTACCCTGTTTGATCGTTAGAGGCAACTAAATGTGTTTCAAATTACTGGAGTCTATGCATGTCTTAGCTCCAGCAGATGAGAAGCTTTTGAGCTTAAGTGTACCACATGAAGTTAGCCAAAATCATCTTTCCTTTTTCAGCACTATATGACTTTTACTGTGATGGTATGCCGTAAAACCAAACAAACAAAAGGAGTTAAAAATATGCAGCAAGAGTTGCGCAATTTAAGAAACAAAGATTAAACCTTAGCCTGCTTATTGTAGCTCCTACTGTTTGTGTTTTCATTGTGACCAGTTCAGACCAAGATCACCTGGCATGCAGTCTGATCAAGATGTGCAATGTTCACTATTTAGACAGTTCATATCTAAAAGTGATCAATGATAAAGTCTTTATTGAAAGATGGACAAGTTCATTTAAGATAAGTAAAGAATGATTTATAGTTGTATAATATTGGTTTGCCTATAATTTACATTAAAAAATAAGAATTTTTTTTCTTAAGAACAATGGTCTTGTTTTATTCATTAAATTTTTATCTAAGTATCGAAAGCTTGACAGTTTTATATAATTATACCTTTTACCCCCCCCCCCTTTTTTATTATCACTTTTTTATTATCAAGTACTTAACTACTACTGATTGACCTTCATTTCACTTTTATTATCTTACTATGTCATCAAATCAAAGGAAAACCAGACTGGTATCCCTGATGAAGTAATATATATAAAAAAAATTAGCAATCAGCTGTCTCAGCCACTGTAACCAGTCAGCTCTATTTAAAGCATGGCAACTTCACAACAATGAGAATTTCGTCTTGTTTAAATTTAGCGCTGAGCCAATCATGTCCCATCATTATTGGTAGATAAACACACTGGTGGTTTAATGAATGGAAAACAGATCACTGTGGACTCAATGTAAATTGTAGTCGAACAACAGCAGACGACAAAATTTGATTTTTAGCAGACGACAAATTTGATTTTAGCAGACGCAAATTTTCATTTTATTTTTTCATTTCTAAATAGTAGACAATAGTGTGAAACTTCTATATATCAAAAGATCTACATCATTAGAGTAAGAATATTTAATGAAACAAGTGATAAAACATATAAATGTGAAATCTTTTTATCAGGTGCCATTATAACTGGTCATCAATAATGGATTATTTACCGGTATCAAAAATAATAGTCGAATTTTGGAAAATTAAAACGAATAATTGAGAATATATTGAACGATTATTCGCTAATTATGAATCTTGCAACACCATACAGGATTATTAAAACATTTACCATCTATTATATTCTAATTTGGATAAATTTACTCGATGGCAAACCTCTTTCCGCTGGCACAGAAGATCTAAAAAATCGGACAGACTGTGTGCCGGAATTTGAAACAAATCTACAGCAGTGCATTGACAGACTTTATTTTTACAAATGGAAGACGGATGCAATGAAATTTCAAACCAGTCGTAACCTTTTCAAAGAAATTTTGAAAAGATTTTTCTGCAGGTGAGATAATTATAACTTCATTTCTTTTTCTGACTTTTTTTTTGGTAAAATTATGTTTGCAAGGACATTGTTATATATCTTATAATTTACAGCTCTAAACCGCCTGGTACAGATTCTACTCATGCAACCAATGTAGACCAACTTCTTATTTTATTTTTAAATCAAATCAATTAATTTCAAATAACATAAATTTGTGACTGGTATTTCAAGAGTTCACTCTGAAACTATTTTGGTGCTAATTTTGATAAGGAAGTTAAGGTCTTCCTTGGAATTCTATTTTGTTAATTGTCCTCAGACCACAGATTCATTTTTTGTGTCAAATACAGGAAACACTAGCCACTTTAACCTATCAACTACGACCCCCCCACCCCGACCACTCTGCTATCCCCTCCCCCAGACAAGGGTGGAGGATATCAAAAATGATGTTACCATTTGTCTTTGCAGAGCAGATCAGGGGTTTGAAAATTCAATGGTCAAAGGGGGGAGGTGGGGGGTAGCGAAGCTGTTGTGAATTATCCTCTCAAAGTCTGTGCTACTCTCTTTTAATTCATAAAAGATAAAAAAATTATGTCATTAAACATAATCAATAATCCATTCTAACTTCTCATTTTTTTCATTCTTTTTATTTTTCATTTTCATTCATAATTTTTTCATTCATTACATTACAAGCAGATGTTACATTACAACAGACTGCCTGCATGATTCAGTCACATGATAAAACTTGCAGCACACTTTCAATAATACCTTACATGTAGATCTAAATTTTCATTTTTAAATCCATTTTTCCGAAAAAAAAATTTTCTTTATTTTTTTTAAAAATTTTTTATTTTGAAAGCGCAGGAAAAGATCAAAGATTGTTCCATATGTAAAGGTCAAATATGTAGGTCAAACCATTCATCTTGACATGAAAGAATGTAAAACAGCCTGTCAGCAAGACTTGAACCCACTGTAGTTATGGGCAAGCTTTTGGAAGTCAACAACTTTTATTACTTGACCATAGTCAGCCCAATAACTAAACTGAACTTTAACCTAAGTACCAAACTGAAAAATAACTTTAAACTATACAACACATTAGTAAATAAATCTACATAAATGCAGACTTCTAACACAATCGCAAAGGTGGACAGACAAACAGACAAATGGGCTAGACTGATTAACAGCACATTATGCTTCAGAAACAAAAGTTTTTTTCATTCTTCACAAAGGGCAAAGATTTTAAAACATTCAAATAATTTTTAACATTTCAGCTGCATATAACCTGGAATGTGAAATTATTTGTTATAAAAGAAGCAAAATGTAAACAAAGCAGTTAATTTTGACTTCTGTACCAAATTTAACTTATAAAATTTTACTAAATGCAAAATTAGCAACAGAGGCAAGATGTTTCAGGTAATTGGTCAGTAAGTATCATTCTGGAAACTATTTCAGGGCACTGTAATTAAAAGTTGTTGAAAGATGAAAATAAAAGTATTTCTTAGACATAATGGGCCTTTATGACAGATAAAAGAAATATAACATACAGACAAAAAGAGAGGGGCTCTACACCAAAAAAAATTTCCTCTCAGTAAAATTTTAAAGTATTACTAGTGAAAATTTGAGAGTAGTGATTCTGATTAATTAAAAGCATGTTTGTTTGTCATTGTATGGAATAAAAGTAGCTGGTATAGCGAGAAAATTATGCCCGCCATCATGGCTTATAGAGAGAAACGCACAGACCTAGGCTTCCAGGCCATTCTACTCAGGGGGCGTAAAAGTCAATCGTCCACTTTGGCCAGATTGTCCTTCAGCCTATACCGACAATAGAATTTACCAATATACTTCATAAATATCATATGAAGAAGTAACCAAATGCTTTATACAGAAGAAAATGGACAAGTCAATCAAAATCAGATTTTGCCGTCCCTGTTACGTAAAATTATCTCTGTGCTAAGACATAATTTATATCATGTATAATTTAAACAAATATCACAATATTGTGTGCATTACCACTTTAATCATACCAGAGTTTCTTTCTCTCAATACCACACAGTATGAGACCTTTCTGATTCTCATAAAATGCGCATTATTTTAATGACAGTAAAATCTGGCCAGCAAATCAATTTTCAACATGACCTTTTATTACTAACTGGTCTCACTCCATATGACCCCTAAATTCTTTGTTTCGATGCATCCATAAATAGAAATTTAATGCAGTTAAATATTTCCAGGGGAGATAATTAGACATTCATCAATTTAATTAATAATCACCATTTCTAAACCTAATTGCTTCAAAGGAACTATGTCATTATAAATCAGTATAAAGAGTAACGCATTTATAATAACAAAATATTACTACAGCTTTGTAATGTATAATTAATTATACCTTTGATTTAGTAAGTTTTGAACATTTAATTGATTTGTACGTTCTCATACATTTCTTTAAGAATTTTTTTTTCATCTGCAAAGTTAATAAACTCAAGTCGCAAGCAAATGGCATGTTCATTTTTTATGTACAGAATTTTTTTTATTATCAGCTACTATACTATAGTATAAAAAATTCCCCCATACAGATAAACGCAGATGATGAATAAAGAATCAATAACGTATTAGTCGCAAAATTAGTAGCTGACTTCACAGCACATCATCATAATGAAACCATAAGCCATAAAATCGGCTAATTTGTTTTTGGAACAGATTTTTATACTAAATCGAAAACTACGAATAGAAACAAAGGCAATTATACTTGACTACCATATCTAGTACAACTAATACATAAAATAAAAATAAAACTCAAAATCAGATTTGGGGCTTCAAAATACACTGGAAGGGAACCAATATTCCAAAAAAATTTTTTTCCATCAAAAATTCCAAAATTATTTTCTTTTTAGTTGGAAAATTCCTTAAAAAAGGGTTAAAATTTTATTTTTAAATTTACCTTAAATTTAAATTTGTTTGTTTAACTTTATTCTTTTTAAAAAAGTTTTTTTTAAATTTATTAAACCAAAAAATCATTTTAGCGCTTTCAATTTTAGCTTATTTCCACTTTACTTCTTTTGAGTTTTTGTATTGTTAAGTGATTAGTATTTTGTATGGAAGTCAAAATACCACTTTGTTTACATTTTGCTACCTTTATAACTAGTTATTTCACATTCAGTGCTGTATTTTCTTCAGGTGATAAGCATCTTACATAATCTAAATCAATTATTACAACAGTATGAAACATATATTACCCTTTTCTACAGAATTGAAATTTTTTTTCTTCTTTTTCTGAGGCACAAGGTGAGCTAATACAACTTTTGTGTCAAAGATGCCGTCAAAGAAAAAAATTTTAATGGACTAACTCAGGTAAAAGTGACGCAGTCTCAGAATCGTACTGCCTGACACCCTATACATCAAAATCCCCCCCCTCACCCCTCCCCAGTATCAAGTAACTGACACGAGTCAATTAAGCAAATGACAATAATGATATTCCAAAAGTCTTTTTCTGTGACTTCTGATAAATATCAGTTTAATAACAGAAGCCTTCCCCCACAGTAACGGTCAACCACCCTAAATCACACTTAAAATCATATCATATTTCGCAGTAACTTCCAATTTTCCTAATAGCTCCCCTCTTCTAAGGTCAGTCATTGGACATACAATGGATGGGCAATAAAAACATTCTTATCACTGAAGTCAATCCATTAGCTAATTTGCCGTTTTCTCATATTGTTTCGGTGACCAATTTTAATGGCGATTTGCTGTATCAATTACCGGACAAGTGGACACGGAATAAATGGACCCTGGACAACTATCTGGAGTATAAATCTTGCATGATTATTTCTCATAAATCGTGAATACAGTTCTATTAATGAGAGTAAAGAAGATATCAGTTTCTCATATCCATTTTTCGAATCTTACAGAAAGCAATATCCACCTATAGTCATCAAATTGAAAGTATTTTATACAATAATTAATGGCTGCGGAATGGGGGGAAATAAAACCCATAACTCATCATCGATATAATTACCCAGTAAAGTAAGTCATAAATCACGACAAACTGTTTTCATTATATCTTTTTACCAGTCCAGTTATATTTTCATACAGTCCAGTTCTCTTTTGAGTATAACTTAATTGAATTTCCGATCCAGTGACAAAAAGTTCAAATGCTCTTTTTAATTAAAGTAATTGGGTGATCAAAAACCCAATGAAAAGTCAAAACAGGTGAATGACTAATTTTTCTCTCATATAATGCAAAAGCATTTTTATAACATATTAAAAAGTATGAAAATATACATTCATCACAAAATGTTATAAAGAAGGAAATTGATCATAAAAATAAAACCAATCTTCTTTGTAAATAAACTATATTAATTCTTTTCTCAAAAAGTTGTTAATTTTTTTTTTTTGATGATGTTTTTTTTTCCCTGTTTACACTGGCAAAATGATTGATATTACCCAACTGGTAAAAACTAGGATCATTTTTTCATGACATACTAACTTGAAGAAATTGTGTATCAAATGTGGCCTTTGATCATTAGGTGTTAAACCACAAAAATAACAGTCTCTATTTAATAAACAGTATATTAAGCATCTTCTCAGTTTAAAAAGATCATTGAGTAAAATAAACCCTTGTGAATTGTATGCCCCCTAACAAATAAAACAACTTACTAAATGACAAACAAACAAGAATATTAGCCTATCACAGGTGGATGCATCAAAAAGTGAAAACATAGCCAATGAAGAAAATCTATTTTTAACTTCCATGACCTTGACCTAATTGAATTGAGACACCACTCTGAATAGTTACAAGGTCCATGGAATATGCCAAAACACCAAATATCTAAGATATCTGTGACACCAGTCAATAGCTGCTAAGGGATGGAGCGAAGAATGAAGTTGCTATGAGATGGAGCAAGAAATGAAGTTGCTATGGGAGGGTGCTAATGGAGAGAGCAAAATGAAGTTGCTATGTGGAGGGAGAAAAAATGAAGTTGCTATTGGAGGGTGCTAATGGAGGGAGCAAAATGAAAAGCTATGGGATGGAGCAAAAGATGAAGTTGCTTTGGGAGGGAGCAAAATTGAAGTTGCTATGGGTGGGTGCAAAAGATAAAGTTGCTGTGGGAGGGAGAAAAAAATGAAGTTGCTCTGGGAGGGAGCATGAAATGAAGTTGCTGTGGGAGGGAGCAAAAATGAAGTTGCTATGGGTGGGAGCAAAAGATGAAGTTGCTGTGGGAGGGAGCAAAATGAAGTTGCTATGGGAGGGAGCAAAAGATGAAGTTGCTGTGGGAAGGAACAAAATGAAGTTGCTATGGGAGGGAGGGAACAAGAATGCTATATGGATATGGGACACAGAATAAGAAAGTTGTTACTAGTAAATGAAGAGAGGTATGGTACGTAAGAAACATAGTAAGGGAGGCAGGGGGAAAAGGAGACAAAATAGAACTAGAAATATGTCCATAGGACACGGTTGCCCCCACACGCCACTGTTCTGTCAATCTTATGAGTCTCGGTCAAATATTTTTTGGACTACATGTGCCACAAGTTGAAAACTAAAAATCAACAAAGGGCCATAATTCTGTTAAATTTCTTTTAAAAATTCCTTCCTTTACTACCATCTACAAATTTAGGTTGTTAATCCCTGGAAGTTTAAGCAAAATCTGCCATCCGGTTTAAGAGGAGTTGCGTTAACAAAATTTCTACAAAGTATATAGTGAAAAAATCAACAAAGGGCCATAATTCTGTTAAATTTGGTCGCAGCAACAATTCCTTCCTTAACTACCATCTACACATTAGGGTTGTTCATCCCTGTAAGTTTAAGCAAAATCTGCCATCCGGTTTAAGAGGAGTTGCGTTCACAAAATTTCTACATAGTATATAGTGAAAAAATCAACAAAGGGCCATTATTCTGTTAAATTTGGTCGCAGCAAAAATTCCTTCCTTTATTGCCATCTACACATTAAGGTTGTTCATCCCTGGAAGTTTTAGCAAAATCTGCCATCCGGTTTAAGAGGAGTTGCGTTCACAAAATTTCTACATAGTATATAGTGAAAAAATCAACAAAGGGCCATAATTCTGTTAAATTTGGTCGCAGCAAAAATTCCTTCCTTCACTACCATCTTCACATTAAGGTTGTTCATCCCTGAAAGTTTAAGCAAAATCTGCCATCCGGTACAAGAGGAGTTGCGTTCACAAGATTTCGGGACGTACGGACGGACTGACAGACAGACAAGTGCAACGCTATATGCTCCCAGTTTGTGGGGGCATAAAAATAGGTGCTTCACAGAAAATAAAACATATCTATTACAACAAAAGAGACCTTAGATCTATTTGTTTGTTTAATTGGGCTTTACGTCACACCCACACACTGTATAGGTCATATGGAGACGTTCCAGCTTTACGGGTGGAGGAATACCTCAGATGCCCTTCCGTGCAATATTTCAGGCATGAACGGACACCTGAGTAGAACCACCGACTTCCATAAGCTAGCTGGATAGCTTCCTGACATGAAAGAATCCAAAGTCCCTGTCGGGATTCAAGAGACCTAAAAATCCGTAGCCACATATCATATGGCACATGCTTCTGTAATGTACAACTGAATCTAGAAAAATGAAAAAATCGACCTACCATATTGCAAGAAACAATGGGTGGCTTTATCTACTTAATATATCAATGTCAGCATAATGTCACCATTTACATAATGTAATGAAGTAATAGGGAGGGAGTGGGTGTTAATGAAATACCATTTCAAATTGCAGCTGCTATAGGTATTTGTTTTTATGTCAATTTGACATACAACAGCCTTTTATGTCTAGTCTTTCTTGGAAAATAAAACATTCAATTTAATTGATTTCTAGGAAATGCCTTCCTTTAATGATCAGAGTTTTAAAACAAAATGTTCAAATAAATATAAGGTTTATCTCTCTGATCAAGTAATAAGCTGTGATGACTATTTCTGGCATATGTATTATCTATATGATTTATTTCTAGAGTGAATATAATAACAAAAGACTTGGCTAGAAAGTTTTGTTGTAAATAAGCACAAAGAGTCTGCACAAATTGAAATTTGAAAATCAACTAACTGCCAAATATATGCAAAATGAAATTTCTCAAATTTCTTTGAAAGACCAACACAAAAAAATCTTGAAAAGGAACATGGTATTCATCATTTTTGGAATATAGCCACTACTAAATGCTCAATTGTTTGTATGTTTATCTTGTTTTTTAATCAGTCCACCGAACTACCTATCCTGGAGAACTAACCAGTAATTACTAATTTCTCCGAAAGTGACCGACCGTAAATGCATTATGAATAATAAAGTACCATCAAAATTAATGCTAGACAAACTTACTATATTAGTGTAAAATAATTCTTTTCTATTTTTTTTTTAAACTTTTTGAATTAAGATTATAAGCCATCTATTGGCTTGTTAACTTTAAAGATAATTATGAAACATATATTTATCTTAGGGATTTTAATTTCTTGAATAATTTGTTACACAGATTTATAATTTTCTATTTCCAGACAATATACAAACAGTTTACAGTGCATACATGAAATCTTAAATAGCTGTAACCAGAACGATACAACTCAAATTGTACGTAAATACCTCTGTCAACCGTGGGCACGCCAGTACAATACACTCTGTGATATTAACCAACACAACTCGACATTCTTAGTTCGGAACATTTCTTCGGAGACCCTGATCGGTTCAAGTATTCAACAACCAAGGACAAATGTAACGAACTTTGCTTCAACGGAAAGTAGACAACTACATGAAAGTTCTAAATCAAACATTGTAACCTTGACGATCAATTCATTACCAAACTCCACCAGTGATACAAAAAGTGAAACACAATCGCATAAAACAATAGATTCCAATATTAATGACAATCAGTCAAATTCAAGAAAACTTGGCAATCGACAAAAAGCCGAACATACTGAAAATGTCGAAAAGACATTACCCAAGAACACGCTCTTTTTCTCTGAAACTGTGAAGATGGAAATTGGATTTCAAAACAAGAAAGTCAATTCAAAGGAATATAAGGTTTCGTTAAGAAAATTTGAAAAAATGAAAACAAAAATTTTGACACAAAAATCAGCAGCTGAAGATGTTAAAAGTTATAAAGAAAATTTAGACAGCAAGTTTGAAGTACATTTTGAAATTCACTAGTTAAATTTTCAAATAATCATTTTTGGTAACAGATGCCTGTGTGCCCATTAAAGCAATGCAACATGTTGCATGGCATATACACAATGCAAGTCATAATATCTACCAATCTCTATATATTAACAGCTTTTTGATTGGCCAATTCAAAGCTGCAGAATAGAGAGAATGACAAATCAAATCATATTTTCAAATTTTTACTTTTAATAGGAAAGGGTGTGGGTTTGTTTAATTGGTCATTTCTATAGTCATGAAATTATGATTTTTTGCAATCATTCAGTTTTGGGTATATTTAGACTCATGTTTGGGAAAAAACTCGCATTACGGAAAAACAAGCTTTTTCTGCCATGAAGACCAGGGCTCAGTATACCAAACCCATCTTAAGCATTTTAATGCACCCCATCATCTTTAAGAGCCTATATTTAGACACAAGTTTTAAATAGACAGGTCCGAGTCATAAAACAAAAATTTGACTTTAAAATTGACTATTTCAACAATACATGTTAGGCAGACATAACCTTATTAAAGTTAACTTCTGGTCAATTTCAAATTAAAAATGAACCAACCCGGCATCTTGGTTCAGATTAGATCAATCAAGACTCATGTAAAAAATCAGAATCTGAAAAATGGATGATTTTGACTTAGAACTGCCAATTGCTACTCTTCTCTTAGCCAGTATATATTTTGAAAATACAGAATTGCAATTATTTAATTCAACAATTTGTGGATTGTCATTTTGTTAATATCATAATATAAAGATGTATTAACATACACACATATTACAAATTTAGTGTTTTTGTTATAAAAAAGCTATTAAAGGGAGATAAATTTCTATGAGCTAACCAACCAGATATTGACAAATGGCAAAAAGTGTCAATTTTTTTAACTTTAAGGCACATTATACCTGAGATATTCATTTTTTTTAATTGTTTAGAAATGTTGATAATGTGTTTTATATAGTTTTAATAATGTACTAAGAGCATGTTAAATAATTTACAACTGAAGAAAATTGTGCTGAACAAGATGACAATCTGTTGTAAAGCCAAAAGGTAGCAAAATTTAAACAAAATAGTATTTTGACTTCCATACAAAATACTAATACCCTATAATTATACCAATTGCCAAAAAGAGCAGAGAAAGGAAACAAATGATAGTTTGTATATCTATGGCAAATGAGTATTTCTTTTGATACCTTAATAAGACTCAAAAATTAAAAGTTTTTGTGAAACAAGAGGGCCATGATGGCCCTGGGGTCGCTCACCTGAACATAGGCCCCCAGGGCCGGGCCAGTTTAAACCAAAGGGCATTTATTTCAACAAACTTGGAAGACACCCATATGAAGATATTTCATGATGTTAAGTTTTTACTATACACAAATAATGTATAACAATGACTTTTGCCCCCCCCCCCTCTCCCTGGCAGGGCTAATTTTGACCCAAGGGCTTTTATTTGAACAAACTTGGTAAACATCCATTAGAACATGTTTCATGCTAAATATCTTAACTCTAGCTCTTTTGGTTCTTTAATAGAAGATTTTTAACTTTTTACTCTATGTATATAGGGAAAATCAATAACCCCTGGGACAGGGCCAATTTTGACCCCAGGGCTTTTATTTGAACAAATTTGGTAGACACCCATTAGAACATGTTTCATGCTAAATATCTTAGGTCTAGCTCTTTGGGTTCTTTAAGAGAAGATTTTTTTAAGTTTTTACTATATGCATATAGGGAAAATCAATAACCCCTGGGACAGGGCCAAATTTGACCCCAGGGCTTTTATTTGAACAAACTTGGTAGACATCCATTAGAACATGTTTTACGCCAAATATCTAAGCTCTAGCTCTTTGGGTTTTTTAGAAGAAGATTTTTTTAAGTTTTTACTATATGCATATAGGGAAAATCAATGGGGACGGGGCAATTTTGACCCAAGGGCTTTTATTTGAACAATCTTGGTAGACACTTATTAGAAGATGTTTTATGCTTAATATCTTAGGTCTAGCTCTTTGGGTTCTTAAAAAGAAGATTTTTTAAAGTTTTTACTATATGCATATAGGAAAAATCAATGACCCCCTGGGGCGGGGCCCAATTTTGACCCCAGGGCTTTTATTTGAAAATCTTGGTAGACACTTATTAGAAGATGTTTCATGCTTAATATCTTAGGTCTAGCTCTTTTGGTTCTTTAAAAGACGATTTTTTTTAAGTTTTTTACTATATGCATATAGGGAAAATCAATTACCCCCTGGGGCGGGGCCAATTTTGACCCCAGGGCTTTTATTTGAACAAACTTGGTAGACATCCATTAGAACATGTTTAATGCCAAATATCTAAGCTCTAGCTCTTTGGGTTTTTTAGAAGATGATTTTTTAAGTTTTTACTATATGCATATAGGGAAAATCAATGACCCCCTGGGGCAGGGCCAATTTTGACCCCAGGGCTTTTATTTGAACAATCTTGGTAGACACCCATTAGAAGATGTTTCATGCTTAATATCTAAGCTCTAGCTCTTTGGGTTCTTTAAAAGAAGATTTTTTTAAGTTTTTACTATATGCATATAGGGAAAATCAATGACCCCCTGGGGCGGGGCCAATTTTGACCCTAGGGCTTTTATTTGAACAATCTTGGTAGACACTTATTAGAAGATGTTTCATGCTTAATATCTTAGGTCTAGCTCTTTTGGTTCTTTAAAATAAGATTTTTTTAAGTTTTTACTATATGCATATAGGGAAAATCAATGACCCCTGGGGCGGGGTCAATTTTGACCCCAGGGCTTTTATTTGAACAAACTTGGTAGACATCCATTAGAACATGTTTAATGCCAAATATCTAAGCTCTAGCTCTTTGGGTTTTTTAGAAGATGATTTTTTTTAAGTTTTTACTATATGCATATAAGGAAAATCAATGACCCCCTGGGGCGGGGCCAATTTTGACCCCAGGGCTTTTATTTGAACAATCTTGGTAGACACTCATTAGAAGATGTTTCATGCTTAATATCTTAGGTCTAGCTCTTTGGGTTCTTTAAAAGAAGATTTTTAAAGTTTTTACTATATACATGGGACGTGGCCAATTTTGCCTCAGCAATCTTGGTAGACACTCACTAGAAGATGTTTCATACCAAATATCTAAGCTCTAGCTCTTTGGGTTTCTAGAAGAAGATGTTTAAAGTTTTTTCTTTTGGTTGACAACCAAAATTCTGCATGGAATGGAATTCTTTGAACAACTTTGTTAAGGCTTCACACAAGGAACATCCCTGTGAAGTTTCATTATGATCTGCCTTATGGTTTCAGAGGAGATGTCGTTTGAAAAGTGTGAACGGACAACGGACGACGTACGACGGACGACGGACACCGGACGACGGACGAAGAGTGATCCTAATAGCTCACCCTGAGCATATGCTCAGGTGAGCTAATAAAAATGATAGCATATCTGAGGCATAATGAGCCTTTAACATGTAATCTACAAGTTACTTTAATCTTGTACCAGAAACGGTTGTACTTCTACTTATTTGTATTTGTATAGATTTGCATTTTGACATGTGAAAATACCTCATTCTAATCATGCATTCCAATTTATGCTCCAATTAAATGTTTAAATTATGACTTTCTTTGTTGTTTCTTTCACATTATACCATCTATAATTCTATATTAAAATGTCATTTTAGTGACTGAAACATTTCTAAATATACTTAAGAGGTATTCAACTCTGCAATGTCACAAATGGACTCCACTGGGGTTGTTTTTTTTTGTCATGACGGGATTGGAAATATTTTCCAAGTCAGACATTATCTACTATTTGATGAAGATCTGGACCAATAAGGTGCAAAAAATTTCTGGATCATTTCCCCTCTGTCCATTTTTCTGCAATAATCATTTTTAATGTGCAAAATGACCTTACAAGTGTTGCAACACTTTCACTCAAAGCAGTTAAGAATCACCAAAAATAAAATAAATTTTAATTTTTCATCTACTACATACTACATTGCTATATTATCCTTTGCAAGTTTTTCCATCTACCTGAAAATTTCAAATTTTATGTCTTTAGGCTCTTTGACCTTTGACCTCAGGTAGATATCCTATAATAGCTCAAAACACAAAGATCTTTATCCCTTGAAACTTGCAGTAAGGGCAAGTATATGTTATTTATTACTCAAGGCCTCCATAGTTACTTCCCTTTTTTCCCCCATATCATTAACACCTCAACAATTACTTCCCCTTACGGAAGGAATTTCATGGCCAGAATATCTTATTGAATAAAAAATATTTTAATTATTGCAACAACCTTGTATAACTATAGACACTGGATGGTGAAAACACAGCAACTTTTTGAAAACTGAACTTTTCAAGTTTCATCGCAAATAGCTTCCCCTACAAGAAATAATATCAAAGTACCTCATGTTGATTGTTGAATTTAATAATCATAAATACAATTCTTTGAAAGAATGTGAAAGAAAAAAAAACCTTTCAGAACATCTTTGGGCAGATCTTGTCCATTTAATCTCTCTTTATACATTTTACTGTAAGAAATTTACAATAGGGAGCAGCTGTCTTGCAGCGAAAATGTCTCCATCTAATCCAAAGATAGACAGTTCAAGCTTAAATAAACTAGATATGTATCCAAATATATATAGCAAATCAATACCCCCCCCCCCCCCTGCAAATAGCATGGGCATAATAGTATTATACAATTAAATCAGATGTAAACCTCTTATTTTTCATTAACAAGTCAATGAACAGAATCATACCCTGCACCGGCTGAAATATCAAAGCTGCCATTGAAACTGACCAATAGTACCCTTTAGTTTATAATATACAAATTTATTTCAGTTTGTGTTTCAAGCTATAAGCTTATTGAAACACTCTTGAAATTGTTCCTGAAATCAACCAGTGCTAAGCAATGAATGTAATTTCTTGCTCAAGGAAATAATGGCTTGTCCGTGATGACAGGGTTTGAACCCACGCGGTCAGCAATCCTTAGATAACAAGTCTGACGCGTTAATCACTTAGTCACACCGCCACTAACAGCTACTACCCTAAAAGGGTAGAATAAAAAGTTAAGCTTTTTACTTACCCTAGCTTCAATAATCTCTGGTAGAACAGGCAGGAAGTCATCTCTGATAACCTTTGACAACGACTTCTCACATCTGACAGGACTCTCTTTAAACCACTGTGCCAAGTTCATCCAATCCTCCAAAGTCTGGCACACCAGGTGCCAGCGTGTACTTGACTTGGACGGAGTGGGTTCTACTGCAGGTTTAGATAAAGTAAACACATCAGGTTTAACTTCATCTTTCACATTGGCTTCTTCGTCATCCTTTTCTTCAGTCTTTACGTCTTCAGTATTTCTCTTTCTTAAACTTCTCTTAACACCACTGACATTAGAGTCATTAGAATTTCCCTCCGTTTCAATGTCATATTTGGCTTCTACTTCCTTCTTCACATTACAACTGTCCTCATCCTGTTCATCCAATTTTTTGTCACTTAAACCTTCTTCAATTTCCATTTTTTCTTCAGTATCAGCTTCCACTTTTTCAATATCATCAGTTTTAACAGTAGCTTTGTCACTTAAACCTTCTTCCGTTTCCATTTTTTCTTTAGTATCAGCTTCCACTTTTTCAATATCTTCAGTTTTAACAGTAGATTCATCTTCCACAGGATCAGCTTCAGTCTTTATTTTGCCATCAGCAATGTTGTCAGGGTCTCCTTTAGAAATTTCAACCTGTTTATCTTTGACATCCTCTTTACTTTCATCAATCTTGTTATCTTTTACATCAATATCATTTTCCTTCATTTCCACGGCCTCACTTTTAATCCCTTCACCAATGACTGGCTTTGAATCTGTATCATCTTCGACCTAAAGAAAACATAATTGGAATTATTTTGCAAAGCCACAAATTTTAATGTTTTTCTTTATGCCATCTTATCAGTGTTATTGACAACATTCCTAAGAATTCTTAAGAATTTTATCTACCTTGCATGATTCAATACCAAAAGCAATGAGAGGTAAGTTAGTTTTGAAAAATGATCTTGCACAAAACTTTAATCTGAAATTTATTAAGTAAAAGAAGGGCAATAATTCAGTCAAAATCACAGGAAAAGCTAACAGTCTAAGAAAGTAAACTCCATTTATGATCTAAAACACATGTGTGAAGGTTAAATCAAGTGGTTGTTTAAGTATGAAGTTGTTCAAGAACTTGCAATTTTAAACATTCTTTTTTAATTCAGAAAGGGTATTATTTAGTCAAATCAATGCCTGAGTCCTGGGTCTCAGATAATGCCCTCCAATAATAATCTTGAAGACAATGATCATGCATGCAAATCTTAAAAACAGGAATTTATTAAGTTCTCAATGAGCCATAATTCAGTCAAAATCCATGCTCGAGATATTAATCTCCAATTATGACCTATAAATACATGTGTAGATTCGACCAAATATCTTAAGTAATTGATGAAATTTAAAGTTGTTTTAGAAGCTGCATGCAAAACTTTAATCAAAAGATTACATCACTGAATATCACTGATTACAAGGTAAAATAATAAAAGTCAAGATTTTTCTACAAATTATTCTAAATGAAACAATAAAAACAATACCTTCAACTTATTTTCTTCTTCATTACCCTCTCCACTCCCAACATCTTCACAAGTGTTCTTTTCATCTTTGACACCTTCAACATCATCACATACTTCATCATCAATTTCTTTTGCATCCTCTTTACCTTTATCTTCTTCACATACATTTTCTTCCCCTTCTTTTCCCTCTACTTCTCTTTCCTTCTCATACTCCTCACCTTTTGCCTCCCTCTTGCCTCCATTTTCTTTACATTCATCTACTTCCATTTCGATGCTGTCTTTTTCTTTTTCAGTCTCATTTTCAGCAACATCATCATTCTCCTTTTCAACTTCACCATCACCATCTTCATCATCATCATTTCGACTAAGATCCCTTTTCAAGTTTAAAGTAGCAGTTGGTCTTCGCGAGGTTCGCTTTGCAGGACCCGCAGATTTCTTCGATGTACTAGATTTTGCAGATACCTTTGAAGTTTCAGATCTGAGAGAGCCTGCAGATTCATGACCACTGTCAACATCATAATCATGATCTTCTTCCGTATCACTGAAAATAAGGATAGTTTCAAACTTGTTATCAAGAATAAACAGGAATTGTAAATCATAACAATAGGTTTGTACATTTTTTATCAAAAGCCTGTTAACAATGAACTTGTCTTGAATTATTTTGTAAATGTATAAAGAAAGATACCAAACATTAAAGCAAGCAGGATATATTTGGGAGCAGAATCTCTATTTATATCAAGGAAACAGAAACTTTTAAAGACGAATGCAAAGTAAAATAGTTAATATTGAAGAGATCAACAATAAAAAAAGTCTGCTGTTAAAACTATAAATCTATCAAGGGAGACAACTTTGCCACATATCTATTACAATTCTAATTCAAAAATTTTGATTTTCTTCAGTGCAAAAGTTTTTGTTTTTTTTTCCTTTTACATTCAAGTATTATATCTAAACATTAGTTTATTTAAAAAAAACATTAGTTAAGGAGCATGAAATACAATTATAATGCAAAACGTCTTGTATTTGAATTTCCTACAAGCATCTACATGTAAGTATGATAGTTTAGGCTCATGTGGGCATCTTAGCCAACAAATCAAACCCGCATAAGCTTGCTGTATGGTTATTCTATTGTGTTTTTTTTTTATTTTTCCTATTCAGTTTGACTGAATGTCGATGATCAATTGTCACAGAGAAATTTCGCTTTGCCCAATGATCGTACGAGTGGCCCCTGCATTACTTATCTTATGCCTGAAACGACAGCGTCCCTTCTATCTCACATATAAATTCAACATAAAGTATACCTATTATATGGCGAGGGTAAAGGTTCTGGTTGTTTCCTTTTCCTAGCACTTCGTCTGACACCTGTATCAACCGGTGGTTCCGGTGCTTTTTGTTTTTTTGCAGATTTCCTCCCACTAGATCTTGTTCCCTACAAATAACAATATAATCATTATTTTCAATGACTCCAATATATACGCTCTTCTGTTTAGATAAAAGCAGTCAAAACTCCAAAAATATTGCAAGAAAAAAATGCACCTTGTCATGATAAGCAAGTATTCCAAGTTTCACGTTGATAACTTGTAAAAATATTTGAATACTGTTCTACATTAAAGTTATTGTACAACTACAATGACGCAGCAATCCTAATAGTTTGACTTTTTTCTTCTTCAAAACAGATGAGCTAAAAATGACATGCTTTGGTTTTTTCTAATTCAAACATACTTAACCTGGCACAACACATAGATGCTGTCAGATCATGGTCTGCACTGTTCACTATTTTCCCTAAAATTATCAATGGTTTTATTTAGATTGTTTGTTTGATTGGGTTTTACGTCACACCGACACAGTATATAGGTCTCATGGCCACGTTCTAGCTTTACTGGTGGAGGAAGATCTCGGGTGCCCTTCCGTGCATTATTTCAGGCACGAATTGTAACCCTGAGTAGAAGCACCGACGTTCCGTAAGCTAGCTGGATAGCTTCCTCACATGAAAGAATCCAAAGTCCCTGTCGGGATTTGAACCCACAGCGGTGAGGGGCAAGTGGTTTGAAGTCCATTAAGTAAAGACATTTAGCATGGTAAAAATTAAAACACATTGTCTACCTTAACTGGGGTTTCCTTTTTTGGTGTTTTCTGATTGGTTGCTCCCCTCTTGGCTGGTGTTTTTGCAGGGGTTTTTCTAGATTTTCCTCTTCCGGTTTTCTTTTCTACGACTTCTTCTACCTCGGTGTCTTCTTGTGAAGAGTCATCTATTTCTTCCTCCTCCTCTTCTTCATCGTCTTCTTCTGAAGAGCTGCTAGATTCAGAGGATTCACTGAGGAAAAATAAAATTTGTTTGTTTCATTGGGTTTTACGTCACACCGACACAGTATAGGTAATATATCCACATTCCAGCTTTACTGGTGGAGGAAGACCTCAGATGCCTTTCAGTGCATTATTTCAGGCACGAACGGGCACCCGAGTAGAACCACTGACTTTCCGTAAATTAGCTGGATCCTTTAAATTAGATGGATCCTTCCTCACATGAAAGAATCCAAAGTCCCTGTCATGATTCGAACCCACTGCGGTGAGGGGCAAGTGGTTTGAAGTCAACGACCATAAACACTCGGCCACGGATGCCCCAAAAAATTTCATATTGTTTGAATTTATTTTATTTGATAAAGAACTAAAAATGTGTCCATAGGACACAGGTGCCCCCACTGCAACACTGTTCTGTCAATCTTATGACTCTAGGTCAAATATTTTTTGAAAACTAAAAATCTTTTACTAAGTAAAGGGCAAGAACTTTACAAATACTGAATAAATCTACAAGCAAACCACAAGGTGCATAAGTACACATGCTGACCAACATTCTTGTAAACTTTCAGGCCTACAAGTTAAATACTTTTTGAGCTATGCATGAACAAGTTGAAAATTGCAAATTTATACTACTGTAAGTCAAGGGCAATAACTCGATACAAAACTGAAAAAATCCAAATGCAAAGTCCCAGGTTCATAGCTTCACAGTGATGTGAATCATTATTCCTGTAATTTAGTGATGTTGATCATTATTTCTGTAAAGTTGGTTGATTCTAACTCAAGCACTCAAGGAACAAATAACAACATAATGAAACGGTTTTTACTAAGTCAAGGGAAATAACTCTACAAATACTGGATAAATCCACAAGCGAAACCCCAGGTGCAAAACTAAATATGCTGGGCAACCTTCCCATAAGGTTTAATGACTCTATGTCAAATCCTTTTTGAGTTACATGCGACACAAGTTGAAAATTGCAAACATTTTCTAAGTCAAGGGCAATAACTCTAATAATTCTAAATAAATCCACACGAAAATACCCAGGTGCACAACTACACATACTATCAACATTCCTGTAAAGTTTCATGACTCTAGGTCAAATACTTTTTGAGTTACATGCAACACAAGTTGAAAATTGCAAAATTTTACTACGTCAAGGGCAATAACTCTAAAAATACTAAGAATATCCAGACAAAAATACCCAGGTGCACAACAACACATGCTGATCAACATTCCTGTAAAGTTTCATGACTCTGGCTCAAATAATTTTTGACCTACATGCGACACAAGTTGAAAATTGCAAAATTTTACAAAGTCAAGGGCAATAACTCTAAAAATACTAAAAATATCCAGACGAAAATACCCAGGTGCACAACTACACATGCTGATCAACATTCCTGTAAAGTTTCATGACTCTAGGTCAAATACTTTTTGAGCTATGTGCGACACAAAAGAGATCGGACGGACGGACCGACGGACAAGGGTAAATCTAAATGCCGCCACTAAAGTGGGGACACAAAAATGGTCACTTCAGATGTTGTCTCCCCCCCCTTCCCCCAACATGTATGACTGGAAATTTTTAAAAATTGTCTTTTAAAATTTTTTATAAGTTATTTTTGGTTTGGCTGTGAGTCAAACTGAAAATATAAAGGTCATAAAGGTCCAGTTACACTGGTGGAAGATCTCAGGTTTCCCTTCAAGCATTATATCGGACACAAGAGGGCACCTGTGTAAAGCCACCGATGTTCTGTAAGCTAGCTGGATAGATCTTTGTTTGAATATGAAATCCATTAATAAAACTGATCTTTGGGGGACAATCTTTCAGTATTTCAATTTGATAATGAAAATCAGGACATGCTGCTAATAAGCACATCTACTCTTGGTATAAAATTTCAGTAATATTCAGTCAGAAGTTGCCGAGATATAGTTTGGACAAAAACTATACTTGAATGACAGAGAGACAGACAGACACACCTTGCAATCACTATACGCATCCCTTAAGGTGTAGAAAAACCAAACCTTTGACTAACATTTTTCCTTATGCCACTCATCAAATTCCATTCACTTTAAATAAGGGCTTCCGTAAATGGAAGTTTGGGAGTCATTCACCCCTTGATTTTGGCTTGTGACTTCCAAAACAAATACTTTTCTTCTTTACCCTATATAATTTGACTTCCAATATCAGAGATTTTGCAGTCTCTGTCTTCCAAATTTTTAAACTGAATGGAAGCCCTGTTTAATTCAAAATATCAATTTTACCTTTCAGGTACTGCTAATTTTCGTGTTCGTAGCCTTCCACTTCTTCTTGTCTTACTATCCTCAGCCTTCTTAGCTTCTTCAGCTTTTTTCTCCCTTTCCGCCTTCCTTAAAGCTTTCAATTTTATCCGCTCTTCTTTTCTCTGTCTCTTCTCTTCTTGCTTCTTTCTTTTAGATTCGATTCTTTTTTCCCTGTCCTTAGCTCTGCAATTGAAATAAGATCCAAGTAACAAAATTTGTATTTATTTTAAATCTTCTTTGTTCGAGTTATGATTAAGGCTGTCACAATTACACATTAAAACGTATTTTTACATCTCTTTGAAATTTTAGGGGTCCAGTGGATGCACAGCCTAGAAAAGTAGGGGTCCAGGCCTGAATTTTAGGGGTCCAAAATTATATTCACTATAAAAGACTATGAAGACCACTCTATTTTGCTTAAAATCATTTATTTACCCTGTGAGAAATATGCATGTATATTGTACTATTTTCATAAGAAGTATATGATTTCAATATTTTTTATCACTAGGTTTTTTTACAGCCCTTTACAAGAATATCATGTGCTATTTCCAAGGCTTATAAGTCTTTGAGTGGCTGGAATGTCAAGTTTTAGTAGCATATTTTGTTATTGATAAGGTGATTACACCAACAGACTGAAAATTTGTACTGATTTATTTGTAAATATTTTAGCTGAACTAGTAAACACACAATAGATATCTTTACAGACCAGTCAGCTAAATATGTTGCGTTTTTTAAAATATCATATAACAAAAGGCCGACGAAACCGCTTTTGCACCTCCTCATAAGTTACGTCCGCCGAAACCATTATATTTATAACACCAACGATAAAAACATACCCAGTGACTTAATTTCTTTAACACTATGAAAATAGGTTTGCAAAAAGCACTGCTTTTTTTATTATTGCCGTTCATATACAAATTACATTCACCGAACTGGTAGATCGAAATTGGATACGCTAACCAATAGTAATTGCTTGTTATAAATAGTCTGTCTAAATATAGCAACAGAAAAACCAAAAACAGCTACCTAAAATAGATCTTGACGGTAAACTTCATCAGTTACTGTAGCTTGCACAATAAACGTCATCAGTTTCTGCAACGGGCACTTGCAAATAGCATGCACAGTAGATTTCAATTACGTTAACTTCCGAAATAAACAAATGCAAGCATTTTCTGCACGATGTATTAGATTTAAATGGAATTTTGTGAGCTTCGAGAAGAAAGAGATAAAATCATGTCGGTCAGAAACAATAATATCTATTGTCTAGGATTATTTTTGTGTGTACACTTGGACGCAAGTGGATAACTTATATGCGTACATGTCCAAATTTATGCGTATTGGGACGCAGAATTCTGCGTCCCGTAAAACCCTGTTTGTTTCCATTTTCATTCATAAATGTTTATATTTTTTATTGTTTAAACAATATGACAATATCAAAATATCCCACCTGTAATCACAGGGGTTTTTTTTACTAACAAATTGACACCGATAGTCGGCGTCTTCCCCTCGGTAAATAGCCAAGTTTTTTCCCCCAAAAAATTCTATTTTCCTTTAAACTGGATCAGATTTAATAATAACATGGTTTAAAATATTATTTTTCTTCATTTTATGCAGGATAAACCACCAATTGTTGTTCAAAATAACCAAAAACATTGCAGGAAACTGCAAGTACTGTCTCAACATGGAGGCAGCCATTTTTTTTCTTGGCTATATCCCGTACTGAACGGTACTATTTCTGGAAATCAGTTGCTATCAAAATATTGTCATTTTCTTGGTTATTTTTAGTAAAGTAATATATTTTGTACTTCTTATTATGAAAATGACTTATATGGAGCTAAAGTGTGTCACAGATACACTATTATACATATACTGTATTAACTTTCATACAAAAATAGAAGTATAAAAACCATTCACCACCATACATATTAAGAAAATATGTTATACTGCAAAGAATATTTTGCATGATGATAAAGTTTTTAAGGGGAAAAAGATATAGTTGTAACTCTCTACTATGTAGTTAAGTATATAGTATAAATAACGTCATAATAAAGTTTCCCCAAATTGACTTTTTTCGTATATTTTTTCCCCTCCCTACCAGCGTCCAGCGTCTTCCCCTTTTCCTAAAAAAAACCCCTGAATCATAAATAAGGGCGTTTACAACTCTCCAAGTAGCATCACCATGCAAAAATCACTTGTGACTAATTTTTTTTGGTAAAGTTGATTTTCCTTTGAGCAAATGGAGAGAGGCAGAGCGACTATTTTGCCCGACGGTGACAAACATTTTTGACAAATTGGAAACCATGACTAAAATAAAAGTACTTTAAACACTGACTTCCATTTTACATTAAATTACATTAAATTTTACAAAAAGTTAATACACTGGCAATACCTTTTCTCTTCTTTAGTAAGTTCTTTCTTTGGTAATGGATCTTCCATGTAGAGTCTGTTTCCATAGAAATACCAGTACAATGCACCATTTTTGTCTTTTCCGAGGGGCTCAACTCGCATACTGTCTCCCTCAAAACCCTTCAAACATGACCAAAAAAGAACTTATCTATGACAAAACAGAAGCACAATTGTTACACAGTTACAAAAAATATCTGTTTAACCTTTAATTCCCTCTAGACATTTAATTATCTATTTTCTAAATGTGCTTAAATCATTTTTTCTCCCAATCTACGAGTACATTTATCTGGAAATATTATTTTTAGTCCCATCATGTCAAAAAACCTCAGTGGAGTCCCTTTTACATGTAGAGGAAGACATCGGGTGCCCCTCCCTGTAATATTTTGTGCATGAGCATACACTTAAGTAAAACCACTTTATATGTGCATCCTTACACGAAACAGTACAACTTTCTGGCAGGATTCAAAACCAGTGGTTAGAGGCAAGTAATTTGCAATATATATTTAATTGGGAAAAAGTATGAAGCTTGTCAGAATGAATTATATTTCACCATCTCAGTTGTAAATTGAACAGCAGAAAAAAATTTGATTTTCTCTCAGACTTGTTAACTTTCCTCATTGACAGAAAACATTGCTACAAAAGTTACAAGCCAAACTTGCAAGTAAATCTCAATCCCCTTTTTTATGAAAGCAGAGTAAACACCAGACGCAATACTAGCATGAGTGACGTTAAACCAAGATCTTCAAAACAAATACACTCATAGCCTTTAAAGTCTTCAAACACATATTCTTAAAACAAAATTACCTTAAGCAGTTCAATAACATCTTCAGTATCTAGCCTGTATTCACATATAGCATGTATAAATTCAACTTTTTCTCTCATAGAAAGAGCTTTAAACTCGGTCTTCTCTTTGATAGGATCTTGCGAGGTATCCCATTTGTACTTTATAATATCCTTCACATATAGGTCATAATTTGCAATGCTGAAAAAATATAACTTTTACAATAAGAAATATTAATGACATATATCTAGGCAAAAATAATGAGATCAAAATAAAGCCAACTAAAAACCTTACTTTCATTTTTATACAAGAATCTTACTGGAATCTTACTGGAAACAAACATACAAGAAAATGTCTGTCTTATTGCACTGAAATATTGAGTAATTACAAATTTAGGCGTGTGTCACAGTATTGAGCTATTAATTCATTTTGGGAGAAAATGTGTAAGCAGCGGGATAGCTCAGACGGTAAAGCTGGGGTACAGTGTATATTCCTGGTTCAAATCCTCATCAGGCTGCTCATTTTCCTCAACCTAAGACATACGGTAAAATATTGCTATTCAAAATACATACAAAATATCAAAATACATACGTAATATCTTTTCTGCCATAGCATCCATTCAGAAGGCGACACAGAAGATCTAAAAGAAAGGCACTGCCTTCCTCGGTCTCTGATTGAAGAAACCCTTCTTCTAAATCCTGTTAATCATACAGATATGAAGTCAGTAATGTTACAGCAATGTTTTATGGTTCAAATATTTGTTAACGATAAACATGTTGTGGTTGTTGGAAAAATTATTTTTGTCTGCTCAAGTGAAGGTCTATAATGCAAGTGTAAGCAGATTATTAAATCTCTACAGTACAGAAACTTAGATAACACAACACATTAATTCTAAATATTGCCATTTCATTTCTCTTTTCAATTTCCATACACTTAACATATTGGAATGATCTGACATCATTGACTTACTGTAATAGAAATCACGAGTAAAGTTGTACCAACAGGGATTATCCTACATGTTTTATTAGAAATATTCTAAAAAGTTTAAAAATTACCCACAAACTAATGCACATTTTAATACCTTTGGAAACATTTCAAATATCAGCTTTCATTTCAGTAATAGTTTCTCATTAAGTGAATAGCAATGGTTAATAAATGAGAATCATTCAATTATTAAATGCTAATATCAATATAATTTTATGTGAAATTAAGTTAAAAATAAGCCTTAGTTGACTTCATTTTCAACGATGGGTGTGTACCATGTAGCCCTGTATGTATGTGTACGAGTACAGTTCAACATAAACCGACAAAAAATTTTGGCGACGCAAATTTATAGGTTATTTAAATGACTTGGGGGTTGTCAAACTGGCATATACTATATAATAGTTACAAACTTCAATGAGTGAATGTACATGTGGAAGGGCAGATAACCATGTAAAAACTCTTGATTATCTCCCTTTTGTAAACAAATGAATGAAACTGAAAATAGAAAAGAAAAACATGTTCAGTACATTGACAATACCTGATGACAAAAGAATAAGGGAGCATCATAGCTTATAAAGACATGGGATTAAAAAATGGACCAAACCTTGCTTTATACACAGAATAAAACATAATTACCTCTATATCGAAGTCTGTCAAATCAAAGGCACTTCTGAACAAGGAGCAAAAATGAGCTATACTTGGAACTTCCCACCACGAACGAAGATCTGGAACGATATATACATGAAAAACTTATAGCACAAACAATATGTTTATTTGGAAAATGAGACAAATGCCCACAAATATTGCAATAATCATTATTCTATTAAATATCATCAAAAATATCAGAAAGCCTACCGTCCATCTTCCATGCGCATTCAACACAAACGCATGCGCACACAACACGGTCTCTACTTCCGTTCAGGTGTTTCCCTAATTTTCCAAAGTTAATGAAAAATTACGCAGTATATAGTCCTGATTGTATTTGATTTAAAATCAACCAATCATTTTTTGTTGATTAAATCAATAGATTTGGAAAATGCATTTCAAAGAAAAATGAACGTTTTTAGTCGGTATCCGCAAGTTGCATTGTGGGACAGTTTCAAAATGGCTTCCTGTAGAAAGCAGTTCATTCCCAGGTTGTTAAGAAATTTAATTTATTGACTTAATATAATTATAGCAGTACAGTTGGATATGCAAGCGTAACTAGCCTATATATTCATTTTCAATTCTTTAACTTTTGGTATTTTGCTATGTGTTTTGTACTCGTTTATTGACATAATTTAAATGTAAACAAAAATTATTTTCTAAAAATAAACACAGAATTTCTATTTTGAGTGAAGGTAAGATGGTGCTGATCATCCCCTTGATAATAATGGCAAGCCTACTAACGCACAAAGCTGTTTATAATAATTCACATGCTTGAAAGAAGTTTATATGCTTTTGAAGTAAGTGTCTTGTATCTGTTACAAAGATTGTTACAATCAAATCTAATAAATGTCTTTGCTTTCAGATATAATTTCTATGGTGTCTTCAAAGCACCATCGTATCCAAATTGCTTATAAACTCATACCAGGTACCACACATTTGGTGTGGAGAATAATTTTACAGTTAAATAAATGGTCATAGATTATGAAAATAAGAAATGTCATAAGTCAAAGTCATGTGATACCTGCAATTTTTTTGGAATCAGGGTCAGCTCGGGCCTAAAACGTACTCGGCAAAGGTCAACTCTGCCAACTTTTCAATTTTTTATATTAATATATTGGTTTGTTTTATCACTCAATATTGTCGGAATAATTAATATATATGGACTTTTTCACAAACGTGGAAAGATGTTTTCTTAAATTATTATCATCTGCTATTATTACCAATCAATTACCACATGTATGTTCAGGGAAGGGTACCGATTAATCAGTAGGGATGTGCGGTATTACCGGTATACCGCGGTTTCGTTCAGACGCGGTACGTACCGGTACGACTCCTAGGAATACCGGTTTTTTAATATAATATAATTTTACATAATATTTTTGTAAGATTCGGACGTTATTTACCCTGTAATCTGTGTTTCAACTTTCAACCTAAATTAAAGTGGAATTCCAAGTCTATTTTTAGAGCAGCAGTAAATGCACAGTATAATACTCTAACGAATAATTAGTCGCGGAAAGGTCGGATCGTTTCCCGGTTGTTTTTCATATTTATTATGTAGTGTAAATACATTTCATCCGCCGACATTTTTATAATTTCTATATATCATTCTTCATTTAAATGCATTAAAAGGGGACACCCATGTTAGTGCTCAGTCTAAGGCTAGTAAACATGTTGACGTATTGACGAGTGGCGACAATAACAAAACGTAAAGCATTTAGACATAGCCCAACTTGTAAACAGCTCATACCGTCATGGACGAATTCACCACGGTCAAAAATCCAAAGGGGAAATCGGATATTTGGAGGCATTTTGGGCTCCAAAAGTCTAAAATAACACAGAAATTAATTGATAATACAGCCGTATGTATGAAGTGTGATATGGTCATAAAATGTTCAGGAGGTGGGACGTCCAATTTATCAGCTCACATTCGCCGACATCATCCGTCATTATTGTCGTCTGCTAAATCATTAAAATCAAGTTCAAAAACTACCACCGCTGATGTTCATGTGGACCAGAAACAAAGTCAGGTAGACAGATGTTAGTTGAAAGAAATAAAGATATTAATCTGTTTTTCTAAAATGTATTGTGTTTTATCAAAATGTTTAAACATTCTTATGGCAGTTGGTCTTAGTTTGCATAAGTTAAACATTAAAAAGTGTCTTCATAATACCGTGGTACATACCGCGGTACACAGGTGAAATACCGCGATATACCGCGGTACAAAAAAATTGGTGGTACCCATCCCTATTAATCAGGTGATAATTATGTTTGACGCAATCATTCAAATTTGATGAATGACCTCCTGCAACTAATTAGAAGCTTATGATAATAAATAAACACGTTTTTTATTTCATATTTTATTGAAGATTACTTAACTAACAAAAAGCATCAAAGGAAACGTGTTTATATTATATCATTTTTTAACGAATCTGCAAGAAAAAACATAACAAATTTCTTCTACAGTAAATATAGTTTAATTCTGCAGAAGTACAGTGTACAATTATATAATAATAAACCAGATATATCTCCTATTTTATCATTGATAGCATTTTTTTGGCCTTGACAACATGCAAGTAATCAAAAAAGTTAATATGTTAAATGTTGTTGTTTTTATTGAGGGTCGAGTTGACTCTTTCCAAATTTTTGGCAGTTACGATTGCAAGCGAGATTTCAAATTAAGCTGGTATGTTTTTTTTATGCTGTTTTGGAGCCAAAATAGGGCCTCATTAACATTGACAAAGCCAAAAAAGTACCGTACTTTCAATTGGCCTTATAGAATGGCCCTTTTTAAAACTTTGAAAATTCTACATTATCCAGGCTCTAGTTTCACTATCAAGCACTGAGAATAGTTGATTATGCATTCCTACGACAGCTCTTGTTACAATACTTTGAATTTCTATATATGATCAAACTTTACATGGTAGGGACTTTATTTCTAATGTGTTACAAAATATTCTGAAGTTTTTAGTGTGTGAAATTGTATTTAATTGAAGAAACATAGTAAACATTAGTGCCCTATCATAATTTCTGTAATTGAAGAGGTATAAAAATGGTGATGTTTCAAGTTGATTTGTCTATGAGTAGGGTTTTTTTTAGGAAAAGAGGAAGAGGAGAGGGGAAAAAAATATACGAAAAAAGTCAATTTGAGGAAAATTATGATGTTATTTATACTATATACTAAACTACATAGTGGAGAGTCACAACTATATCTTTTTCCCCTTAAAAATTTTATCATCATGCAAAATATTTGTTGTACATGGTGGTGAATGGTTTTTATACTTTCATTTTTGTATGAAATTTAATACAGTATAGGTTTAATAGTGTATCTGTGACACACTTTAGCTCCATACAAGTCATTTTCATTATAAGAAATACAAAATATATTTGTTTACTAAAAATAACCAAGAAAATGACAATATTTTGATAGCAACTGATTTCCAGAAATAGTACCATTCAGTATGGGATATAGCCAATAAAGAAAAATGGCATCCTCCCTGTTGAGACAGTACTTGCAGTTTCCTGCAATGTTTTTGGTTATTTTGGACTACAATTGGTGGGTAACTTATCCTGGATAAAATGGAGAAAATTAATATTTTAAACCATATATAAATATTAATTTTGATCCAGTTTAAAGGAAAAATAGATTATTTTTTTTTGGAAAAAACTTGGCTATTTACCGAGGGGAAGACCCTGACTATCGGTGTCAATTTGTTAGTAAAAAAAAACCCTGATGAGGGTGTTGATTTTTTTTCCCAAATTATACTGACTGCTAATTTAATTGACAAATATTATTTTCATAAACTTAAAGTGCATAAAAGAGACATCTCATTATGACCTAGTTTTATTAGCTTGATTGTTCAAAGAGCTATTGTACTCACCCAGACATTGCTGTCACACTTTGGTTAAGTTTTTGTGTGTAAGTTGGTATCTCCAAAACTACTTAAGGGGATTTAAACTTCTCACACTTATATATGAGCGGATAATAGGAGGCACTTTATATGAGAGGATAGTAGGAGATCACTGTGCAAGGCCCACTACTCTGGAAAGATTATAATGTACATGTAACTTGGCTCATATATTGGCCATTGTGAAATGAAGTGTTAAGTGCAAACTTATGGTCCATGTGGTCAAGGTCACATGGAGAGGTCAAAGGTCAGTTGTTAAAAGTATGAAATATTTTGTCATCATGAATGAGGAGAGGAGGAAGGGAGGATATCAATGTAAATGTTCAACATCATGAGACTGAGCATTTATGACACAGGCATATTTTGTAATAGTGACACTCTTGATTTTATTTATCAAATTTGCTATAACTTGTTATTGATAGATTTGGTTTATACTTGGGGGTAAAAGAAAAATTCAGTACCAAACCTTCATATTGACTTTTTTCATTGAGTAATTCAAATAATTATGAGTTGATGACTTTGGCCATTGAAAGATCTACACTGCACAAAAAGCTGATATCCATGTGGTTTTTTTTTGCATTTGGTAATAAGAACATGTCAAGTTTTGCCTCTGCTTGCAGTGACTGTTGTTTAAGGAACTAATAAAAGCTACCTTGGTTTCAGTCCTAGTTTTGATTTTAGAACATAAATATAGTATATTATACAACTACATTGAATAGGAAGTATTTTGAGAAAAAAAAACATATTATGTTAATTTGTTATATATTTGTGATATTTCCATTAATTAGTCTAGGCCATGGATCAATTCATACACATGCTGGCAGACAAAAGGAATTCATTTGCAAAGAAATTCTTTTACCAGAAATAACAAAATCAATAGTAAAGAATACTTCAGGTGTCACGTTTGAAATTTCATTACAAGTGTTCACAGACATCCAGGCAGTGTCTATTTTTTTTTATTTTTTTTTGCTATTTGTTACTGGTAAACTTTTTTGTTTGTGAATGATATTTTTAATTTAAAGACTGTTTAAATGTGTGACAGTGTTATGGCAAAATTTTAACCGTTTACCTACTGGAGCTTAAAGTTATCAGTATAGCGCCAGATCTGCCTTCACATCTGTGCAGTTTGACCAGTCTCTATACCATTGACTGACTATATTTTTAATGTGATACATGTATCCCCAAAATCGTTAATGGACAGTACCAAAAATGGAAATTGGGCAAGCCCATTTAAGAAATTCAGGATTCCAAAGTAATGGGTTGATATTATCCTTAACTTATTATCCTTAACTTTTACTTTATAAAATAGCATTTTTTGTTTATAACACTTACTTTTTTTGTTAACCCTTACTTTCAGATTTATTTTGCTTTTTTAGTGAGACTTATATGGTTTATATTGTTTTCAGTGAGAATTGTATTGCTTTTTAGTGGGATATAAACAGTTTATATTTTTTTCATTTTTTTCAGAATTCAGTATTTCAAAAGATTTACTCTTATAATGGTGATTGACCAATATCATAAATTGATATTAAAAAAATGTTTAGGTACTACTGCTACATGTATGTATCTTATTATGAGCGCCTACTGTTTTTAGAATCTGGTCATTACAGATACATTCTGAAAGCTATTTATAGATATTTGCATGGGTCACAAGGATAATTGTTTATTTTTGCATATTAAAAATATGAAATTAAACACAATTACATGTAAGGCAAAATTTAAAGTTATTTTGCATTTACCTCAGTACACATTATTTACTCATAATGTCACTTTCAGTGTGGTTGTAGTTATAATATAATTATATGAGCTGCATCCTGACATAACCAACATAATGGGTTTGCGACCAGCATGGATCCAGACTAGCCTGCGCATCCGAGCAGTCTGATCAGGATCCATGCTGTTCGCTATCAGTTTCTCTACTTGAAATAGGGTTTGTAAGCGAACAGCATGGATCCTGACGTGCAGGCTGGTCTGGATCCATGCTGGTCGCAAACCCATTATGTTGGTTTTGTCATGACGCGGCTCAATTATATTGCTTTCATTTAGATTTTGATATTTTCAGTTTTATTATCTTTTTAATGATTTATTTATTATTGTTTTCAGTGAGATCATTTAGACGAGAATGGATCCAGAGTTGTACAGAAACACCCTGGCAAGCAGGTATGCAAACCAGGACATCACATCTCTATTGTCAGAGCAGGCCTCTCTTACACCAGGTACGGATAGTTTTATACTTTTGTACTACTTGTTGAAATGAGGGCTTCTGTGGCCAAGTGATTGAAATGGGGGCTTCTTTGGCCAAGTGGTTAAGGTTTTTGACTTCAAACCACTTGCCCCTCACTGCTGTGGGTTCAAATCCCTACAGGGACTTTGGAATCTTTCATGTGAGGAAGCTATCCGATTAGCTTAAGGAACGTCAATAGTTCTACTCAGGTGCCTGTTTGTGCCTAAAATAATGCACAGAAGGGCACCTGAGGTCTTCCCTCACTAGTTAAGCTGGAATGTCGCATTATGACCTATAACTTGTTGGGATTGATAGTTAAAGCCCCATTGTGCCTCAGAAGTGATATCATTTTTATTTTTAAAAAACTGTTTATTTTTGGTGTCTTGTTACAGTTTTTAAGAAATACTCATATTTGAAAGGTCAAGTATAGAAAATCCTGTACATTAGCCAACATTTTTGTTTCTAAATTATTGTAATTTCCTTGTGCACTAAATAATGTTAAGGTAATGTGGTACACTTGTTAAACACATGGAAGAGAAAGTCATATGCACATATGCATGGTTCTGTGACCTTTTCTCAAAGGTCAAGGTTGATGGTTTATTTTCACCTCCGTATGATATTTATATGAATTTTTTTCAGGGCATTGCTTACCTTAAATAAAATGGTAGTTTAATGAATAAAAGTGTATATGATTTTTTTTTATTCTTGCAGGGATTGGCTTGGCAACAACTTTTCCAGGAGCAGGGCAGATATCTGCAAGGTCATTTGGACCATTGCCAGGTTACACAGGTCATGCCTTACACACAGATTCTCATCTGCAGAATATTGCCGCTCAAGGTGCCTATAAGACATTGCCAGGCCAACCAACATATACAGACCCATATGCAGCGCTCAGATTGACGTCACAGCCATGCAGCATTCCATCATCAAAACCAATGTTCAGTCAAGAGGCTGTTAGTCAAATGGGTATATTGGATGCAGGTCAAAAATGGGGCCTCTCAAACTTTGTTTCTCAGAATCCAAACATGTTAGCCCACGCGGCTGATCTATCCAGTGCAGAGTTTCAGTCGTCATTAGCATTGTCAAGCCAGGCATTGCTAAATCCACCCCCAGCGCACAGCTCAAAGACGAGTCAGATCAGTCAAAGGTTGCCTTATTCTGGGGCCGAATTAGTTACCAGGACGACAAAGTCACCAACCTGTCAGTCGGTTTATGATCATCGCACCCAGCCCACAACACCAGTCTCGTCCCAGGCGCCAATGTTTTCTTACAGTCAGTCGCAGCCTTTTCATTCTAAGCAAGATGTACTGATGGACACAATGAACTACGAGGCAGTAAGCCCAGCAACTACACCTGGTCCTGATCCATCAAACAATCATCAGCAGCAAAATGAGTCGTATCTGTCCCTCCAGGACCTTGCCTCAATCAGCTCAACCCAGCAGAAGTTAGATGTACACAATCCACAACAGATCATACAGAAGCAGCCAACTCCCATTGTACCAGACAGGCAGAACAAAATGCAACATTTAAAACACCAGAAATCATTGAGCCAGCAGGAATTATATAATGGTTCGTCTCATATGCGTCAGAGCCCACAGCAATCAAACATTGGTAGTCCACAGGTTCAGATGGGCAGTCCGCAGGCTCCGATGCCAAGTTCAACAATTGTGCATGCTCCCCCACCGGTCCAAGCGCCAGCTGATTCGACTACAAAACCAAAGAAATCTCGATCTCGTAAGAAAAAGGATACTACAGGTGATATGAAAAATGAAAATATGGGTCAGAATTACACTGCTCAAACAGTTTTGAATACACCTGATATGTCTCAGAGACTCGGTAACAACGAGTATATGCCGAATCATAGCGGCTATATGCCGAATCGAGGTCAGCAGGTGTTTAGTACAGCTAGTGATTCTATTCATAATTCATCAATGTTAACATCGCCCATTAGTCAGCCGTTAGTTCGAGGTCAAACAAATCAACAGGCTTTATATGCAAAAAATGTGCCTTCACCTAATATGGGTATTTCCCAGACGCACAATCAGGTGAGACCTGCTCCGCAGCAGTCTCCAATGATAAACCAATTTCAGCCGTCACCAAGTAACGCACAGTCAGGTATGACTTTTTCAGTTTCAGATGCCCTTGAAATGAGCAGAGAGGCTGTTTTTGCTAACCAGGGATTAATGGACGGGTACAGTGGCATGCCTGACCATCAACAACAGCAGCAGTACACGATGCAAGAATCGTTCTCAAGTCAGTTAGGCATGGAGGCCATGAGGAGGCCGGACATGTATAATAATGGTGCTGAGGAAGGCGTATTTGTTAGTCAGTACGGCGGTCAGTTTGTCAGTCCAAATAGTGTGCTTAACATGGATGTGGCTCAGGTTAATTTAAACCAGCCAACTACTATCGATGAAGCAGCATTTTCTAGTTTAATGGGTGATCCATATGGGCGCGATATATCTCCGGATAAAAGGCCTTCTAGTGATAAAAACTCACCATATTATTCGCTCACTGTTAAAGTGGAAGCTTCTCAGGATGATGATCTATCTCACTTGGCTAAGCCAGTAATAGAGAAAACAGACTCTAAAACAACAAACCCTTTAACGAGCCCCTTCCAGTCATATCAGGTGTCTCAACCCTCGCAACAGGTTCTCCCGCCTCCAGTAGCGCCAAAACCAGTTGTGAAAAATGCAAGTGGCGGGACCTCGTTCATGGACTCGTTCTTAAGTTTTATACAGGGAAAAAAGCCCGAAACATTATCAAGCATGAGTAGTGCCATAATCCATAATAAACCTCAATTGCCAAAGTATATTCCTGAGCCACCTCGGCCCAAAAGAATTGAACCCCCTCAAGAAAAAAGTTCCGGTGCTGACCGGATTAATTCAATGAAGCAATGTGATAAAACACAGAAATCAGGTGCAGTTTCGTTTTCTGACAGTGACAATGACACTGATGAAGCTGACACCAATGCTGTAAAAAATGCTATCTCTACTTTAAATAATGAGAACGATAATGTGCAGATAAGAACTAATAAATTGGGTGGATTGACAATGAAAATTAATTTAAATAAAGTGAAAAGGGCCGAGGAAAATGCACGGAAAGCTGCTAAACAGAAAAAACCTAGGTCTCGTAAGAAAAGTAGCATGGAAAAGAAATTTGGCCTCAAGGAAGAGTGTAAAACTGCATATTCTTCTGGTGAAGAACCAGAAGATCTTCCTGCTCGGCAATTGGCGTCGCGGAAAGCCAAAGAAAATATAGGTTAGTTAAAACATTATTATTAAGTGTATGATTGTATATGTAAATCATCACTGTGTAATCAATGACTGTCCTGTTTAATTTGAGGGGGCAGGCTAAACCAACAGCCCTGCTGTAGGGTTAACATTTTAGCGACATGGTTGAATGTCAGCCTTGTAATCGAAAGGTCTGGGTCAAATACTGGTCAGTGCCCGGAGTTTTTCAGTTTACAAAACAATCTTGTAAATATTCATTTTATTCATTTATGGCACAAATTAGATTTTCAGATTTATAGAAAAAAATAAAAATAATTTAAAAGTCTTTGTGCTTAATTTCTAAAATTAAGTCTTATGTGTTTGTACTGACTTATAGGGCTGTCATTGATTAAAAATAAAACAACAAACCCTTTATATATTAAAGCTGAATATCAACAATATATCAATTTACATGTATATCAAATTGAAGGCTAGTACAGTAGAAGTCATTTCAATACATTTGAGACTTCACAGTTCAGACTAATGTTCTTTAATTTTTTTAAAAGTAATTTTGGATTAAGACAACCCACAAATCTAGCTTCCCATGAGTTTTTCAAAGTACCTTCACTAACTCGCTGCTATTATTTAAACATTATAGCCCTAATTGTTCTGGAATTTTTTATCATTATATACATTATCAGGTGATAATTTTGAAATTTGTCACTTGTGAATGGAAGTGGTCTTTAAGACATAAAATAGAACATAATAACCTATATCCTGTAAATCTAGTATAAAGTTTTACAAGTTCAAGAAATAATAACTAATTTTCTGATACATCTTATAGTTACTTGGTCCAATACATTCTAAACCCAGACCAAGTGGTTAAGGTTGTTGACTTCAAACCACTTGCCTCTCACCGATGAGGTTCAAGCCATGCAAGTGTCTTAGGATTCTTTCATGAGAGAAGGCTATCCAGCTAGCTTACACAATGCCGATGGTTCTACTTCGATGCTAATATGTTTCTGAAATAATGCACATAAAGTCCTAAAGTACCTAAAGTCTTACTTCACCAGTAAAGCTGGAAAGTGGCCATATGGCTTTATACTGTGTTTGTGCGACATACAACCCAATAAAAAACAACTTCTAAACCCTACAGATTATTGAGGCCTTTACTAAAGAATTGCAGTGTGCTCAAGCAGATCTTTGAAGTAAAGGGAGGTAACTCATACAACATCATAAATTGTTAATATTTTTGAGTTTTTTCCCTTGTCTGCAGCCATTTTGAATTTCATTGTATATTCTATTTTTAGCCATATAATCAATGTAGCATAATGCAATGTGGTGGTGTACAAGGTTAAATTTCACATAAAAGTGTTTGAAATTGAAGTATTACTGTGTATTTATTTATATAAAGAAACAGTTGTGTTGAATATACATTTTTCCACGGCTTAAACAGTTTTCTGTTCATGCACTAGGGATATTTTAAACAGAATTGACTGAAAGTTTGTGTGTAAGGGAGCATTAATTATGTGGCATGCATAATAATATTGCATAGCTGGGAAAAACTCTGTAGTTAAAGCGATATGGGCGATGAAGAAATTGGTACTACTTTGCGTCCGAGAAGGGCAAAGGAAAAAGTAGATTTTGCTGGTAAAATGTTCGAATAGTTTCTTGAGTTGAGCTTGAGTTGTTGAGAGTTGCTATATGCTGTTTATATGTTATTTTCATTTTTGAAATATTTGCATTACCAGCTGGCCTATATGGTTGCAAAATTTTGCTCCATATGTTGCTTTTGTTTGAAAATGCATGGAAAATTAACAACTTATAAGGTTTTTATTTGTTACAACATTATTGAATATTTATATTACTTAAGACATACTTTTTTAATACTTTTTTTATTGCACCGAGTAAATTTTTGTTTGTTTTTTGATTATAGTTAGTGTGGAAAGTAAATATTTGATTTAATTGATGCTTAAGTGTTATTATATTACATGTATATTTTGATATTATTAGATATAAATCATATCATGCAAAAAGTGCCTATTCAGCAATATTTTAATCTCATAACGGCTGTTCTAATGTTTATGCTGAATTCAGACACTTTCCACTGTCCCTAATACACCTGGTGTGAGTCAGTTGTCGCCATGATACCCTTATATCTGGATAATAGGGAAGGACTTAAGAATATCAAAAGCTAAGGTAATGGCCTCAGTCTGAGAGTAAGATTCTAGCAAAATGTTGATCCCTGCCTGCACTGTAAGTTGGCTGTAATCCCTTTACTTTCTTTTCAACAAAATATAGAACCATTTGGTTGATGCTGCAGTGTGGGGTAAAATGCTACTTTAATTCCCCCCCTTGCGCTTTCCTGGGAGCTGGTGGGGGGTACCTTGTACCTTATTAAGTATTTACATGATAATGATACAAGGGAAGTTATAGCCATAATTATCTCCCCTGATATTTCTTGTTTTCTTATTTTGTAACATTGTAGAAGGTGGTATCATTAGTGAGTTTAAGTTTCAAAAGATATATAAAAGTATTTATAGAATTATTTTAAAGAGAATCTGCACTTGTGTTTTAACTTAGATTACCCCTGATTTCAAAATCAGTATAATATTTTTATTTCATACAAAATTACATCAAAATAACGTAACACAGGCAGACAAATTATCATGCCTGTAGCCAATTTAACAATAATTATAGCAAATGACAAAATGGCTAATGGGGGACTGTATATAATTCGTATTATAAAAAAAAATGAATTAAAAGGACATAAAGAAATGGTATTACAATGCAATGCCTTTTTTCTGGCCACTTTTGGTTGAAAATAGACTTACTATGGAATTAAGAATATTTTGGGTTTTTCCCAGCTAATCCAGGGGTACAAACAAACTTATACAGTTATAGCTTCAAAAATAAGCACAGCAGGTTGACATAATCTATTGTGACCAATAGTGCACTGCAAAGCTAAAACGGTAAAGGTTTGGTTGTACCGGGAAAACCCACATTTGCCGAGTTCCGGATAAAGCCTATTGGAATTACGTTAAATTATTTAAAACCCATCTTTAGTGGGGGGAATTTCTGTATTATGAATAAAACTACACGAATACAACTTTGTGCATTGGCTCTCAGGGCAAGGTGCATTTACAGGAAAATATGCCGAAGACGAGGATTCCGACTCGGACACACTGAAACCTATCCGAAAACTTGGCGAAGAAAGTGATGACGAGAAGTACGACTCGGATAAAGATCCGGCGTGGACACCCTTCAATGTTGATAAAAATGTACCGACGGTGACTCCTGCTGACTTAGAAGGGAAGAGAAAACGGGTCAAGGCTAGAACGAAAAGGTAAATAGATTTGATAATTGTAATATTATTGTATAAATAATAGTAGATTTGATGTATTTCTTATGACAAATATCATGTACAGCTCCTGAAGAGATTCGGGGTGGGGAGTAAGGGTTCATAACACCTTTTGGGTTTTCGCTAGTATATGAAACCTTTCTGAGACTTAAACATTTTTTTTAATTGAAAATCATGCAAATTGAAAAGCAAATGAAATCAACAAACATTTTTCTAGTAAGTATTTTTCTTAAGATGCTTAAAAGATCATGTCTTATTGGGAAATCTGTTTCCACAATGACTCGGTGCTAGCTGATTTTTATGTGACTTTAACCATGACTTTACCCCATTTACCTTGATTACATTTTCCATTTAGAAGCTAAATTTGTTTAGTAAGAGGTTGATTCTTTATTTTATGGTCCTGAAATAATGATTTGAGATGGAGTTTTGAGGTGTTACTGCTGTTGAGTAGTTATTTAATATTATAGAGTTGTTGATGATTAATAAATAATTTCCTGACCTGGAAAATGGATATTTAAAATTTTTTCTAAAGTTTACAAACATTTGAATTTTCCTTTCTCTCTACATGTATTTGAATAAAGTGAAAGGAAATCCTATTTGAGATAAATAAACAGAACAAAAAAATGTTCACCAACTGTTATATGAATGTAACATGTTGTGAAATGTCTCAGCTGACACTTTATTATTGATTTTAGAACATTATTTCAAGCAATTGACAATTGATCTCGGGCATAAAGTGTAATGATCATGTGTCTCTCACCACTCAGAAATCATGTTGAATTAGTAGTTGTTAACTTGCTGTGAAATTGTTACTGGTAATTACTGGTTAGTTATCCAGGAAAGCCAAAAAGGTGTATATATCGCTGAGATATGACTGAAACTGTGTTAAAATCTGCGTAAAAACAGCATCCTCGGTAACTCAGGCTATTTATCGTATACCAGTATTTAATGTGGTATATGTGAAATGTGTACCATGGGCTCTGATTAGGGCTGTAACAATACAGTAAAAAGCATATTGCAATATATTGCAATACGTATTGTAATTAATCTTTGGTACTAGGAAATAATTCAGAAAAAAATAGAGACTAATATACTTTACAAATATTATATATCTCTATATTTTTTGCAAAACAAGCATTTGTTTACCCACACACTGTATAATTCTTTTTATCTTAACACCCATTTTATTACACTCCTACTTTCAGTTTGTTACATCCGTTCCTACATTGGGCATTTTCGTAACATTAATTTATCAAGAAAATCATGGAAGACCGAGAAAGTTATAGAACATTGTTATCACTGAATAAAACCGGTACAACTGAATGTGAATTGCGGTACAAAATTTATTTCCCCTGCACCGCAATGTATGGGTGTACCGGTAAACCGTTACAGCCCAAGCTCTGATGATGAACAACAGACAAACACACAATCAATTTGAATCAATTTGAATCAAATGAACCATGAAAGCAGCAAACTGTGCCATATGACAATGTTTTAAGGTTTATGTTGCTTAGGTCAATCTTATATTGGTTTTGAGTTAATACGCATACATGTTTCATACATAATTGATGAAGCTAAAAACATGTTCGGCCATTTGCCCCTTTCTGACAAAGAGGTTATCCAGTTAGCATATGGAACGTCTGTGGTAATCAGTTGCCCACTCTTACCTGAAATATTGCAGCGGAGGTCTTTATCTGCCAGTAAAGTTGGCAAGTTGCCAAAAGATCACTACAGTGTCGGTGTGACCCAACAAAACAAATTAAAAAGAAAATATAGAAAAAGTCCAAATAGAATATCTTGAAAACAATATTATATAATAATATGAAGTACATGTAAGTTCTTTTCAGAACAAACGAAAATGGATGGTTCAAGAATGTTCGAAATGATCAAAATTGATTAATAACTACTGTCAACCAGCAATGTTACAATATTGTATGAAGTCTGTTGTAACATCTTATATTTGAATTGATTTCAGTAAACAACCAAAGATACGGAAAATGAGTGCTGAAGATTCATCATCACAACCGGCTAAAGTTGGTGAACCGCAGGTTGTTGAGCTGGACAGTGATAGTGATGAGGATCAACCTGGGCCCACGCAACAGGTGCCGGGAGATTTACAGGTATGGTTAAACATGTATTTTATATAGATTCACCATAGAATATTGTCTAAGTTGTCGTAACTTTGTTATCAGTCATCCTTCCGCAGTTACCAATTGTCCTTAGCTACCAGTCTGCCTAAATCAGTTACTAGTCAGGAACTGGTTGGAGCTCAGCTCAGAATGATAGATTTTGCTCTATAGTTGTTAAAGTGTTTGGCTTGTATTAATAGTATTGTATGTATGTGATAATGCAGTCTTTATTTTCGAGTGTGCCTATACCATAGGTTTTTCTGTAATCTAATGCTCTCAAATGTTTGCATGGAATTTCTTGTCCTTTCATTTTCATAGGTTTGAATCCAGTGTAAGATATGGTCATAGGTGACATAGCAGAATATTTTATGGAATGGTGGGTGATTACATTATTATATTGTAGGTGGGTGATTTTGTGATAGAGAAGAATGATGAAAAGAACACAGAGTGTTATTCTATCTGGAAGATAGAGCCTGGACGTATGCTTCACAAGTTTGAATTGTTCACAGAAAATTCAAAGATTCTACATAGGTCTATACCAACAGTAAGTATTTATTCAGTACAATTCATTTATCTCCCTGACCTCCCTTTATTATCTGGAATCTATCAAATGAACTTGCCCTGCTTTTAATATTGGAACTGTCCATTGTGACTAAAAGGTATTTTTTGTAAGTAAATTTATTATACCCAAACACTGGGTGAAAACTTGTAAATCTAGGTAGTGTGCCTTTTTGCAAAAGCAAATAAAGTTCACTCTGACAGTTTTCATGAATGTTAAGAAAATACTTTACATCAGAGTCAAGAATTATTGAGCCAGAATTGTTAATCAATAAATTTCATAAGAATTGATGAGAACTATTTTTTAGCAGTTTTCAAGGCTAAAATGCTGAAGGTCATACCCTGTAGTATGACCTCCCTGATGATGTCATAAGGCATGTTCTCTGCGTGATTTCAGATATTAAAAAAACCCACACTTCATGGGTGTACTAAAATCTAAAATTAACCACATCTGTCAAATTGGAATGGTTGCAGTAAACATTGTAGTGTGTGACTGTATACTATAGAAAAGTTGTTGTCCAAAAGTTAGAATGTTAGTATTGTAAATTTAACATTCTATGTTAATTTTTTTTCTCCAGTTTTCCAGCTGGCTACCAAATATGCGGAACACATTTAAAAGAATACGGGTACGGCAAGTGTTCAAACAAGGCGACAAGGAACATGTGGAAGTTCTGGAAGAGTACAAACCAAAACCTGCGTTAGATAGCAAGTATGTATCTCCAGTAGTTTATTCTGTTGTGATAATATTGAGCCACACCATGACAAAACCAACATAGTGTGTTTGTGACCAGCATGGATCCAGACCAACCTGCGCATCCGTGCAGTCTGATGAGGATTCATGCTGTGCGGATGCTTAGGCTGGTCTGGATCCATGCTGGTCACAAACACACTTTGTTGGTTTTGATATGGCACGCCTCAATTTTATTGATTAAAAGTGTAACAAGCCGATTTATTTTATACTAATTTTCTTTTAGTTTGATTTTGTTGGAAGCTATAAGCTTATTGAAATACTCAAAGTCCGAGGGTGGAACCAACCAGTACTTAGCAATGAGTGTAAAGTTTCTTGCTCACTGAATAACGGCTTGCCCCTGATATGGTTTGTACCCACAAGCCAGTTTAAAAAAGCAAAACTGGAAACTGATAAGTCTGTGTGTGCGGACGGGTGCGAGTGCATCCATAGTCGAGTGGTTCATGTTGCTAACTTTGCCCTGGACTGCTGTGGAATTTTATCACAGGAGAGACTTTTCTTCATGTGAGGAAGTTGTTAATGGTATTTAATTTATATTACAGGTTGGAGCAGAAGTATGAGGAACATCCATTGGTGGACGCATTTAATGTTTATCTACAAATATTTCTTAGTCAAGCTTTGGAGCCGGGATTTCTTAGTGCAATCAGGGAGGCAGATGGTATGTTCATTTATTTCTTACAATTGGAAAAACCAAATTATGCTTATAAACAAGTTTTGTTTGTAGGTAATGGATTTTTTCTGTGGGAAAGTTTTCCAGTAGAGAGTTTGAAATTCAGGTTCTGAACAAGTTTTCCTAAGTTTAAAGGTGCTGATACTTTTATTGAAATAATTTTCCTAGCATCAGTACAGAATTCAGCAACCCGTAAGTTTTCCTAAGTTTAAAGGTAATGGTGCTATCTTAAGAAAAGTGTTTCCTGCAATGATACAGAATTAAGCTAGCTAACCTGCAAGTTTTCCTCTGTTCAAGGATACTGGTTCTTTTCCATGGAAAAGTTCTCCATACACCGGTACAGAAGTCAGTTTATTCACAAGTTTTCCTTAGTTTAAAATACTGGTGCTATTCCGGGGTAAAATAGTCTTAAAACTGGTATAGTAATAAACAATACTAGATAGTTTAAAGCACAGCTGTCTACAAGATTATGGCTGAAAACCTGTAACAATGCAAGAAACTATAGAGAGAGTTGTTTCAGGTGATAAGATCTCTGCCTCTCAACCCAGGGACTTGGGTTTGAGCGCTTTAGGGGGTAAAAACATGTTTCCTTATAAGACACCAGTACTAGATAGCTCAAGAAATTGGACTTTCGAATGGTTAAAATACTATAAACTTCAATTGAGTTAATATGTTTCAAATAAACCAAAACTTTTTGTAAAAAATCTACCAGATTTGACTTTTTATCTATAGAGAAACATTACTGTTATTTTGATATATCAAAATTGGATGATATACCGTATTAAAATTTTGTTCTTCTTTTCTTGCAGAACGTTTCTATCTAGATGCTTTGGAAAGAATTGACAAGGCAGTTGGTCTCAGGTTAACAGAAATAGATAGAACTGTCCGATGGAAAGACAAGTTTAAGGTACCATCTTGTATAACTTGCATGTTTTTCAGGAAGTGTTTTCATTAGTTTAACCCTTACCTTGCTTAATATCTAAAATGAACTTGTCCATCTTTCAATCTGGACAAGCTCATTCATTCATCATTTTAGGTAAAATTTCAGAATGTTTACTTACCAAGCTAACTCGAGCCGTACCAATATCAGATGGCACTGACATTCAGGCTGATTATGGTCTGCACTTGTTGCATGATTAGATTCTGTAGCTGCCGGCAGGCTTGTTGTTATGGTGTTTCTTTCTGTGAGTAATGTCAGTAGATAAAGGGGGAAAATGCATTCAGAAATTGAATTTAAAATTTACTTTTTTCATGTGAAAAATGCTGTAATGTTACATTATAAATCTTATGTTGTTGAATTATAGATCTATTAATTCATTATTATATTACTAACAGTAGAAGGAGTCGTGATCCCTTGTTTATCAAATGTATATATTAATATAAATGGCCCCTATGACCATTTCATTGGCAGGACAGCATTTCATTGGCAGGACAGCTCTAACTGGCTGTTCAGTTTTCATAAAACCTAACCCCAAAAAAAATATAATTCATGTATTTGCTGATACTACCAAAAAATGTTTTAAAATTGGCGTAAAAGCCAGAAAATTAGATAAATACATGTAAATTGTTTTTGTTTGCAGGAATCTGTAAAGCTTAGGCCTCACATTAGAGAAATTGACAGACCGAATTTAAAACAGTCTTGTCAGGTGAGTATATTTCAAATACTTTAAATACCATATACCCCTGTTTAAATGCCCCATTTGTGATGTATTTTGCAAAATATTATGTCCAAGGTTTGTTTTTTTGCCTGCATTTTTTATGGCATCATTTTGCCATCCTTATGAATGGGTCATATGGCTTACTTTAATGAGTCATATGGCTTAATGAATAAAGTTGCCAATATAACACTTATTTTAAAAGATGAGTTCCGAATGAAATTGTTTTTTATCATTGTCTTTTTTTTCTGGGCCGTGATTGATATGTGAGGAATAGAATATAAAGACTGGCTGTTGTCATGGGCCAAAATATTTGGCTCTCTGGTTACTGTTTACTGCTTTACCCTCCAGCCAGATATTCAGACCTGTACAAGCAACAGGCGACATAAAATATTTATAATCTAATACAGAAAAAGAAGAAAAGTCAATTGTGGAACTCAGGAGAGCAACTTTTATTATAGAGAATTATTTTTAATTTTCCTCGTATATTTGTACAGGCTTGTGAGTTTGCCAGTCAGCCAGCCATTAAGTCGGTTCATCTGTTTGGAAATCCGTATGATAGATTTAGTCTGCAAGAATTGCCGCCGGATGGACCGCATACACCAATGGTAAGTTGTTATTTTACATTCTAATATGCCTCGCAATATTTCCCTACCAAACAGATAGGGCAGTCAGGTGCATTATTGAACAAAGTATGCACAACATAAAAAAAGGAATGTTTACATGCCGTCTGAAATCAATAAACCAAATGACGTCGGGGAAAATTACTTCTACACTCAAAGTAGTTCAACAAATTTTTTCAATTATCTATTTATTAGCATGTTAGAATGGAAATAAATATTTTTTATTTTTTGTGCATTATAGTATGATAATGCATGGTTTTTCGTTCAAATGCTTTGTAATTAATCACTGAGGCCTATTGGCCTCCATGATGATATTCCTACACATCTAAACTCGACCATACATTATTCTATAACAATGCACTCAGAATTGATATCTATTTCCTAAATTTTTGCTTGTGACTCTGAATGGTTCAGATCTCCACTTATCATTGAAATGATTTTTTGTGATGATAAAAAGTCATCACCTTGTATATAGAAAGTTTTAGGCAGTACCTAGTCATGTCATTTTTCAGGAATAATGCCTTTTAGCGGACCCCTTGGTTTTCCCATTCTTATACTGCTTGAAAGCTACCATTTTTACACAAACAAAGTTGTTAAAACATGTGATACAGCAAAAGTATTATTGGTAATTTTAATTCTGCTCCTTCACATGGTATTTAAGTCGAATGTTATATGGCCTATTGCAAATTGCTGTATGCTTATATAACCTGGACCACAAGACAAATAGCTGGTTATTACATAGAACCAGTCAATAATCTTAACAAGATTTTGATTCTTCGCAATTTTTTTTCTTATTTGAAATATAGAATAATTTATAAAGTTTTATAAGTCATGTCATGTGTACAGGTTATATAAACATCACTATCCAATGAATAATCAGCCATCACATCTTTACAACAACATTATCAAGTTTTTTCCAAAGTAAAGACTTCATAATTTATTTAACATCTGTAGAGTAAACACCTCTCAGCAACAACCAAATCTTTGTCTTCCAAAGGGTGGTTACTCCGCAGAGGTTGGACTGTATACATGTATATTAATATTTTATGATAATTTCTTTCAGGAATTCATGATAGGGAAGACTGCAGCTAAATTTGTGAAACCATATCATAACCTGTACCACTTTAAATATAATCTGTTCAAACGATGCCTAGCAAAGGTAGGTAATTTAAGCTGTTCTTAGTTTTCTAAGAAGTCTGAGTAGTTCTTTCCCCTTACCCAAAAGCCTTTGATTTCTAAGAAGTCTGGAGTTCTTTCCCGTTATACAAAATCCTGTTAATGTCTACATATGTATGGTCAACGTTACAAGACTGACTAAACAGTGGAATGTGGTGGCCTCAGAGTCCTAATTTTTGTGCTATAATTTTACTTCTTTTCACATATTAAGGAAGTTGGCAATTCACCTAAATCATCTGTTTACTTTTCTTATTTTCATATTTTGTGAATTTATATACATTTGTACATGCATGGAAAAGTGATCCCCCAAAAATGGCTGCCATTTTTGCTAAGGAGTGAGACTAAAAAAAGGTTTGGAGCACCACACTAAATACCGTATTCCGGTATATACTGGACACGGTGCTTGAATGATAAATTGCTAAAATCTTGCCTTTTTACCCAACAGAATGAACTTTAAAAGGTCTATTTCATCTTTTCACACCGATTTATGTACGATAATGAATGAAAAATTAAAAACTCGGCAAAAAAAAACGATATTTGTCTATTTTCTGATAATGATTTCTGCAAGCGTCTAAAGGTTCTGCTCCAATCCTGTATTGAGTTAAATCCTTTGCTAAGAGAGTTTTTTTTTTATAATAAATCAAGAACTACGGGGATAGGCCAGTCTGCTCATGACTGTAATTTGATCAACCATATTAATGCTAGTCGTGCAACTTTAGCAATTTGATGTTGAAATCCACGTAAATTTACAATGGTAATTACAAAGCTTAAAGCTGGTCTAGTCCACAACACCCAATTCAATGGGTTTACATTTATAGAACGCTGTACAAAATGATCAAAATGGGATTTGAACATTTTCAGGTGAACATTTTACAAGACAGCAAGGCCGGGGATAACGCAGCTATTTTGGACCAGTGCTTACAAAACAGAACATGGGTATTACAAGTAAGGAAATAGAATAATTATTTGTCTTGATTTTATTTGTTATATGTTAACATAAAACAGTTAAGACTGTCCTGTAGTCCGGTGGTTGAGGTCAAATTTTTCGAACCATTTGCCAAATACCGCTGTCAGTTTGAATTTGGTTTCGAATTTTGGTTTCATTTATGTGAGGAAGCTATACAACGAGTTAAGGAGGGAAGCCAAATTTCAGTGTTTCACCACTTCACAAATCGCCACCTTAGTGCAGTAACGTGTTAACTCCATATATAATTTAACAGGAGTTAACCTGCTAAGGTGATTAAAGGCAAAATTGCTTTTTTGTGCGAGTTTCCATGGTCGGCCATGATTCATTACAAAATAATAATTACAGTGCCCATAATTTTCTAAAACTTCTATTTGAGTTAATTTATACCCTCCACTGGTCGAGTCCTTGAGAAGATTATTAGTCATGTTATATTTTGGAGGAAAGATGCCCCAATTCTTGAAGCTTCTCTTGGTTCTTTAACATGCTAAGTGTTTTAAGCACTCATACACATAAAGTCTCGTAGTAACTTTAGTTGGCCAGCCTTGGAATTGAACCCACAATGTCGAGATTACAAGTCTCGCGCTCTAATTGGCTGGTAAACCGGATATTTCACTAGACTATAGGACATAAACAGGAATTATGTTGATTCATAGAACAAGGATGAATTTTGGATATCCTACAATACATGTTGCTGATTTGTTGTTTTTTTTCTCCAGATATTTGAAGATTTAAAAAAGATGCTTGAGAAAGGATGAGCCGTGACACACCTTATAAATGGGGAAAATCAAAATGCTCAAAAAACTGTGACGTAAAATCTGCAAACAGTTCACAATCGACTGACCTAGTTCCCATAACCTTCACCATCCGAGTCGCAAAATATTTGGGGCGTTTAAATTGTGCGGGAATTTATTAAATGTGTCGTAGATTTTTTATTGTTGCTCGGAAGTAATCTGTATTAGTGTATGTTTGTATACACCCCACCCCCCACCCACCCTTTCCCTCATCTTTCTGTTTTGCCATATTTTTTGTTGAAAAGAGATCTGTTAATTATATATTTAACTATATATATATATATTTATATAGACAGCATTTAGTTACCTAGTAAGTAGAGAGAGTGATGGATCAGTTATTTAACAATGCTTTTTGTTTATTATTATCATAGCTTTAACTTTTAGAGGTGATTTCTTTTAGATTCCTGGGAAAATAATTACAATAGTAGTGCTTACTTCTAGTTTAAGAAAGGTTGGTTGTTTTACACAGGTGCCAGTTTGCTCTTGAAATAATGCCCCAAGCATTAACACATATGGGAGGAGACTCTGACCAAAGATAAAAATATAATGGCATTTATCTACCCCCATCCCTAACTCACATACTCAAACCCCCATGTTTGATATTTAGAATACTCTCTCGCAAATGTTAATCAGTATGAAATTTGTTGACTTTTATGCTGTCCTTTTCTAATGAAACTTATTTTTCTAATTCAACCATTCAATAGTTTAGTAAGATATATAATACAGTTATTGCCCAATTACTGTAGGGACAGAAAATTCATGTACAGACATAAAATCATGTATGGACATAAAATCATGTACAGATAGAAAATCATGTACAGATAGAAAATCATGTACTGACAGAAAATCATGTACAGGCAGAAAATATGTACAGACAGAAAATCATGTACTGACAGAAATCATGTACAGACAGAAAATCATGTACAGATAGAAAATCATGTACAGGCAGAAAATCATGTACAGACAGAAAATCATGGAAAAATGTGTTTATAGAGAAATAATCTCTAAAAAAAATTGTGAAATTTTTGCAGATCATCTTACCCATATTAAATGTCTTACATAAGTGTTTTCCTGGTCAAAACCAAAGTTTCAAATCCTGTCAATTAGGGCGTTTCTGGCTTAATGGTTTTGGTAACTGACAAAGTAGAACTTGCCCCTCATTGCTGTTGGGTTTTGAATCTGGCCAGAAGAATAAAATTCTTTACAAATCATATGAGGAAGCTATCCTGGTAGTGGTTAGTGGTTCTACTCGGGGTTTACTATCTGGTGCCTTGAATAATGCACGGAAAACACTGTCGGTCTTCGCACTTTAGTAAATCTGGAAAATATCATGACATTAAGACCTTTAACACTGTCGAAATGTGACCTTTTACACTGTCAGAGTGATGTAAAATCCCAACCATTTATTCTTTATTTCAGAAGTTTAAAAAAAAAAGCATTTATTACTATAGGTGAAAGAAGAGTTATTTTTGTATCCTTAGTTCATATATTAGTTTGCATTTAATTTGTGCCTTGCTTCATATACCATGAATTCAGTTGATTTCGTGGGCATGAATTTTCGTGGTTTTGTCTACAAAGACATGTTCGTGGCTTCTTAAATTCGTGGATTGTCAATTTTTTCAAACATATGCAAATAATGTGATGTTTATTCATCGGACGAAATGAAATTTATTGGATCTAAAATTAGTGAATTGACCTACGCACAAAAACCACTAAAATTAGTGCCTGACAAATAATAATGATTAAGCAGTACATTTCATAATATACAGACTACTGGGTTAACTTGACTTCTGCTATGTGATGTCAGCTTTGAAAGAAGTTAAGCAAAACGTACATGACACTATGTCTTTTTTTTCTGCCTCTTACAAATCAATATATTGTAAAACAAAGCATGTCTGACTAGATGAGAGGGGAGAGTGTAATGTCTGCAAACTTGTTAATACACAAGTGTGTGAGTTCTCGAGGCAGCGCATGTTCGTCTGTGATGATATTTGTAACCATAAACCAGTTGGAACCGGAAGTGATTCGCCTTTGCCGACGGTATAGAGCCAGGCCAGCTAACAAATCTGTGCAATCCAACTGGGCTTTCTACAGCTTTCTGATCAACTTCAAGTTTTCATCTTGATATACCCAAAATCGATAATGGACAGTTCCGAATTTGCTAGCTGGACAAGTCCATTTAAAAGTTGGGGGGTCAAGAGCTGACAGTATATCTGTTGTGCTGGATAGTCCTCTACTGCTGTTGATGAAATTATTCTTGTGAAGAAGTTGTTGATGACTTGCTGATTTTGGGTAATGGACTTGCCCGGATTTAAATTTGGAACAGTCCATTTGAAAATTCAGGGATTTCAGTATCAAAATTCCAATTTTTTTTAGCTTCCTTCAGTACAGGGTCTGGTCAGACTACACGGATGTGCAAGCTGGTCTGGCTCTATTGGTGGCAAAGGGCTTATCACTTCAGTCCCAGAGGGTGAAGGGTTTTAAGGAAAAAGATTCACTTGTATGCAACCATCTTTTTAGCTCACCTGAGCATGCTCAGGGTGAGCTTTTAGGATCGATGATTGTCCGTCGTCCGTCCGTCAGTTCACATTTTGTTGTTAACACTCTAGCGGTCGCATTTTTGCCTCAATCATCATCAAACTTGGTCAGGATGCTTATCTAGTTGATAGCTCGGAAGAGTTTAACATGGGTCATCTCGGATGAAAAACTAGGTCACAAGAGCTAAAAATAGAAAAACCTTGTTAACACTTTAGATGTCACATTTTTGCCTCAATCATCATCAAACTTGGTCAGGATTTTTGTCTAGGTGATAGCTCGGATGAGTTTGAACATGGGTCATCTCGGATGTAAAAGTAGGTCACAAGAGCTAAAAATAGAAAAACCTTGTTAACACTCTAGAGTTCACATTTTTGCCTCAATCATCATCAAACTTGGTCAGGATGCTTGTCTTGATGATATCCTGGATGAGTTCGAACATGGGTCATCTCGGATGAAAAAATAGGTCACCGGAGCTAAAAATAGAAAAACCTTGTTAACACTCTAGCCGTCACATTTTTGTCTCAATCATCATCAAACTTTATTAGGAAGCTTGTCTAACTGATAGCTCAGATGAGTTCTAATATAGGTCATTTCAGATGAAAAACTAGGTCACTGGAGCTAAAAATAGAAAAACCTTGTTAACACTCTAGTGGTCACATTTTTGCATCAATTATCATCAAACTTTGTCAGGAAGCTTGTCTAAGTGATAGCTCGGATGAGTTCGAACATGGGTGATCTCGTATGAAAAAGTAGGTCACTGGAGCTAAAAGTAGAAAAACCTTGTTAACACTCTAGCGGTCACATTTTTGCCTCAATCATCATCAAACTTGGTCAGGATGCTTATCTAGGTGATAGCTTGGATGAGTTCGAACATAGGTAATCCTGGATGAAAAACTAGGTCACCTGAGCTAAAAATAGAAAAACTTTGTTAACACTCTAGAGGTCACAATTTTGCCTCAATCATCATCAAACTTGGTCAGGATGTTTTTCTAGGTGATAGCTTAGATGAGTTCGAACATTGGTCATCTCGGATAAAAAACTAAGTCACAGGAGCTAAAAATAGAAAAATCTCGTGAACACTCTAGTGGCTACTGTTTTGATCCAAATATCCTGTTAATTGGTCTGAAAGTTTGTTTAGATGATTTCTAAGTCAAGTTCGAACATGGGTCATCTTGGATGAAAAACTAGGTTACACTGCCCAAATATGGAAAAACATTGTTAACATTCTAGTGGTCACATTTTCTACTCTAGTTATCATCAAACTTGGTCAGGATGCTTGTCTAGGTAATTGCTCGGATGAGTTCGAAATGGCATGTGAAACTAGGTCACCGGAGCTAAAAATAGAAAAATCTTGTTAACACTCTAGTTGCTACTGTTTTGATCCAAGTATCCTGGTAATTGGTCTGAAAGTTTGTTTTGATGATTTCTAGGTCAAGTTTGAATATGGGTCACCTGGGTAAAAAACTAGGTGACACTGCTCAAATATGGATAATCCTTGTTTACACTGTAGTGGTCACATTTTTGACTCACCTGTCATGAGACTTGGTCAGAATGCTTGTCTAGGTAATTGTTTGGATGAGTTTGATGGGTCAGGTGAGCGATCTAGGGCCATCATGGCCCTCTTGTTTAATCTTTTTGTAATACTCTTAATTTTGTGCCGAAACATATTGTTAATTTTGTGCCGAAACATACTGATAAATTAGTGCCGAAACCACATGAAACAAGCAACATAAAACAGTACATTTTTTACAAGAAAGTACTGGAATTATCATTAAACAATTGTGTGAACACAATTTAGTACTGGATATGGGAACTAAAACTGAAATCATTGTATATTAAGTAGCCCGTATTCATTATGTTCAAATATATACCAATTTTTAGGTAAATTACTAAAGGTTGTCATCAGAGGTTTGATATCAAAATTCTAGTACTGTATGCAAATGAAGCAATTGTGCTAAGCACTTAATAGTACATGTTAAGAAAGCATTGGAGTACTATAAGTAAGGCTTAGGAAGCTGTAAAGAAAGATAATTGTGTAACTATTATCAAAGCACACCAGCATTTTTTTAACACATTTCTTACTGTTTTAACATGAAATTTGTTGTTTAATTTTACACTTGTTTTAAGATTTTGTTGGTGCTTATTTATATTGTTTTGTGGTCACAGTTTAAGAAGAAAAAAAAATGAATTTATAGTTTTGTCTAAATTGTATCTCTGTGTATTTCAAAAAAGTTTGAAAAGATTTGAAAGAACCAATCAGATGCAGTAAAGTGCAACTAACCAATCATATGCTGTTTTACTAACAGAGACATCCAATCACATTTTGTCTAGTTTAAAGAATCAGTCAGATGCTATTTTATTGTCAGAGTTAGCCAATCAGATTATGTTTTGCTTAGAAGATCAGCCAATCAGAAAGCTTCTTAGTAAATGTAAAAGAAAAAAGCCAATCCGCTGTTGTTTTGGTAATATAAACAGCCAATCAGATCCTTTTTCATGAACTCAATAAAAAGAAGTTTGGATCTTGTCCTATTTATGTTTGTGTTTTTCTCATGTGTGTAGTTTTTTTGTTGCTTTGTAAAGTCCACTGTTAAATGTAGCAATTTCTTTTATGTAAAAAAGATACTTCTTATTATCATTGTTATAGTAATTTTATCTTTGTTACTTATTGCTGCCTATAGATTGTTACATTTTTTTTGACAATTGTTTAGTAGTTATTTACAAGAGACAATTTTAAGTAGGGTGTCACGATCAGGAAAAAAGATAACCTTTCAAAGGGCAACTTAAAAACCGTGTTAAATGTTTACGGACCGTTTTAATAAAGTTCTATGACTTTGAATGAGTCAAGTGAATTTCTTTGAAAAATATGAATAAATAACCATATACATTGTATTACAATCGGTGTTTTTTGTATTCTCAGTGCAAAACTGTTCTAACTACAAACAATAAACAGGTAGATACATCAGTCTGGTATCATGTTAATGTTTGTGTTTTTCTTACTCTTGTTTTTTATGTAATAATTATTTATTGTTTTCTGGCCTTACACATTATTTGGTAAAATAAAAATTGTGTTGTATGTATTTTCCAAATTTTTGTTACCATTCAATTTATCCTGTTACCTTTTTTACCTTTTTTGTTCACGTTTCGTTTCGTTGTCCATGTTACCAGTAATGTACTTTAATCTTTGACCTTCTGGAAACAAATGTGTATTGCCTTTGCTACAATTATTAAGTCAGCGTGCCCACATGTTCATTCTGATGAGGCTCTATACTGAGCTCAATTTTTATATTTTGTTATTGAAATCCCTTTAAGTTTGAATGGACTGCACCAAATTTAAAACCAGGCAAGTCCATTACAATAATTTAGTAGGCTAAGGGCATGTATAAACTCGCCTTAACTTATAAGACGGGGGTCTGAATTTTACATTTTTCAGTCATGTCCTGTGTATAAATCTATATTACTGGTATGTACTTTTTATAGCGTTAAAAAAATAATTAAATTACTGTAAATAGAAATAAGAAGAGAATTTGTCACTCACTTCTTAATTAGGGATAAAGCAAAGGAAAAAAGTACTATATTTTTGTTCTCAGTTTGTTTAAATTGACTTTATTCCCTTATTTGTATAAATCGGTAGTAAATTGCAAAATATTTGGCTTTTCAATGCAGCAAAACATACTAACTAGATCTTATTCTAGTCCTATATTATTTTTTTTTTCGGTATTTTAGAATAATAGATTAAATCATTTGTGAGTTTTTAAGATTTATTAGTGCTGATCAAGGTGCTAGGTGTGGCAAGTTGTACCTGTCATTTATAAATAGACCAAGTCTCTAATTTATCTTCTCTTATAAACATACTTGAGTCTGCAGTTTTCAATCTTGTAGATTTAATTCAATTGAGTCTGCAGATAGTTGAGTTATTAATAGAGTTGAAGTACAATTAACCGAGTCTGCAGTTTTCAATCTTGTAGAATTTGATCCAATTGAGTCTGCAGATAGTTGAGTTATTAATAGAGTTGAAGTACATTTAACAGTCTTGTAGATTTGATCCAATTGAGTCAGCAGATAGTTATCTTATTAATAATTAATGGAGATCAATTAAACGGAGTCTGCAGTGTTCAGTATGATAAAAAGATAGATCAAACTGAGTCTGCTGATCATTATCAGTCAATAGCATCTGATACATGTAAAATTCGAATTTCAAACCTTTCCACAGTATTTAGCTTCCTTTTTCAACGCCATTGTCAATCAGCTGTTCAATATTTTGTAACGAGTCTTCTGATTGGCCAATAGCAACGAAAACCGCAACATTTCACACAAGGATGCATAAATGGCGTAGAAAGCGATTGAAAGCCGTGTAAATGTTTTGAAACTCGAATCTCGTGTGTATCAGGTGCTACTGACGGCTTGTGAGTGGTCCAACTTAATGTATTTTAGTAATATAATTTAGTAAAATTCAAGTGATTTTTGAACCCGTACTCAGCTGACAAACATGTATTAGTCTATTTTTACGTACCGAATCGTTGTGCCGCAATTCTGTCTACCAAGGATTTTTTTAGCAACGAATTCGGCTCGTTTCCCTTATAGATAATTTCTATGAACGGGAAGGGCTAGAGACTTGGGGATCGTCTCATTTGGAAGCTTAATACAAACGTGAAATAGATCGTGATAAAAGTCTTTTTTAATTGTCTGGCCAATTGTTTTCACAACGGCTTGGGGAAATGAATCCCTTGCTCGTAGGCTCGAATCTGGAGTTTCCGGCCTTCTCTTAACTTATAGTATATTTTAAAGGGGGTCATTTTTTACAATTTTTTTTTGGTTTTTGACACTTTTAAGATGAAAACAGGTTTTATTATCAATCTGGTCATATATTTTCATCCCAGGTCCGATACTCATGCCTGTGGAAAATATGTGGTGCTAAAGGGTACATGTATTTTTCTGGGTATTTTTACTGGGATATTCTAAGTACTATTTCCTTAAAAATCATTTTATTTTATTGCTTTAGATTATTGTATACATAGGAATAAAATAGGCCTAAAAGTCATTCCTTTGGATATCGTTTCCCAAAAATATTTTCAAAAAATTAAATTTCTGCAGACAAATATGTATTTTGAGAACCTTATGTCAGTGTGTATTGGTCTGCATTTAAGTATTGGTCCTTTTGAATGATAAAAAAGTTATCAAAAAAGTGTCAATATTTTTGCTTTGAAACATTTCCACACCAAATTTTTAATGTTACAAGGACCGTAACTCCTGCTGTTGCTTTTATTATTGACAAAGTTGTGTTCCTATTAGCGCACATTTATTGGTCTTTAAATGTTTATGTGCTCTTTTATGGACCAGTCTTCAAGTTCTCTGTTAAGTATTTCACTAGCAATGTGGTGGTAAATCGGAGGTCGTTATAAAGGACCTTTTTTCTGTGTCTTGTTAAACAGTTCATTGTTCAGCGGTCTGTTTTTTGTTAACATAGGAAGTATACATGTACTTGATAAATCATTAATCATTACACAGTATGTATTTAAACAGTGTGTTAAATGAATATTTGTTTACTGGTACTTGGTAAACTGGTACTTTGTAAAGTATCATGAATTTGAATTATTTAGATATCTTATAATTATTATTTTGTAAAATATTTTTTATGTCATTTACTCATTCTTAAAAATTGTATAAATCATTTTCTTTGAAAAGGTGTACATTTCCCTCTGTGATTCTATCAGAAGTCAATTAAAAAAAGTATGATGAAATTTATATCAAGATTTGTTGTTATTTCAAAAGAGCAGTATAGATTGTGCATTAGTATTGACCCTTGTTTAATTCCACCTTAGATTTGAAAATAAAATTGGTGTGCTTTTGATATTGTCTGAATGCAGAAAGACAAACTAGTGTTGAAAAACCTTTAAGAAAATGCTGAAATGTTACATAATTTTGACCTAAAAAAACAACAAAACCAGAACAAAAAACCCTCACTTTTTATGCCCCCACAAAGTGGGAGGCATATAGCATTGCACTTGTCCATACGTCCGTCCGTATGTCCTGAAATCTTGTGAACGCAAGTCCTCTTGAACCGGATGGCAGATTTTGCTTAAACTTCCAGGGATGAACAACTTTAATGTGTAGATGTTAGTAAAGGAAGGAATTTTTGCTGTGACCAAATTTAACAGAATATTGTCCTTTGTTGATTTTTTCACTATATTCCATATAAATAATTGAACATATAAATTTTACATTTGCAATTTAAGTTAATATGTACATAATGTAACCTGTAGATCATTTTAGGTATATGTACAGAAATGAAACAGTGGAATGAAAAAGTTCCACATAAAAATCTTACATACAGATATGCATGCTCTTGTTTACGAGCACATCTGCACAGTGGGGGCATTCGTGTCCTTTGGACACAGTTCTAGTTTATAATTCCTTGAAATTTACATTTTTATACCCCCGCACAACAAAGTTGTAAGGGGGGTATACTGGAATCAGCTTGTACGGCTGTCCGTCCGTCCATCGGTTTTTTCTTGTCCGCCCAATAACTTAAGATTCCTTTGACCCTTAGTCTTCATATTTGGCATGGAGGATAGTCATGATTAGTAGATGACCCCTATTGATTTTGAGGTCACTAGGTCAAAGGTCAAGGTCACAGGGGCCTTGACTTCAAAAAGCTTGTCCGCCCAATAACTTAAGATTCCTTTGACCCTTATTCTTCATATTTGCATGGAGGTTAGTCATGATAGTAGATGACACCTATTGATTTTGAGGTCACTAGGTCAAGGTCACAGGGGCCTTGACTTCAAAAAGCTTGTCCGCCCAATAACTTAAGATTCCTTTGACCCTTAGTTTTCCTATTTGGCATGGAGGTTGGTCATGATTAGTAGATGACCCCTATTGATTTTGAGGTCACTAGGTCAAAAGTCAAGGTCACAGGGGCCTTGACTTCAAAAAGCTGCTTGTTCCGCCCAATAAACTTTAAGATTCCTTTGACCCTTAGTCTTCATATTTGGCATGGAGTTAGTCCATGATAAGTAGATGACACCTATTGATTTTGAGGTCACTAGGTAAAAGGTCAAGGTCACAGGGGCCTTGACTTCAAAAAGCTTGTCCGCCCAATAACTTAAGATTCCTTTGACCCTTAGTCTTCATATTTGGCATGGAGGTTAGTCATGATAAGTAGATGACCACCTATTGATTTTGAGGTCACTAGGTAAAAGGTCAAGGTACAGGGGCCTTGACTTCAAAAGCTTGTCGCCCGCCCAATAACTTAAGATTCCTTTGACCCTTAGTCTCATACTTTGGCATGGAGGTTAGTTCATGATTAGTTAGATGACCTCTATTGATTTTGAGGTCACTAGGTCAAAGGTCAAGGTCACAGGGGCCTTGACTTCAAAAAGCTTGTCTGCCCAATAACTTAAGATTCCTTTGACCCTTAGTCTTCATATTTTGGCATGGATGTTAGTCAGATTAGTAGATGACCCCTATTGAATTTTGAGGTCACCAGGTTCATAGGTCAAGGTTCAACAGGGCCTTGACTTCAAAAAGCTTGTCCGCCCAATAACTTAAGATTCCTTTCACCTACAGTCGTCATATTTGGCATGGAGGTTAGTCATGATTAGTAGATGACCCCTATTGATTTTGAGGTCACCAGGTCAAAGGTCAAGGTCACAGGGACTTTGACTTCAAAAAGTTTGTCTGTCCAATAACTTTAGATTTCCTTTGACCCACAGTCTTCATATTTGACAGGATGTTGATCATGATTAGTAGATGACCCCTTTTTGATTTTGAGGTCACTGGATCAAAGGTCAAGGTCAATAGGACTTTGACTTCAAAAAAAGTTTGTTCACCCATTAACTTAAGATTCCTTTGACCTCCTCTTGACCCACAGTCTTTCATATTTGGTATGGATGTTGATCATGACTATAAGGTGTCCCCTATTGATTTTTGAGGTCACTGGGTCAAAGGTCACAGGGGACTTGACAAAAAAAGCTTTTTCTTCTCAATTGCCTAAAAGAATGTCCTGTCTGCAATGTATTTGATTTTGACATTTTCACATTTGAAGCATGTAAGAATACATAACTTAGCAATGCACCTGGCTTAGTAACCTCAGATTTGGCAGGGAGAGGTTGTCCTTGAGCTCTAAATGGCCACTGTTGATTCTGACAAAGTGGTATGCAGGGGTATTCACGCCATGATAGTGGCAGTTCTAGTTACCATTTATTTCTTTAAAAAAGAATAAGAAAACAAGTGTTCATTTAATATTGAAACAAAAAACAAACTTTCTAGTCTTTTAAATATTTTATTAAAAAAAACTAATTCTGTTTATTATCTTTTTCACATGTAAAGTAAAAAAAAAAGAAATGCCAAAGAAATGCCACGTGCATCAAGAAAGCAATTAAAGTTAGTGTTCTTAAGTTTCGAAATGTACATTTATGCTAAGTGCCTCGTTTTCATCGATTTCTGACAGAAGAATTATGATTGGAGTTGAATTATAATTAACTTATGATAATGTAATAATATACTAGCATTCAACTCTAAAAAATAACCTCTGATACCGTTTTTTCTGTATTATGGAAGTAATCTTCAGTTTAAAACTTAATGGTGACCGAACTGCCAATGGCGTTTTTCTTAGTTATCTAGTCAAAGATTTCAACTGAGCGCTGATTAAACTAAATAACAACGTTTCGGTTTTTTTTTCAGGGACATAAGCCATATTTCGGTAAAATGAAGTGGCACACGTATAAAATCAAATGAGCCAAGTCATGACAAAACCAACATATTGGGTTTGCGACCAGCGTGGATCCAGACCAGCCTGCGTATCCGCGCAGTCTGATCAGGATCCATGCTGTTCGCTTCAAAATAACAAGTAGAAAAACTGATAGCGAACAGCATTGATCCTGATCATACTGCGCGGATGCGCAGGCTGGTCTGGATCCATGCTGTTCGCAAACCCATTATGTTTGTTTTGTCATGGCACGGCTCAAATATGTTTTGGATACAAATAGAGATTTATATCCACTGAAATGAATTTCCGTTATACAAATCGGTGCCTTTGTTTTTATATTGCAAAGCAATGGCTTTAACTATAGCGACTTGTATACATATAGCTTTGTGTTTTAACCTAATTTATCGTGCATATCAAAGTAAACAGGATTTCGGTTGAAATAACATGTAATAACTAATAAAGACTTAAATAAATTGCACTAGTATCCTTAACTGCGATTTATAAGCAATGCATAACAGTCTTTAAGCTCTGGACTTAATATATACATGTCAAATAATCTCCTACACAACTGTGCCATTTCAAGTGCCGTTTGCTGGCTGTAAAGAAAACAAAACATATGTAAACATATATAAAACATAATGCATTGTGAACAGAACCCACATATTCAGTAAATATAATGAAAGAGAGAGAACAAATGAGTTTGAATGAGCCACGATTTTGCCATATAGACAGGACTGATTTTGAGAATTTGGCTCCCTATAAGATGCTAGAGGCATTTTGTAGTACAAGTGGTATCTTGGTGTATTTTACCTATTTAAGGTATGCTGAATCCGATAAAGGTGGATACCAAATGTTGACCATTGAAATAGCCATTTAAAATGACCACTGAAATGGCCGCCAAATTTCTTTATTATAAATGGATGATATATCAAAGAAAGGAAAAGCCTGAAATTTGTCACAAAGCATGTTTAGGTAAAAACAAATTAGACACCTAAACAGAATTAAAAGCACAAAACAATCCAATATGGCTGAAAAATCCAAGATGGCAGACATTTTTCTATAGGCTATTATAGAAGTAATATTATAGATAGTACTGAAAATTTTAAGGCATTTAAACATATTTAGGGTTTACGCAGCGAACACTACACTCTTTCCTGCCCTAAATGCTAGATTTTAGATTTTATCTGGCACTATATGCAAGCATATAGAGTGGCTACTCGGATGCCTTCAGCGTTAAGATGTGTCAGGGGGTTAAAACGTGTGCATGCGAAATATACATTAATTAAGGCATTTTTCTCTGAGTACTCTTGGGTTTTGGTGTTCCTTTTACTGTTATCGGTCGTCGTCTTCGTTCTTCTGTTATCGGTTCTCGTCGCATTTCTCTGCTGTCAGATATTCTGTTATTGGTCGTGACTTTCGTTCTTCTGTTATTGGTCCTCGTCGCAGTTCTCTTGTTGTCAGTTCGTGATTTTCCTTCTTCTGTAATCGGTCTCATGTTATCGGTTCTCGTCTCTGTTTCTCTGCTATCGGTCGTCGTCTTCGTTCTTCTGTTTTCGGTTCTCGTCTTCGTTCTTATGTTATCCGTTCTGTAATCAGTTTTCTCCGTTTTGTTGTTGTCAATTTTTCTGTCTCTGTTATCGATCCCCGTCTCCATTTTTGTTGTCAGTTGTTATCGGTCCCTGTCCTGTTTTGTTCTGTTATCGGTGGTCCCTGTCCTATTCTTCTGTTAGCGGTCCTTGTCTCTGTTCGCTTGTTGTCAGTTCTTCTGTTATCGGTCCTTGTCTTTGTTCGATTGTTGTCAGTTCTTGTCCCCGTTTTTCCTTCTGTTATCGGTCGTCGTCTTCGGTCTTGTACTTTCGGTACTTGTTTCCTGTTCCGTTAAGGTCTTCTCTTGTTTCTATCGTTGCCGTCATTCTGTGTCTATGTCCTGGTTTTGTCAATCTCGTAGTCATTTATTCGTTCAGTGGAGTAGCGGGGGATCGAACTCACGACCCCTTGATTTGTAGGCAGACAGTGTTACCACTGCACCATAGCGCCCGCTCTGAATAATAACCATTTTTGAAAATCCTTTATACATTAAATACTATTTCAATGATTAACAAAAGGTGTATTACAATTATATTTTAACACCTCTACTATGTAGCCTACCCACGTGACTTTTATATGGTCAAAGAAAATATTACTCGATTTACAACAAATAATATTTTTATAGATAACTTTGCTGTTACTTTAAGATATCCTATTTTATTTATTTTATTTTTTTTTTTGGGGGGGGGGGGTAGGAGGGGGTGCAGTATATATTTTAAAACACTTTTTGTCTCGGTTTGTGTTGTGTTTATGGCATTGAAATGACATTTTTTGACATTTCAAAATAATTTTTAAATATTCATTTTAAAACATAAATACCATAATAAGTGCAAAATATATGAAAACACAATGAACAACTTAAAAAAATATCATAGCTACAAATAATGTTGAAAATTACGGAACACCTGAAGTGATATTTTCCACACTTTCTCCCGGAATTGAATTCGTTTTAACGAGATAATAATTCCCAATTAGAAATATTATTTCGTTTTAACGAAATATAAAATCTTAATTATGAAATATTGATTCGTTATTACGAAATATTATTTCGTAAATACGAAATATTAATTCGTTATTACGAAATATTATTTCGTAATTATGGAATATTAATTTGTTATTACGAAATATTTATTCTTTGGTAATATTTATAAACTAAGCTTATTGTTAAATATAAGTCAAGTAATTAAACATAAAAAGTGATTTTTTCAATCTTATTATTATACCTTAACGCGCTAGTAAAACAGTACTGTATATACTGTTTATTGAGCCATTAGGCTTATAATCGCTATATTTGGTGGCCAATGTCATTAAAATCTGATGATATTAAATAATCATTTGATTTTTACAAAAATAATTAATTGCATCATATTGTATCATAGTTTTAATGACCCATTTTATTATTTTTAAGCGGCCATTTTGAATTGACCTTTTGAAGGTCAAGGTCAATTTTATTATCTTGGTATCCACCCTCATCGTCTTCAGCATACCCATATTAGGTTAAAACACTCAAGATATTACTTATACTATAAAATGCCTCTAGCATTTATATTTTCTTAAAATCAGTCCTGTCTAATAGATGCTTTCAGGTGTGCTTGAATCCTATTTCGTGAACTGGCCATTCTTAAGAAGTTATTAAGTTCAGAAATATAATATGGCGCTTTAAAATAGTAGTTTTAACAAAATTCTTCAAATTTTATTTCTTTGTTAAATTATAAGATTAAACCCTTAACCCATATCCGCACAGGCTGCCCTGAATATACTGCTTATGGCAAGGGTGGTAACGTTCCGTTCTAGCAGTGTAACGGCTCACTGTATTGAATTGCCTACGCAATCAGTAAATAGTGTGCGACCAGCTTGCAAACCAATGCAGTCCGACAGTTAAATGGTCTATTTTTTAAATTTAATTGATTTTGCTACTTTGATATTGAAATCCCTCAAAATTCTAACGGACAGCTAAAAATGACAGAGTAACCAAATTTAGTTTTAAAAATTGAATTGTACGTTCTTACCTCAACTATTTATCGCATTCTGGCAATATAGGAAAAGACAGCATACTACCAAACTGATCATGCTGAATAAAGTACATCTCGCTCCTGTTGGTAAACAAATAAAAAGAAAACGTATGCTGACATAGTAAAATTATGAAATGATTAAGATGTCACCATGACCTTGACATTTTCATAATGCCATCATGATTTTGACATTGACAATAATGTCACCGTAATTGGTTGTTTAAAAATTCAACATTGACATTGATAATAATTCCACCATTATTGTATTTCTAATAATTCAACCTTGACATTGTCATTGCTAAAAATGTCATCATATTTTTTTAATTCAACATTGACATAAATAACAATGTCAGAATGATAACTTCATTTCAATAATGTCACCATGAAAATACATGGCTTATCAGACAATATTCGAAGTAGGTACGCGCCCTTCGCAGCTCACTGAAGAAAGTGAGCGATAGTGCATGGAACATTAGACCGATGCGAAGGAGAGTAGAAGTATGGCATCATTAAAATAGAATAAATGTCAAAATGTAATAGACTAGAAATGTGTCCATAGGACACGGATGCCCCCACACGTCACTGTTCTGTCAATCTTATGACTCTAGGTCAAATATTTTTTGGACTACATATGTGCCACAAGTTGAAAACTAAAAATCAACAAAGGGCCATAATTCTGTTAAATTTGGTCGCAGCAAAAATTCCTTCCTTTACTACCATCTACACATTAAGGTTGTTAATCCCTGGAAGTTTAAGCAAAATCTGCCATCCGGTTTAAGAGGAGTTGCGTTCACAAAATTTCTACATAGTATATAATGAAAAAATCAACAAAGGGCCATAATTCTGTTAAATTTGGTTGCAGCAAAAATTCCTTCCTTTACTGCCATCTACACATTAAGGTTGTTCATCCCTGGAAGTTGAAGCAAAATCTGCCATCCGGTTTAAGAGGAGTTGCATTCACAAAATTTCTACATAGTATATAGTGAAAAAAATTAATAAAGGGCCATAATTCTGTTAAATTTGGTCGCAGCGAAAATTCCTTCCTTTACTACCATCTACACCTTAAGGTTGTTCATCCCTGTAAGTTTAAGCAAAATCTGCCATCCGGTTTAAGAGGAGTTGCGTTCACAAAATTTCTACATAGTATATAGTGAAAAAATCAACAAAGGGCCATAATTCTGTTAAATTTGGTTGCAGCAAAAATTCCTTCCTTTACTACCATCTACACATTAAGGTTGTTCATCCCTGTAAGTTTAAGCAAAATCTGCCATCCGGTTTAAGAGGAGTTGCGTTCACAAAATTTCTACATAGTATCTAGTGAAAAAATCAACAAAGGGCCATAATTCTGTTAAATTTGGTCGCAGCGTTTAAGAGGAGTTGCGTTCACAAGATTTCGGGACGGACTGACGGACGGACTGACGGACGGACTGACTGACGGACGGACGGACAAGTGCAACGCTATATGCACCCACATTGTGGGGGCATAAAAACAAAGTAACACCCTTTCACAATACTTGAAGCATGACGTCATGAAACGAAACGATGTCAAAATGGAAAGTAATGGAATACCTTAAGAAAATACTTGAACAAAATAATGGAAATCATTGCAATACTAAAACACAATAGTTGAAACATGTCGTCACATAATAAAACAATGTCAAAAACGGAAACCAATGGAATACCGTTAGAGTACTAAAATACAATATTTGAAGCATGACGTCAAATAATGAAACAATGTCAAAATTGAAACCAATGGGCATGGCGTCAAATAATGAAACAATGTCAAAATTGAAACCAATGGAATACCCGGATGAAAACGAATTATAATGACATAATATGAGACTTTGTCAAAATGGAAAGCTCGTACGTAATACTTGAATCATGACGTCATATAATGGAACGATATTATATAAAAGTTAAAAGAGATTGTCTTACAACTTACCGCTTGTACACTTCCCCTCAACACACTGATTTCCATTTGTTCCCGTGCAATCTGTGTTTGCCGTGCAAACTTGTAAAATAAAATAAAATAAAAATATATAGGTAAAATTAAAAAAAGCTGCGTTCCCTATTACATGTCAAACTGCCAGTTTTTTTTAATGACACTATAAATTCATAGTTTGACCACCTATATAGTGTGTAGAATTTTAAACATAGCATATCTACTTTGTGTGAAGTCAAAACATGTTCGTTTTATATTTACAAAGAGACTGTGTAGCAATTATCAATATTTTCTAATATCAAATTTGAGTATAGTAGCCTATATCTTTAATGAGGTTGTAAGGATTTACAAACTAGTCAAAGAAACATTAACTCTCCCCCCTCCCCCAATCACAAACCCATGAATGATACGGAACATGGGGGAGCGGGCATTCGTGTTGACCTTTTTTACATTCAATCAGCGCATTTCATATCTTTTTATCTGAAAGACCCTGCTTCCATTTATCCCCGCAATGCCGAGTTAAGAATGCAGTGGGGTTTTTGCACCAAAAATAGCCAGTGATAATACCCTTACTCATTTTCTGCCGAATTAGCGTGGATTTTATAATTAAATAGACCTCCTCCTCGTCTCCCACACTCCTCGTCTGACACACCCAACAGAGCTGAGATTTTCAAAGGCCTTTGCTTTTCCAAAAGTCAAAGTCCCGCACTTCTCCAAGCAAAGTCTCGCCCTTTCTCAGGCAAAGTCCTGTCTTTCTCCAAGCAAAGTCCCGCCATTCTCCAAGCAAAGTCCCGCCCTTCTCAAAGCAAATTCCTGTCTTTCTCCAAGCAAAGTCCCGCCCTTCTCCAAGCAAAGTCCCACCTTTCTCCAAGCAAAGTCCCACCTTTCTCCAAGCAAAGTCCCGCCCTTCTCCAGAGATACTTTAAGTAGGGACCAGATTATAAATGTCTGATTCATTAACTTAATTTAGTTGAAATATAATTAGGGTCAAAATATAATTATTATAATATAGTTACCATTCAGTTTACACCGGCCTTCTATACATTCTGCATTAGCCACGCCCCCACAGTCTGACGTACTCGTGCATACGTCATTTAACGCTGAAATAAAGAAAAAATTAATGTTATCCTGGTATTTCGACAAATTTACTTGTAAAAAATCAGCCCTTCAGATAACATTTATTTGTCTTGAATAGTTTCATAAAAACTATTTTTATAGATCAAATTTATTTTTGAAAAAAGTGAGTCATCTAAGCAAACGTGACATTTTGTGATCTTCCTGCGTGTGGCGGGAAACCGTTGCAAAAATCGGTCAGTTTATCATAACTTTTTTAATTGTTTATTTTTTTCTAATAGAAAAAAAAACAACAACACAATTCTCAATTATTTTCGTGAAAACCTCCCTAATTTAAGCAAACGAATCGTTAACTGGTGGTTTATTTACGCACATACTTTTAGGCGAGCAGTATTTATTGGAAGCGTCGGCAATCTTCATATTCGACGGACATACACATTGGCCATCGTCGTCAGCATTAGCGTCACATATTGACCATTTGAAAAACACATCGCAGGAGTTTCTATCACTGCAAGCTTTTGGCAGACCTATAAAAGATTTGTTAAGAATAATGCTTTGTTATGAATTACAGCATAATCAAGTTGGGTTGAGGATGGAACTTCTGACCGGCAACCCGACTGAGTACATGCCTGAAAAACCAATTAGCTTCTTTTTGGGAAAAGTATCTGTGCAATTTTTTAAAATGATGAAATTTGAATGTTTTTCCAACTAACATGCCTGATTATTTTATAATTTGAATGATAAGTTAGTATAATTTATATGGTGTGTAGTCGGTTGGAGTGGTAATAGAAACTCGACGAACACCCCAAGTAGAGAAAAACGGTTGATCTACGGAAACTACATTCACTAGTTCGAGGTCCTCACTGCATTGCATTGCATATTTGTCCATATTCACATTCAGACATTCCTTAGCGATGACTTTGAGGTCTGTCTTTGGTTCTTCTCTCAAACGACCACTTGGGTTAATGCTGTTAATCTCCGCTGATTATTTGTATAGGATACGTACATAGTAAGGTTGTCAGTTAGTTGCTAAATATTCTTGGTTGGGTTTTAAGTATCACCGAAAATGTTACGGTTATTTAGCAATTTACCAGCTTTGTGAGTGGGGGAATGCCCCGGTTGCCCCTTAATGCACCATAACAAACAAGAGAGGGCACAGAGGTAAAATCAACAATCTCTCCAAGGGCGAGACACCAACCCACACCAGTGTTAGGCAAGTAGTTAAGTGGTTCGAAGAAAGCGACTTTAATTGCTCAGCCACATTATGATTATTACTCAAACACTTAATAAATTGGCGATGAACACATAATTATAATATTAAATATTATACCCTAGAGATCTAACCTTTTGGCGAGCAGTATGTGTGCGTCGGACCAGCGACCTCCATATCAGATGGACAAACACATTGTCCGTCGGCGTCGGCAGTAGTGTCACATACCGACGAAGTAAATTGTGTATCACACGTGGAGGAATCAGAACAGCTTGTTGGTAAACCTGGGATAATAAAAATTATCTTTTCATATGTTTTATTTATTCATAACTGATGTACAATGTTCCAACAGTTTGATTTTGATTTAACGTTGCAACAGCTCAACGTTTAACGTTGCAACAGCTCAACGTTAACATGCGCTAGACAGCGAATAACAACTTATAAACGTTTATAAACAAAGAGTCCAGCTTTAACGTCAGTAAACGTTGGTTAAAATAAAGTATGGAGCCAGATTAAGGACGAGTGCATTTCTGTTATTTTAAAATAAGAGTGTATTCAGGGCAAAAACACACGTGGGAGGCAGGTTTACACCAAGATTCTTACCTCTTACATCCCCATCTGGCGTACATTGGTTCGTGCCTGCGTAATCGATTTCTATATATTGTTTGACCCAATAAGTTGTCTTCTGCTGAACAATCGTACAGCTAAAAATATGAAGAAAAACAAATAAAATAAAATAAAAAATAAATAATGTGAAAACCGTACGTCACATTGTCATATTTGTGGAACTACAGGCATTGCAATGCCAATGGATACAAGACAAAAATGATGCAATTCTAGATTTAGTCAAAAGAAAAACGTAAAGATATTTGACTTCTGTATACAGTCTTTTTCTCCCATACGATGTTTTGTCGGAAGTGCATGTATGCGTTGACTTATCGCGGTCATTTCAGCTGTTCAGGACTTTGGAATAAGTTACAAATTTCCACTCCAAGGAAATCCGAGCAATCTGCCTAGCTCTTGTGTTAAATTCTATTTTTAGAAATGTCAATCGCTTACACAATATAGACCATATCCGTCTTTGAACTGTCCGGTGTCCATGTAAAAGTGACGGAAGTTTTCTTCATCGCGTCTTTATGGGTTAACGAGGCTTTCTGGAATAGAAACTGCAAAGTATTAATTACGTATTAACGAAAACAACAGCAACAAGAAAAAAACAACAAAGTAATCGAAAGAAAGTAAGAAGAAAAAGAAAAGAAAAAAAACCTGAACAAAAAAAGTGCATTTTCTTTTGTAATTGTCTTTCGCACGGAAGTGTTCAAATATTATGAAAAATAAAACAAGAGGGCCATGATGGCCCTGAAGTCGCTAACCTGTATATAGGCCCCCGTAGCGTGGCCCGTTTAAACCCCATGGCTTTTATTTGAACAAACTTGGTAGACACCCATTAGAAGATGTTTCATGCTAAACATCTAAGGTCTAGCTGGTCAAGTTTTTTCTTTACACATATAGTTTAAAACAATGACACACCTGGGGCAGGCCTAGTTTGGACCCAAGGGCTTTTATTTGAACAATCTTTGTAGACACTTACTTGAAAATGTTTCATGCCTAATATCTGAACTCTAGCTATTCGGATCTTTCGAAGAAGATTTTTAAGTTTTTGCTATACACATACAAGGAAAATCAATGACCCCCGGGGTGGGGCCAATTTTGACCCCAGGGTTTTTATTTGAACAAACTTGGTAGATACTTACTAGAATATGTTTCATGCTTAATATCTAAACTCTAGCTATTTGGGTTTTTTCAAAGAAGATTTTTAAGTTTTTGCTATACACATATAAGGAAAATCAATGTCCCCTGGGGCGGGGCCAATTTTGACCCCAGGGCTTTTATTTGAACAGACTTAGTAGACACTCACTAGAAGATGCTTCGTGCTTAATATCTAAACTCTAGCTATTTGAGTTTTTTCAAAGAAGATTTTTTAAGTTTTTGTTATACACATATAAGGAAAATGAATGACCCCCGGGGCGGGGCCAATTTTGACCCCAAGGCTTTTATTTGAACAAACTTGGTAGACACTCACTAGAAGATGTTTCATGCTTAGTATCTAAACTCTAGCTATTTGGTTTTTTTCAAAGAAGATTTTTTAAGTTTTTACTATACACATATAAGAAAAATCAATGGCGGGGCCCAATTTTGACCCCAGGGCTCTTATTTGAACAAACTTGGTAGACATCCATTAGAACATGTTTCATGCTTAATATCTTAGCTCTAGCTCTTTGGGTTCTTTAAAAGAAGATTTTTTAAGGTTTTTACTATATGCATATAGGGAAAATCAATGACCCCCGGGGCGGGGCCAATTTTGACCCCAGGGCTTTTATTTGAACAAACTTGTTAGACACCCATTAGAAGATGTTTCATGCTAAATTTCTTAGCTCTAGCTCTTTGGGTTCTTTAAAAGAAGATTTTTTAAGTTTTTACTATATGCATATAGGGAAAATCAATGACCCCCTGGGGCGGGGCCAATTTTGACCCCAGGGCTTTTATTTGAACAAACTTGGTAGATACTCACTAGAAGATGTTTCATGCCAAATATCTAAGCTCTAGCTCTTTGGGTTTTTTAGAAGAAGATATTTAAAGTTTTTTCTTTTGGTTGCCATGGCAACCAGAGTTCTGCATGGAATGGAATTCTTTGAACAACTTTGTTAAGGCTTCACACAAGGAACATCCCTGTGAAGTTTCATTATGATCTGCCTTATGGTTTCAGAGGAGATGTCGTTTTAAAAGTGTGAACGGACAACGGACGACGTACGACGGACGACGGACGACAGACGAAGAGTGATCCTAATAGCTCACCCTGAGCATATGCGCAGGTGAGCTAAAATGGAAATTTGGCGCATGTCGGAATTAACCAAAAAAAAAGCAATAATTGGATAATTACAAGTTTTAAGACACCGTTGATGGTGTTATGACCTTAAGTGACTTTTTGTCCTTGGTGGCAATCCTTGACATGTATTAAGAAAAAAATATTACAACAGCGTACATGACAAGCATAATGCAAAGCCTAAACTTTTCTTTCACTCAACCTTTATAGCTTACTTATTGTATATATCCTAAATAATGTATGCACAAGATTTCTCTCCAATTTCGTGAATATATCGTTTATTCTAAAGAACAACAATAATACCACTACCACAACCACCACCACCACCACTACCAGTAAGAACCACCACTAACACCACTTACATCACCACTAATCACCACCACCGGCACCACAAAAAATAAATAAAATCATCACTAATACTAACACAACCATCACCACCACCTATACCACTATCACCACATCCAATAGCACCACAACTACCACAACCACTTACACTACCACAATCATCATCACCAACCCCGCTACAACCGCCATCACCACCACTTCCGACACCATACACCGCGACCACCACTACTACGACAACCACCACTAACACCACTACCACCGCTAACACCACTACCAACTACCATCATCACTACCACCGTCACCCCACCACTACTACTACAAATGCCACCACCACACCACCACTACCACGTCTACCACCACCCCACCACCACTACCTAATACCTACCCCTGCACAATTGTTAGTTGTCCTCCCATCGTCGGTTTCTGATGACGTTAGTGCCCCAGTTGTATCAAAGCCGTTGACTGAAGACCTGGCTTGACAAATAAACCCTTTAAATGGGACTGTGCCGGTCAGTGTCACTAATTAGAATAAAAATTTAAGTAAATTGTCTGCCCTTCGCAGTTTATTTCAAAATGCATACATTTTTTTTCTAATATACATGCCCAAAATGAGTTAAATGTTAAAACATCATTTTTTGTCCATTAGGAAGGCGGTTTTTCAGATGAATCGCATCATCTTATTTAATCTAGTCGTAGTAAATCAACTGGAAAATGTAAAAATTATAATTTCAAACACTATGGGTAAACATGCACTGAAGTAAGATTGGTTGATAGCGGAGCCAATTTTACTTTGGAAAATTAACGACACATACCTATGTGTAAAATTTGTTAAGCAAATAGTTTTTATCCGTGAAAAAAAAACGCCAAAAAACCCAACAAAACAAACAAACAAAAAACAACACACAAAAAACAACAGCAGCAAAAAAAAACACACACACACACACACACAAAACAACAACAAAAATTCGACATAAGTTATAAAGTCGTATCCATTTTCCTAACTTAGCAAATGATATAATTATCCCTCAACCTTTTTTATATGTACTTTTTACTTCATTAAATTAAAGTAAAACTATTATCTATATTTGTTTTATTGATGTACACTGACCATTAGATCAAAGGACACTCACCGTTCACATCGTTTTTGGGACAATATTTAAAAGCGGTTGGTCTAATGAGATACTGAGAGTCTACAGTCTGTGGCAGAGACCCATGATCTGGCGACATACCCTCGCATGCTTGTGTCGGGGCTCCGTACGGATATGCGACTATCCGGTGTAGTTGTAACAAAGTTAGGAGACCAAAGGACGACCACATTCTACTTGCCATGTTTACACTGCAAATGAAATATACTTTGCACTGCAAATGAAATATACTTTACACTGCAAATGAAATATACTTTTCATTGCAAATACAATATACTTTTCACTGCAAATACGATATACTTTACACTGCAAATGAAATATACCAATCGGAGTTCACGTACGTGTATATATTGCCTTGGGTTTTTTGTCTTGTTTTTTTTAATTATTTCGTTTATTTGTATCTTAAAGGAACTCCACTGAGGTCCAATAGCCTAAAATAATAAATTTTGAAATTCTTTCTTAAATCAATTCGTACACTTAACATTAGAAACCAACCAACAGATGATATATAAATATACACGGTATTAAATTGATAATCCATTTTTTATGCAATTTTATGGCCGATGCGAGTGAAAAGCGATGGAACGATTTTTATTTTGTGGGCCAATTTGCATAATAAAATTGATTATTTCTGGAAAACGGAGTGAGCGAATGGTCTGAAATTTTTTACACGAATTATTGGTCAAGGCATACATCTATCTTGAAAAAATGTTTTCGGACCCTTCACGTAATAAAAAAAAAACGCTTCAAAGACACAATATGCATCAGAAATGAATACATTTTTTTGCCTTCTACTGAAACAACAAATATGGGTTCTACAATGTTGCAAGCATAATTATACAATCAACGGTTAAAAAAGCGCTGAATTATGTGTGATGTAAACAAAGTGGTACTTTGACTTTGATACAAAACACTAAATCACTATAATTCTAGAAATTGACAAAATGCAAAAGTTCAGCTATATACTAGTACCCAATGAATAACAATGAACAATACATTTTTTTTTTGAGAAATAAAAACTATTGCAATATATGCTTAAAGATCCTGTATGTTTTGTGATTGATATTGTTACTGTATGTATCATACACTTGGAAAATCTTATATATGTATATAATTATGCAAATAAAACAATTTTCAAACATCCGAGAATATGTAAAATGTGTGCTGCAAATATTTGTGCACATTATATTTAATCAATAAGTTACATGCATTTATTTCTTATTGGAAAATTTGACTTGGAATTTATAGAAAATAAATTTCTAATTACCTCCCTTTATTTACGCAAAATGTTAAATTGGGTAATATCTTTATAAATAATGCTTATTTGAACTTACAAGATTGACAAGTCTTAATTTGAGCATCATATTTATGAAATAAAACCATGAAAAAAATGTGTTACAGGATCTTTAATGAGACTTAAAAAAGACCGTCAACTTTGATGTCAAAGACACTTATAAATTAATTTTGGTAAAAGTATGTCCAAAACTTGGTACGAAAACTTAAAGCGGAAGTTTGTTTATATTCCTCTTGAATCAATTTCCTGGACTGACAGGTTATTGTTTCATAATTACATAAAATTCATTAAGTGAAAATATGGCCATAGCCCCACTAGGTCTCGAACTCATATTCAAAAGGTTGGGAACCATTCATCTTTTCATCTAGTCTACTTCTATCAATAAGGAGAATACATGTTTGACTTCAAAACCATAATTATAATATCTTATTTTTAAATATATAGTAAATTAGTTAATATCCGTTTTCTGTCGGACATTGACGGAAATAGCCGAAAGCATGCGTGACCTTTGCGAAACATGCACGACTTAATATTGCTTCCGGTTCATGAATAAGTTTGAATGATTGACTAAAATTTAATAGATATATATACTAAATGCGTAAATAATGAATAGAATAACTAGTATTGTATATTATTGATTAAACAGTTTAGATTAATCATTCAACCATTTTGCAAAATATAATTATATTTTTTTTTCAAAACATAACAAACTAATTGCAATATTAATTTCTAAGATTTGCATTCAAATCGAACCTAATTCTTTTAAAAACAATGTACTCACGTCACGGAACCCTTTCACAAAGTATCTCCACAAAAAAGATCGAACAAAATTGTTTATATGTCTGATTCATCGCCATCCAAAAATAGACTACATGTATTAGCTTTATACATTAAGGACTTGGTACACCAATATTATTATGGCGTTTTTTGTAAATTCTTTTTATGTTTAAGGACATTCTTCATCGAACATTTATTATTTAATTCATTGCACACTGTCGTTTTCGCTATGACAATAATACATACATACATGTTTAAAGTATTTTTATTTAAATAGTTGCACTAAACTAGTACTATATAATGATTTTCGTTTTATGCTATCTCAAGAGCATGCTAGCAAACGGACACACACGTTTTAAGATAAAGACATCTTTATTTGATCGTAGTTTGGCAAACTGCTATGGTATTTATGTTTAAATACTTACTATAAACATGTATAACGATATCCCACAAACATACATAAAGTTATTTTTAGTCTAAATGACAAAAATCATTAATCAACTGTAGAACGACAACTGGCTTTGTATTAACCATCTTTACATGTATATATACATGTATTTCACAAACATATCATAACGTTTGACTATCAGACGAATGTGTGAGCAAATAGATACCAAAAGACATGTATACAAAGGGCAAAGAAAACAATGTAAAGTGTAGCATGTCAACTTAGTTTAACTATTTATAAATCTTTTACATGCTTTTTAGTGTTGAAAACATGAAGGAGACTTGAAACGAAATATAACATTGATATATAATTTTAATGTACTAAAAGGCGAATGTTACAGTTACATAAAGGCAGAATAAATCAAAGCACAGAAGGCGCTGAATTTGTTTGGGTCTCAGAATGTAAGAAAGGTGCAGGTTGTGAGATTATATGTTTAGTGCCACCAATGCTTTCCAGCGTTTTAATTGTAGTAAATTGGCTATAAGACTAATTGCAACACTGATATTCAATCCAATGTTTATTTGACTTTAACAATTTAAAAAAATGAGTTACCTTTACTGGGATTTGAACTCCAGACCTCTCGCTTCCTAAGCGAGCCCGAAAACCCTTCAGCCACGGTTAAATTTATATGTGAACGGCCTGAAGAAAACCATATTATTCTAAATTAGGGCTTGTAACGACTTTTAACTGTTGTTTAACACTGATGTAAATAATCCTGAAGCTTACTATAAGCATGTATATTTATAAAGAATCAAAGGGCTTCAAGTTCTTTGGTATTTTCTGATCTTTGGCTTGCAATCTAAATAGTACTGTATATCTGTATGCATTTTCCTGTATAAGTTTATTTTTATGTATTATAATTCATTTTGTAAGGCACATACGGATTTCTGCATAACTAGAGTTACATCAAAAAATCATTTATGTACTTTTTTTACGACAGCCACACTTTATCCTTGTAAATCATGGCTACTTCCTTAACAAAAACAATTAAAAAAAGAATTTAACAAAAAAAAAATTTCCTCGACTGGGATTCGAACTCGAGACCTCTCACTCACTAAGCGAGCGCTTTACCACTGTGCCACGGAGAAGTTATACACAGAAGGTCTGAATAATATCAAGTCATTCTAAATTTAGAACTTCCATTGCATTCAGGTTTGTAATCCTTATTAATTTCGAGGTATTTTGTTCAGGGTAAACCTGTTGTTTAAAATTGAAGTAAATATTTTAGCGAAAAATCCTCTCGCCCAAACAGTCCGACATGTAGAATCTATATATTCCACTACTCGGTTTGTGTAGTATTCGGTAATCTACATGGCTAAAAATAGTATTTTCATTGATAAAATCATATTCATCCGCGTAATTTGTGATTGTGCATTTATTGACAATTCTATAAGCCAACGCTATTGTTTAACTTTAAATGCGTTGTAATTTGTTGGATACTTGTAACAAGATAAAATATTTCTTTCTTTTAAATCGCTAGTTTTTAGCTGTTTTGAGAACTACTTGTTGTTAGGTTTGTCATAAACTTCTGTGTCACAGATTGAATGTCCGCTTTGTATTTAGTTATTTTCGATCAGAAAATACCAGAAAACAATATTAGAAATCTTCGACCATTCGGGAATTACTTTGCTTGAAAATTGATGCGCCTGTCTTTGCCTGTCTTTACGCAGTGATCTCCCCTGAATTTTTCGGCTTTAGTGTACATACAAAAGGGAAGTAACCGCTTCAAAAAAGTGGACTACTTTCGGCATTTGCAATTAAGAACATTAGACTCTGAAATTTCGCTACCATTATTTGTTTGGTCTGACGACCCAAACAAATAAAAACTGTGTAAAAGAAATTATTGAAACTTTACATGATCTTAGTATATATGGCAACAGAAACATTTAAAGCAAATGGCGTTTTCGTTGAGATCGTCCATCGAATTAATAAAATAGGCTTTAAAGCAACCAATGAATATGCGATTCAATTTTAAAATTAAAAAAAATACATCCTTGTACTACTTAATCCTTAAGGATAAAATATGATATTACCTTGTTTATGTGAACGTGACTAAAACAGACATTTTTGGTAACGTCACGGTTACTGCGTTTCGTCTATTCGAAACCGGATACCATAAAAACATATCGATGCGTTTTTTCCCAGCCTATCGTGTAACACACTTTACCGACACTGAACTATTCATATCGTTATTTGAATATATGCATAGCAATCGCAAAAAAAACACAAAGATTTAAGTAAATGTTTCTAATATCGAGAATGGGATATAACGTACTTCATCAAATTATTATGTATATTTACCACTACAGTACAACCTCTGCACAGCGGCCAACTATAAAGCAATCACCTCTTTACAACAACAGTTATATTTTTCCAATCAAAGTAAGACTTAACAATAAGTTTGACTTATGTAGACCAACACCTCTCAGTGTCTTCCGAAGATGCTGCTTGACACAGGTTGTTCTGTACTCCATGATGACAAACCTTTTCCCTATCTAAATCAGAAAAAATAATGAGATTAAATCAGTGTTTGTTGTCATTTTGGTATACGAAAAAACAGAGATATTGCTGAAAAAAATACAGTATACTAATATGAAAAATACGGCTTTTTTATTTTTCAATATTTTTTGACGATTATGTTATTTTTCTTATATCAATTAGTCACTAAAGGTAGCCTGCATTTATTTCTTATAAATTTCCCTTTAGCTACCTCTTTCTGTTTTTTTTTGCGAGCACCTTACACGGCAGCGACATGTTGCAATGCTGGGAATTTTGTATAAAAAGTCAACTAAGTCACAGGTAACCGTGTTCTATGTTATTTACCAATATTGATAATAATTTTGCAAAAAAAGAACACTCAAAAATTACCCAGCAACGGTTAAAAAGCTTTACCACGACTGAGCATATTTTAGATAATTCTTGTTTATCGTGCGTCGACCTTTTTTGTCTTTCAGACTCTTTTGGTTCATTACCAAAGTTACAATAATAATATGTTATGCTTTAGATTACCTTTCTTCTTTTACAATCTTTATAAACATAATATTAAATCAGTTTAACTTTACTTATTCTCTGTAAGTTTTCTGATGTAAGTAAAAGAAAGAGCATCGCAACACGAGGCTATCTGATTTGTACGAGGGGGCGTAGCCCCCGAGTAGTAATCAGATTGCCAAGTGTTTTGATGTTCTTTCTCTTTTGTATCATAGTCAAAGATAAAAACACGTTCCCTGTTGTCACAATATGAAACCCCGGAGAATGAACGAGCATTTAAATATGATATTTCTGTCGCTTTCACTTTCTCTGCTGTCACTATAAGTAAACCCCAGCAAAAATGAGCCAATCAACGGGCATGCTCTGGAGTGCGGGTAACTAATACCTGCACTCCAGTTAACGCACGGTGCATGTATATGTATACAATTTAACTCGGACACATTTTCAACAGAAAGGTCCCCAAACTATGATACAATCATTATTTGTATCATAGTTTGGGGACCTTTCTGTTGAAAATGTGTCAGAGTTAAATCGTATACATATACATGCACAGTGCGTTAACTGGAGTGCAGGAATTAGTTACCCGCACTCCAGAGCATGCCCATGCATTGATTGGCTCATTTTTGCTGGAGTTTACTTATTGTGACTGCAGAGAAAGGGACAGCAATAGAACTATCATATTCAAATGCTCGCCCATTGGTTACATTTTTCTGGAGTTTCATATTGTGACAACAGGGAACGTGTTTTTATGTTTGACTATGATACAAAAGAGAAAGAACATCAAAACACTCGGCAAACTGATTAATACTTGGGGGCTACGCTCCCTCGTACAAATCAGATAGCCTCGTGTTTCGATGCTCTTTCTATTACATATTCTTACACTGATATGTTTGTAAATTTGTAAAAGGTTGAATATATTCTTTAAACCTAACCTCACCTTACCACTATTATCTCGGGTTACTTTATGTTAAGTTGCTCTTGCCCGCTAAACAGCAGTGACCTACTTCCGTCTTTGACTCTGTGGAAATTGCAAAAAACTACAGCACTCAAAGGCCTTTGCTAACTCAGCTATTTCCATTGTAAAATAAACTTTCAAATTCTTCATCGAACTGGCGATAGGGTTCAGGTATTGATCTGTAGCGCACCGGATGTTCAAAAAATTAGTGGACACTTATGAGGTTGTGTTCTTATCTTCGTTATTCTTAAGCAAATGGAATACCCTAATGCGTTAGTAACGTGAATCAGATTTGCAAGTTATATGATATACATTTGTAGGTTTTTGGTTTATGGCTTTTTATAATCCTAAAATGTCTTTAAAATAAAACCTAACGCATGACCAGCTCGTAAAATCGGTAACTTTCTGCACTTTTTGTGTCTTATAAATATTATAAGTTTCTACATGACAATGAACAAAAAAATCATGTTAGCGAAACGCTGAATGAATGCAAAGTACAAACGGAAATTGACGAAGTATTCCGAATTAAGTCAAAAGTCTCTTACCGGTAAGTCCGAACAGGATTTTGCTCAGCAAGGAAGGTGTCACATGCCTATGGTGGCTAATTTGGTACACTGCGCGTTGCGTTGTCGTTAGCGACAACAGCACCTATATCGTTATCGCCTTTTCGTCTTGTTGCTAGCGACAACACGACAAAGCACCAAGCGCACTGTCGTCCTGTCGCTAGCGCCAAACGGCGCGTTGTGGTGCGGCGCGCTGTCGCGATGTCGCCCTGTCGCTTTGCTTGTAAGCCAATCCTTCGATTTAAACCAAGCGACAATGTGACATCGCGACAATACGCCGCGCGACAACGCGCCGTTTGGCGTGCATCGTTAGCGACAGGACAACAAGAAGAAAGTCTGACAACGCGCCGTTTGACGCTTTGTCGTGTTGTCGCCTGCGCCAACAGGACGCACAAAAGCGTTCCAAATCAGCCACCATACATGTCACATATTGTGGTTGAAAACAATACGACTGTCGGAGTTTGTGTCTTTATCTCTTGCCATGCATGTACTCGATTTTGTTCTGAATATTGACTGACGTAATTGTATACCATTACAATTTAACCCTACCCATCATACCTGCAACATCCGCATATATCCAGTCATTTTCCCACAGGTTTGTTAAGTGATTATCACGTTTTTACATCGCGCAACACTTAGTATAGATTGGAAAAAAAGAACACTCGTGTGAGTACAATTTTATCATTTCATTTATATTTGTGTGTATTAATTTATTAGAAAAAATAAAAAATTTGCATCAATGTTCGAGTGAATAAATAACAGGTGATTTTTTAGATTAATGAAATTAAAGCACTAAATTTTAAGATAATACTATGATGGCCATGTCAGAATATACTTTTAGTCAGTGAAATTCTTTTATTTTCCAACTGTTTTCTATTTTTTTTATAATTATATATTTTTTAATTTAATAATATTTTATTGCAACTATATAATACATGTAAAATATGAATAAGACTTAAAACAAATGTATATTTAAGTATAGTGCAAATGGGTTGGGCTACAAGTTATTTCAACATTACAACAGTTTAAACTATTATAATATATATTTTCCGGATATTAATGTTTGCGTGTCCTTGTCCCTTTATTTCCCGTATAGGCTATTTTCGATGTATTTTCTGGTATTTTCTATTATTTTTCTTATTAAATTGTAGCAGTAATTTGCATGCCCTCGCCTCTTTTTCCCCGCTCTTTTGCCATCTTGCATTTTTAGTTCGGCGACCTACTGGGTGCCTTGCTTGTTGATCTTTTTTTTTTTGCGTGCTAAATTTCTGGATTTTTCACCTGTTTCTGAAATAAATAAATAAATAAATAAATAATAAATAAATAAATAAATAAATAAATAAATAAATAAATAAATAAATAAATAAATAAATAAAGAAAAAAAGAAACAAACAAACAAACAAACAAACAAACAAATAAATAAATAAATAAATAAATAAATTAATTAATTAATTAATAAATAAAAAATTAAATAAAGTGAAGTTTTATCAAGAAGTTTTTGAAACGTTCCTATAGATTGCATAGTACTGGAAACGTGAAAGTCTCATTCTTACATAAGTGACCTACTATAGTTATATAATTCATGACTTTTATAATTTATATGCACTGGTGAATTTAAAGTGGCTTACTAACCGTGATCCGGATGGATAAACTACAAAAAAAAATGCAATATAATCCATAGTTATGCTCAGGTGATTTCAAAATGACTTACAGAGTTGCATATTTTTATCAGTCAGTCAAGCTCATCCAATAGATATGTAATACAAAGAGCACATCGAAACACCAGGCTATCTGATTTGTAGGAGGGGGCGTAGCCCCCGAGTTTTAATAAGATTGCCGAGTGTTTTGATGTTCTTTCTCTTTTGTTTCATAGTCAAACATAAAATCACACTCCCTGTTGTCACAATATGAAACCCCAGAAAAAAAGGAACCAATGAACGAGCATTTGAAAATGACATTTCTGTCGCTTTCCCTTTCTCTTCCGTCACAATAAGTAAACTCCAGCAAATATTAGCCAATCAATGGGCATGCTCTGGAGTGCGGGTAACTAATAGTCCTGCTTTCAAGGTAACGTACTGTGCTTTTATATGTATACGATTTAACTCTGACACGTTTTCAACAGAAAGGTCCCCAAACTATGATACTTTTTCCATGATGCATATGATCGTCTCATTGGCCCCCCGTGCATCAAAATAGTATCATCACAAAAATCGACTCGTATACATACTAACTATAATTCAATGAATTACTGAATTCAAAATTTATTGGTCATCTTTTGGTTGATAACAACATTTAACGACATGAATGGTGACATGTCCAGGGTCGTACTCTCAGTGCGGATGGACCCTCATTATGCCTAGAATACCTACCTACATGTACCTACAAGTGGCTTACTCCCGTGATCCGATCCGAATGGGTAAACTACGGACACCAACAAAAATATAATTCATATTACTTTTTTTGATAATATCATTTATTAGCATAATACAAAAAAAGCATACTATTTTGCTCATTCTTCTCACGTGTTTATTGTTTACTGATTACAAGGAAGTCAAAGGCCGGAAAAGCGAACAGGGATTTGGCTTGCGCGGCTATAGACTACACGTGTTTATTAAAAAAAATCAAATAAAAAACTATCAAAAACATATAGATTTCTAAACCTTTCAGAGAATATCTAGTTGGGCGCCGCCATTTTCAATGTAATTCAATGTAAATAGACTGGGTATTCTGATAACTGAACGACTTTTCGCAACTTTTCGGCTTAATGATAATATTCGAAGTGTTCCGAGTGAAAGCGGAAGCGGTTCATGGAATAATGAATGAAACTTATAAAACGGTAAACAGTATAACAAATATTAGCATTTCCAAAAATGCTTGGAATCGCCGTTCAGCCATGAATATAGAAATGATGTTTCATTGCTTGCCTAATTCCTTTATTGTGTGTGGTCAACAAATAAAGCAAACAAAAAATATTTGATTTACTCTACCATTCCGTTCTAGTCGTACTAAGCTAGATTCTGAGATATTTTTGTTGTGGGTACAAAATCTTGGGAAGATTGCCCATAAGAAAAATATCAAAATAACTAAACGGGTTTTACATTTAGTTTGACTACAATACTTAATTAGTGCATCAATCGGCAAAAATAATAAGCTACTTGCGTAATTAACAACAGTTACTTGCTATATATTAAAATTGATGTTTGTAAATGTTCTGATTCATGTTGTTGTGTTTATGAGCTTAAAGACTGAATTCGTACATTGATAATGGTATTTTCTGTTGAACGAATAAGTAACCAGACAAACATGGCGGTTGGGCGAGTCTATTACCAGCCCTTGTTGAAGTTTTTTGACGTCCATTTTGATATCATGTGATATTAAATTATTCGCTTTGATTGGCTTAAGGCAGGCGGTGTACAGGTAGAACTGTTCAAATTTTGTTAATTGTATATATCGCCGTCCAAGAACGGCGGTAATAAAAATGAACGATTACTTTGACCGACTTTGACCGACTTCCCGTTCACAGGCTTTGCCTAATTTCATTTCATATATATTTATCATCTTCGGATCTGCTTATCTAATATTAAAGGTAGTTTTCTTTCCACTTGACTTTACTAATACATGTATTCAAGTGTGAATGGACATAAACAGGTTCTTTCTTAAATTAGAACAACCGTCGTTTGAAGTTAAAGGTGCACCGGATCGCAGTTTGCAGTTGTCGGTGCTTTCGATTGAATAAGACATTCGTAGTTTCAAGTTGACAATTTGATATTTTAATATTTCACTTTCATATGGCTCAATATTTTCTACACTGCAGTATATTCTTTATATACTTGTGTGTGTACTTAATGAAAATTTCTTAAAACATCCTGATCGGAGTTGTCATTTCCTAATCTGTATCCGCGTGATTGATGTCATATAGATCGTATTTAATCGTATTTACTCGGTTATTTCCGTTGCAGAACATTCATCTAATGCCGTGTTCCGGTTGAACGTGTTAACCCTCGGATACTTATAGGATAGGAAAAGATGCAGATCATTGTTGTACACCAAAGCATAAATGTAATAAGATAGGTCGTTAAATTTCAAACATCGTCAATTTTTAATGTCACGTGATCAGGAACGTGAATACGTACGAGAAACAAAATCAGAAACATGTATATTTTTTTACATAAATATTTTAGGAGAAATAAAGTGTTTGTTTTTTGCTTTGACAGTTACCTGTATGAAAGCGGGTATTTCTTTGTCGTTCTTTTTTTAAAAGTGTAACACAGTGTTTATTGTCGCTATTCAGTTAACTTGCTGAAACCGGATCTTTCTTTTTTGCGTTGAAATTATTATCTAAATCAACTTTGTAATGAATACCTCACGAATTTTGTCAACTGCAAAGAAAAAAGAACACTCCTGTAAAATATATCTGTTAAAGTGGATGAACGACTGGTTGCGTGTTTTAAGCAAAACTTTTGAATTAGTCACCAAGTGTTAGTATTTGTACATTGTACATAAAATATTATATAGAAAAAAAAACTTGCTCAAAAGGCCACCTCTCTATAAAGCATACTAATAGAAAATATGCCATTAATTTAGATCCTTTTTGTTAAAGTAAACTGCAAAGTTACCATCATCAGATACCAGCTTTCACGAAAGGCCACTCTTTCTAATTCATATAAAATAGGGTACAGAAATGATCATTCAAAGAAAGTTTGACTGCGAACCATTTTTTTGACTTAATATTACTCTAAAAGCCCTTTGTACTTTACTTTTTTCATGTTATATTCACATTAAAGATATCGCGTTTAATAGTAAATAAAATGAACATGTAACAAATCAAAATTTTTTAAGCATCTGAATAAGCTTGTTCAAACCGTTTACTAAGAAAACAAATTAAGATTAGGATCAAATAATCTTTGTATTATTTTCATTGCTTTGAGAAACTGAAATTGATTGAATTGGATTACAATTTAAAGGTACTCCACTGAGGTCAATTAGTCTAAAATAATAAAATTTGACGTTCTTTCATAAATCAACTAGTGTACTTAAAATAGAAAACTATGCAATAGATAATACATAAATATGCTCAGTGTTAAATTGATAATCCAATTTTTATGCGATTTTAAGGCTGATTTGAGGCATTGTACACTCATTCTCACATAAGCCCGACATTTAAAAAATTCTATAATTGGAAAATAAACTTTCTTGTATATTAACAACGCTTTCCAGTTTGGGTTCAATTTGCGCAGCAAAAAGGATCATTCAAGGAAGTGGATTTAGCGAATGATCTGAAATTTTGTACTCAAGTTATTTGCCAAGACCTCAACTTGAAAACAAAATTTTTCGGTCCCTTCGTTTAAAAAATCGCCAGAGCCCTTTATTGTTACATAAACCAAATGTTAAAAATTCCTTTACAAGCAAAGATAGAATCCTATTTATGGATAAAAATGAGGAATAAAATTACAAATACAAGAATAATTGAATAAAAAAATGGATCAAGATCAATGTTTTGAATTACTATTAAATGCCAATATTTTGTAAAGTAATAATAAAATTATTCTAAAATTTCATAAACATGATATTTTAAGTCCACTTTTATCAAGTAAAAATTGAAAATCATATTCTTTTGGGATAAACAACGGAGAATTTTATAGTTTTTAATTTTGGTAGTTTTTTTAAATTTTGATCATGATCCTAAAACAGCACGTCTCAAGATGCATGCAAATTTTCATGAAAATTAAGAAAAACATGTTTAAAAGTAAGATATTGCAAAGCGAACAAAGAAACATTTTTTTACATTGAAAACAGTACTTGTAGCCAAAATAAATTACCAAAATGAGGTCAGATATGCAAAATAGCCAGTATTGCGTTAGTAACGCAGTAGAAATATTGTAAAAAGATACTGGTCATATATCGCTAACAACATGGAAATTATTAATTTTACCTTGAATCTTTTTGTTTTTCTCAAAATCTTATGCAGCTTAAATGAACACGGCACCAGGCATTCAAATTCATTCTCGGATGTTTTTATGCCGAGTTTCCATGAACATCCATTTAAAAACAGTTAACCATATTTGTTTTTCTTCCTCAATTATGCAGTTGACAACATGGCTATAGCAATATCTATGCTGGGAATTTGGCTTCTGGCTGCGGTACAACTCGGTTTCTTAGAGGCCTACCCCAATGGAGCTCCTAGCGGAGCATGCGATGCTATGATTCCAGTTGGTCACTCACCTTCAGTTGCTCAAACCAACGACTCCATATATGATATCAAATTGTCGTCTGCGACATACTGTCCGAACAAAGAAGTGACTGGTAAGCTTGTATTTGGGAGATGGATATCAATTTTGAGTGCGTTATTGTAGAATAATGCATGGTTCGAATTCAAATACGTAGGAGTATACATGTAATCACAAAGGCCGACGATAAACCGTGCAGTACTATGCTATAGTGCATGAAAAATTAACACACATGCATATACAGTAAAGAGAATGGATAAAAAATGTTCTATTTTTTGGTTATTTCGTGTTTTTTTACTTTATTCTTTTTTTTGTCATCTCAAGTAGTAACATTTTCTTCTTCTGGTATGGTGTGGTTTTTATTATACATATATAATTTAAGTTTACATTTTTATAAGTAAATAAAAGGACCAACGTTCATGAACAAAAATGTTGAAACATAAATCGGAAAAAAGAAACAAAAGTAAAAGAAGTAACAAATGGGAAAAAAATGGGCAGATGGATTTCATAAAAGTTTTCAAAAATCGAAATTATTCGCCAGTGAAATAAAACTTGATTATTTACAATTTTAACAGAGCAATTTGCTATTTATAGTAACAATAATGGGAAAGTCTAATGGAGAGATGTTTAGGGGATTCCTTTGTCAGGCAAGGACTGCAGTAGATACATACGAAACATCCGGTAACTTGACGTCAGGAAATTCCAATGTGGGAACGAAGAATGAATGTTCTGGGGTATGTATACGTGTAAACTATGGTTATTTTTTCTGTCATAAAAAGAGTTTAAAAGTGTAAAAATTCGGTTTTATACGTCTTAAAATATGACTTAATCTAAACTGGTACAAAAATATATTTTGTCCAAGATTTAAATAAATGATTATTGATATACATGTATCTAAAAATCTAGCTTCGATTTTCCTTTCACAATAAATATAATTATAATTATTTATAAAGAATAATTTCAAAATATATACAACATGTATATCAATATTCCTGTATTCATGCAAATCAGTATGCAATTTCTAGCATGTAAAATAACAATTTCAGAAAGCCTCTCTAACACATACTGACAGGAACGACAAAACGTCAGCAGTACTGAAATGGACACCAAATGAAGGCTTCACGAGCCCAGCATTCATTGTGTACGTCTTATAATGCTATTTTAATCTCTCCAAGACTCTGCGCCCGTGAAAATTCGACATGTCCGCCATTTTCAAGGTTTTATAATAAAAAAAAACCCATGGCGGGATTCGAACCAACAATATTGAGGGGCAAGTGATTTATCATTTGCGCATAGTTTTGCATTATTGCAGATAAAAACTTACCTTTGAAATATAGCAGTGGTAAACATACAGTATAAGCATGTACAATTTTCATGATCATTGCGAATGGTCAGTTATCATTGAGGATGGTCATTAATAATTGCGGATGGTCAATTATCATTGCAAATACATGTACTCAATTATCATTGTTGACGGTCAGTTTCATTTCGGATGGTCAGTTATCATTGCGGATGATCAGTTATAATTGTGGACGGTCAGTTATCATTGCCGACGGTCAGTTATCATTGCGGACGGTCTGTTATCATTGCGGATTATCAGTTATCATCGTTATCATTGTGGGCGGTCAGTTATTATTGCCGACCGTCAGTTATCATTGCCGACGGTCAGTTATTATTACGGATAGTCAGTTATCATCGCGGATTGCGAGTATCATTGCAAATGGTGAATGCATACAATCATCATTCAGAAACACATTATTATTATAAACATCATAATTATTGCAGATGTACAATTGTGAAGGAAAAGGCAACCTTTTGGGTGAAGCAAAACGTTAAACTTACATACGCAGGGGCAGACAACTGTACGACAAACGGTAAAGTGTTTTGCACATACATGTATTTACAAATTTTTGTCAATTTTAAGATCATATTGTTTAATATCTATAAGAAAATTAATGTTTCTCTACTTGTAATAGGGTTTGTAAGCGAACCGCATGGATCTTGATCAGACTGCGCGGATGCGCAGGCTGGTCTGGAACCATGCTGGTCGCAAACGCACTATGTTGATTTTGTCATGGCGTGGCTCATAATGCGCATTATCTCAATTGGGCATGCTAGAATAACGAAAACCAGATCTATAATATTAAAAAGAAAGTAATAGTTGTTTTGCTTTATTTATGTGTACAAATTGTTGCGCGGGTCAAGGACAACATAATATGCATATTCAAGTAAAAATAAAATACTGGTTTTGACTAGTTTTTGTGTTAATGTATGATGACCCCCTAAGGCCATCCCCTCTTGATTCGGTTATAACTTATTATTGACTAAGTGAGATATCTTGGTCATTCATAATTTAGAAAATTTTAAACACAACAAATTTCAATATAATTTTTGCTAATTGGAGGGAAATGCTTCATTTTGCCAGTGGTAATTTGGTGTAAAAACACCGTGTATATCCATTAACGCAGGAGAGAGCAAATTACGCAAACATCGTGCAAAAGTAACGCAGAATTGGGCAATCCTGTGGCCGAAACGAGCACCACGGAAAGTAAATGAATGAGTGTTTCATATATATCAATACAGTTTGAAAGCGTACTGAATATAAAATGGGTTTGTAAGAAAGACCAATCCATGCGATAACTTTAAATCTAGGTCAATATTCTATTTTTTTTGTCCCAGTTTAAATGCAATAACGTTTATACATGTATTATATAATGATCTTAGATACCCGGTGAACCCAACTACCGGTGTTATATTACACTAAATTAGCAAAATAATGCCAAATATGTTAATGATGCACCGAGGCAAGGCAGGCTATCTCATTAAAAGTAGCTGAATCTTATTTTACCTGCTTCTTTCTATAGTGTTATATGACACTAGTAATTTAACAAATGTTTAAAGTATTCCGAATATGAAGGGAATCAGATTTTAAATGCATACGAAACACTAGCAAGGACATTCAACTTTATGATTTCCGGATTTCATCTTCGTGAATTCACAATTTTAATTTCGTTAATTCACGTTTTCAACATACGGAATTCACGAGTTCACGACTTCAGCTTCGCGAATCACAATTTCAGCTTCACGAATTCACGATTTCAAGTTAATGAATTAACAATTTCAACTTCACGAATTCACGATTTCAACTTCATGAACTCACGGTTTCAAATTTACGAATTCACTATTTCAACTTCATGAATTCACGATTCCAGCTTAAAAAATTCACGAATTCAGCTTCGTCGTAAATTCACGATATCATCTTCACGTATTCACGATTTCAACTTTACGAATTCACGATTTCAAGTTCATGAATTCACGATATCCACTTCACGAATTCACGATTTAAACTTCATGAATTCACACTTTCAACTTCACGAATTCAAATTCGTGAGTTCACGATTTCAACTTCACGAATTCAAATTCGTGAGTTCACGATTTTAAGTTCATGAAATCATGTTTTCAATTTCAAAAATTCACGATTTCATTTTAGTGAATTCACGATTTCAGCTTCACGAATTTACGATTTCAACTTCACGAATTCACGATGAAGTTGAAACCGTGACTTCGTGAAAATGATATTGTGAATTTATGAAGATGAAATCGGGAATTCATGAAGTTGAATGTCCTCATCGGTCTTGAGTAATTATTGTATTTATTAATTTCGACGAAAACATAAACATCGCCTTCAAAACATTAGTCAGGTCGTCATTGTCGTGATTTATCTAAAAAAGTAAACATAATCCTGGAAGAAATTGTAATGCTAGTTAAAGTATAATGTCATAGCAGTCGTATGCGCTTATTCATTTCTTTTAATTTGATTTAAGGATAAGACATTTTGGTCCGTTTACTTGCCATATAACTCGTTACTGGATATACACTGTGAAAAAGGTCTTATAATTTTCTGTAATAATCTAAATATTTTACGTAGGCATCATCTCAACGCTTCTACTCAGACCGAAAAACACAGTTCATAACCAAAATCACTGTGTCCGGTTTGGCGAACCTATATAGTTTAATGTGTACCCTGTCTGGCGATTACAAACACTTGTTACTTTCGCTTGTGAGCCTAATATTTCAACTTGAACCTTTCTTGCGATAACAGGAAGTATAACAGGAAGTACATGTATATACTTGTTTATTAACAGTGAAAAAGTTCACCTTGCTTCTAAATTTACAACAGTGGGACAAAAAAAATCAAAGCGTCCGAAAAATACTGATTCACCCAGTTTGCTACGTTCAATTTTAATTTTTTAATTGTTCAATTATTTTAATCCATAATTTTTGTACACTTTACAGGAGCTACCAGGACAGTTTTTGTGTCGTTGATTCTAATGGTTGTGTGCTTCGTTCTCACACATTTCTAAGTAAGTATTTTTCCTTACCCGTAAGGCTGCTGCCGGCAACGAATATAACCCATGAGAACGACGCTAAATGTCGCAGTTGCCGCTAAATGTCGCGCTATTGCCGCGAAATGTCGCAACCGTCGTTAAATGTCTCAAAATATATTGCCGTTAAATATCACTATGATGACGTTAAATGTCGCACCATTTTTCCTTACAGCTAAATGTCAAAACACTACCGTTAAATGTCGCAATATCTAAATTCATCGAAAAATGCATCGAAAGAGCTTTTAGTTGACACTACGGCCAAACTTTCCTATGTATGTAAGTACGCCTTAGCTTTGTCACTCACTGTTTTGTTCATAGAAGTAGGTTTATTCTTCCTATTTATATTGCAACATGAAACGGCATTGATTTCATGGACTTCGTTTGTTTTGAAATAACGCTAACTGTGTGTAATGAAAACAGTTTCTTCGCTTTGTGACTTTTCCATCTTGTGAAATTTAACAAATTAAAGTTTAAAGGCTTAAGCTAGTTACATAGATATACAAAATGAAAACTGTACAATAGAATTTGTTGAAACTTCGAATGAGCTTAGATCAAAAGTAATTGTGTAAATATGACACTGCTGGAACCGAAATGAATTTACCAGTATAGAGATACATGAAAGCCAGGTTGTACATCCGTGCAGACTGAAGCGGCTCTGTACTTATGGCTGACTAACTTAAGAAAGTCTTTTTTTTTTGATACTCCAAGATTGATAGTCAGTACTTAAAAAATGGACTTGAAAAGTGAATTTTGCAAATTCAGCAGGTTTAGATTTGACTTACAAGAATGTAATCTATTTTTTTTTCTTGCATCCCATCACATTACCATTTCTATTACAAGTAGAAAAAGTCGAATATAGAAGGTAAATGCGTATATTGGCAAAAATGCAAAAACCGAAAACTTAAACTTTTCCAAGAAATTAAATATGATCTTTCGAAATTTTTTATAGCAAACTTAAAAAGATAAAAAAAAAATTGATACCTGACTGGTTTGAGTTACTAATGTTGTATATAAACAAATTTTATCTGTGAAAATTAGCCTCCTTGTTGATAATAAAATGTTTAAGAACAAACAATTCGTAATTCATCATATAAATGAGATATTAAATCATGTAGAACTAGATAAACATTTTTTATTCAATAAATATTTTGTAGGGAAACGAAATGATACGTTTCTATGTTTTTTTATATCAATGTTTTAAATATTTCTGGAAAAAAGTGCTAATTATTGACCAATCCGTTTTAATAAAACATTTTTCATCTTAAATGGCAGATGGATCGGGACATTCCTTTAGTGTCCAAAGTTACTTAATATATATAAATATGTACTGATAAGGGGAGATCACTTCGTAGGAGATTGGGGAAAATCGTGTGACATTTAACGACATCAAACGGAAGAAGATTTTGCGGCATTTAACGGCAATGGTGCGACATTTAGCGACAAGTGAGACATTTAGCGGCAAGTGCGACATATAACGACACCACAAACAGTGCAGACGAAGATCAGCCAACACATTCGTGCTGTTTGATCATGATCTGCACTGTTCGCCATTCACTCGCTGCTCATTTTAAAATTTCTCCTAAAAAGACATTAGCATAGTGACTCACTGTGGATACTATTTGCATGTACAAATGTAGTTGATCATGCAACACTTCTACAGATTTCTCACAGAACATTTCCAGAAGAGGCACATTAGAAATGTCATAATATCATGTGTTTATTGAATTAATGAAAAAAATATTTTTTTTTTACAAAACAACAATTTTTCTTCAAATTTATATGTTGGGCCATGTTTAAACATGGAAAAACGCGATTTTTGGTAATTTCAGGTATTTTCATCATTTTTTGATTATGAAAACAATATTTTTTTTACAAAACAACAATTTTTCTTCAAATTTATATGTTAGGCCATATTTAAACATGGAGAAACGCGATTTCGGGTAATTTCAGGTATTTTCATCATTTTTTGTTAACCCTTTACCTCATATTTACGCGAAACAACGCATTTTCGACCCCCCCCCCCCCTCAAATAGTGAAAAATGTCCTGTTTGGGCCCCAACACATGTTTTCGTTTGAGAAATGTTGGTAAAAAAAGTGACCACTTTTTCGGCGCGGCCCCCAACGAGAAGATACATCAGGGGGTTGCTAGAAGGGGGATGTGCCCCTTCTGTTCGGGAGTTTAAACGGGGACGGAGTCCCCCTCATCGCCAAGAAAACTTTGGACTTGTGAGAGGCTAAAAATAACCCAAGATCGATCAAAATGTAACGTGTAACCAACGCTGAAAAGCATCTGACTCTATTTCAATCCATTGAGAAGTTGCAGCACTTTGAAATAAATTTTGTTGGAAAAAATCAATGCAAAATAATGATTTTTGGCAATTTTGAGATGCCATTTCATTTGAGTTGCCATGGTAACAGGAAATTTAAGCCTGAGTATGTTGTTACAAATGCAATTGTCCAGATAACATTTGTGCCAAGTTTGATTAGTATTGAAGCAGTTTTTATAGTTTTACAACAATTTGAACTAGTAACGGGATACTTTTCACTGAAAACTGCCATTTTTCACAAAATGCTCATGAAGTAATGGGTTAAATAATGTATTTTAAAGGATACTTGTAACCATTTTGTCATAGCAATGTATTTGAAAAGGATAGTCTTCGCGAACGCACAGTTTATATTTATTAGAACTTCTGCTGCACGAATGTTTTTCATAAATTCAAATGAAGTTTTAGCGTGTATAAACATATTAGCGTGTATATCTATTATTTAATAAATATACATGTATAACTATTGAAACAAAAAAATTGAATCGTGTGTGACTCAGAAATCATCATTCAATTGATTTTGTTTTATTTCTTTACAGACTGGCAGTATCTTCAGATGATGAATATGGTAAAAAAGAAAAAAGAACAAAAAAAAAAACCACCCACGCACACACATACACAAACACACGCACGCACGCACTCTTATTATAACCCTTACCCCTAAACTTACCCTAATGCGTTCCTTTACCTAAACTTAACCTTATTTCTATACAGCATTTTTTTTAGGCTCCTAAACATAATATAACTCTAAGAGGGAAGACTAAGTTCTAAGGTAGCACTTTTTCTACCTCACAATGTAGGTTAAACCTCACTTTGCATTAGTTGACACACTGACCTTGCCATGTGAGGTTAACAGGAGCACACACACATACACACACACACACATGCACGCACGCACGCATTTCTTTTAAACTCAGTAATAACGCTGTCATCAATAATTATATTTTGCATTTTATTTGTGTATTTGTAAAAAAAATCAGACAAAGGAAATTGCATATTTTAATTATACTAATAGATCTACTTCATTAACCTCAATTTTCCTGTCCTGCCGATTTATTGTGTTGACTTGCCTTGATTTGAACTGGACTAGTCCATTGTATTTTCACGGGGGTTTAAAGATCCAAATAATATTTTGAAACAGACGACACTTTAATGAGACTGAGACTTTCAGTTTAAGTCAAAAGGAAATGAACAATAAAAATGCGACAGCGAATAAATAACTCTGTTTTAATGTTATTTTTATTGCTATATTCACAAATAAAGCTTTAAAATACACCTGGTGTTATTACATTTTTGACATGCACCATTACATTAAGTGATAGAAACAACCACGAGATATCATAAACGCGTGCGGCAGTTGTTAAATCAATGCCCTGCATGCCATTCCACAGTTGTTTATATTTAAATAAGGTTTTGTTAAAACGCTGATAATGCAAGAACTATTTTGTTCATATAATGCCATTTTCCCTTTGTTTTTTATTATTGTTAAAGAAGCATGCTTGCAGATGTATGCCAATTTTCATAAAAAAAAATAAAATGTATTTAAAATCAAAATTTTATGAATGGAACAAAGAAAGTTATTTACACTCTTCAACCCATGTAAATTAACAAAAGGAGGTGAAAATATACCCCCACAAAAAGCAATTATTGCGCTAGAAACATAATAGAAATATGGCGATATATACTGCAAAATCAGTTATTAATCGCGTATGGCAAGTAAACCATTTTGTTTTGAATCTTGAAGAATATTTTTACTTTTCTTAAAATGATTCATATTTCTCAAGTTTGATTTTCTTGAAATATTTTGACTCATCTGGAGGCAGTTTTTGGCAGAAAAAGCGTGCCATTGATTCACGAGGGAGGAACTCTTACACGAGGGATGGAGTTCTTATGATAACTTGTCAGGAGTTCTTGTGATTACTGTCACGGAGTTCGTCGGAAAACTTTTGTATATACTACAGAAACACTCGTAAAAATGGTCATTTTACTATTCATCATTTTACAGATTTTTCTCGTCACTATTACATTCAATTAATGTAAGCTTGTGTTTGAGGCCCAAAAGAAAATCAAAAGTTCAACGGACGCAGCCCAAGTATTATATCAAGGTATATAAGGTATATAATAACAGAAAGAGGCGTCCGTGGCCAAGTGGTTTAGGTCGTTGACTGCAAACCACTTGCCCATCATCGCTATGGGTTCGAATCCCGACAGAGGTTTTCATGTGAGGAAGCTATGCGGCCCAACAGTAAAGTTGGAAAGTCACCATACGACATAATCTGTGTTGGTGCGATGTTTAACCAACCGACCAACCAACCAACCAACCAACCGACCCATACCAATTACAACATCAACAAAAATACATAAGAAATAAATAGAAAATAAAATAAAATAAATAGAAAATATTAAAATAGACCCGCAGTAGGACACCGACTGTGGCATTCAAGGTAATGAACATTTACAACAAAAAGGTGTTTTTTAAGATGAGAAGACACAAATGACACGAACATGTACTTGCCAGAAAACGAATTTGATGGGGTATGAATTCAACGATCTAACAAAATGAAATGAAGTGGTTTTACTGCAATGAAGATGCATTTAGTACAAGGTGGAGGAAATCTAATCATATAAATTGTCAACATGTAGATACAGTACGTATATAACTTGTATACAGCAATTAATTTTAAGACTTTTCATTGAAATTGTAACCAATATTTTATCATTTCGGTAATATCCGGTCTTATTACAACTTTATCAAAATCGCAAAACAAGATTTTATTGTTGATATTCAACATCGCATATTGCAACCAAAACTTCATATTTAAGTAGCATTAAAGTTTTTCAATAACGTTTTTTCTTAAAAAAGAAATATGAATGAGACACCTTAAAAACTAATGACCTATATAAGATGGCATGTCATTTTAATCGCCCAACAATTATATTAAACATGTCATAAGTTGACTAAAACAAAATGTTTTCGATTGTTAATTTCATATAAACCAAACGTTTTTAATCACCATTTTATCACGAAATGAATTATTAAAATGACGCATTTAAAAAAAGAAAAGAGACATTGGGAACAATTAAAATAAGCTCGTTGGAGAATATTTGAATTACTCTCGTGTCCGTGTCTTGGAACTAACCAGGAATATTGTCATATAAGAAATCATGGTCGTGACCCCCCTGCACCGCCTCATAAACAAGTTTTGAATAAAATTGACTGAAAGTAGCTTTTTATGGTACGTTAAACGTTTAAAAAGATAAAAAGAATAAATAAAGATAAAGAACCCAACAAAAAACAGAACAAAACAACGCACACACACACGCAAGCACGCGCGCACACGTTATTTTTTAATTTTTCAAAAATTTGCAAATAATCCTTATAAAAATTTCTTTTGGAAATAAATATATTTACGATTTTTTAACTCTATAAATTCCATCAATTATCAAAAGTATTTGGAACTGTATCCACGTGGCGCTTTAAACACATGTTTAGATTAATATATACGAATTCAATATGTAATCTCTTGCGTTGAAAGAATGAGACATGTACATTGCTTCAAAGATTTCAATACCTATAAAACAATAATGCCTTCTCATACAAATATTATATTGAAATGAAATAGATAAGCAGAGGAAAGATCCCAAATTTATAAAAGAAATACAACACTTAGCATTTTCATAACAAATATAACATGAACAAAACATTTTTTATTTACGTTTCAAATAATGGTTTGAGCCCAAAGTCGTGCACATCACTTTTCGGTATTCCTGATATTACATTAAAGCACTGAAAAAGCATTTTATGTAAGGTGAAAAGATTCCCATAACACATCGAAATGGATAACTTCGATATCACATTGGATGTAATGAACTACGAAATATTGCTTTTATGTTTTTTTCCTTTATTTCTTTAAATAACAAAACAATGAAAAACAAACAAGTAAAATTAAATACAACGGTAAACATTCTACAAAGAAAACAACAACATCCAATCACATATCACATATTACAATGCTTATATATATTTGTAAACATCATGCCGTCTGAACCCTCTGTGGAACCGGCTATAGTAGAATTCAGTAGTTAAAGATTGTCTCTATCAAATAGACAGGCATGTGTTTACACAAAACGTGAAAAGAGAGTAACTGCACATCAGATTAAATATTAAATCAGTTTAACTTTACTTATCCTGATGTAACGGGTAAACCAGTGCTTATTCTTACAATCAAAATAATATGATATATCTGTAAAATGTATGTTTATTTATACGAACTGGAAAAAAAAACATAGTTACCATTATAAATGGGAAACTTATGTCATAGAGACTCTCTCACGCTCTCGGTAGGTACACGTTGTTGAGGAGCAAAGGACATCGGCAGATCATAAAAGATCTACTACTAAGTGTAAAATGGCAAGTTCTCATCCGGTCCTACAGTTAGGAGTAACATATAAGGCGGCACGACTCAGGTCGTTTTGAGTTAGCTGCCGATGTCCTCCGTCTAAAGCCGAGGAAAGAAGGAAGTGACGGCGGGAATTATGTTAGTAGGGTGCGTAAGCCTCGGCTTGAACGGAGGTGCCCTTTGCTGGCAACAATAGCCCTTTTCAGGGCTACCTCATTTTACCACTATTATCTCTGGTTACTTTATGTTTAGTTGCTCATCAACCGCTTAACAGCAGTAACCTACTTCCGGCACAAAATTCATATCTTTGGCTAATACTCTGTGCAAATTGCACAAATTATCACCACATGTGCTTCAAAATTAGCTGTACTCGATAGCAAAATCATTTTTTGTGCCTTAAGGACACTATATAATTCATATTATATAGTCTACAGATGCAGACAAAGATTTTTGGATTTCGTAGATTTTGTTTTAAAAATTGTAACACTTAAAACATCAGTCATATTGACAAGTAAAACATGAAAAAACTACAACACTCAAAGGCCTTTGCTAACTCAGCTATTTTCGTTGTAAAATAAACTTTCAAAGTCTTCATCCAACTGGCGATGGGGTTCAGGCATGCATAACGGATGTTCTAAAAATTAGAGGACGTTTGTGAGGTTGTGTTTTTGTCGTCGTTATTCTTAAACAATGAAACATCCTAAAGCGTTAGTAACGTGAATTATTTTGCAAGTTATATAATTTACATTTGTAGCTTGTTGGTTTACATATGGCTTTTTTAGTCCTAGAATGCTTATAAAATACAACCTAACGATGACCAGCTCGTAAAAAATTGGTAACTTTTGGCACTTTCCGTGTTTTATAAATATCATAATTTTCTACGTGACAATGAAAAAAAAAGTTAGCGAAACGCTCAATGAATGCAAAGTACGAATGGTAATTGACGAAGTATTCCGAATTAAGATATGTGTTTCTTAAGCGAAAACGGAAATTCCGAATTTAGATAAGTGTTTCTTAACCGAAAACGGAAATTGACGAAGAATTCCGAATTAAGATAAGTGTCTCTTTACCGAAAACGGAAATTGACGTAGCTTTCCGAATTTGGATAGTCTCTAAATCGAAAACGGAAATTGACGAAGTTTTCCGACTTTAGTTAAGTGTCTTTTACCGGACAGGATTTTACTCAGCAAGGAAGGTGTCGTATGTCACAATTTGTGATGCATAATTTATTGTTAAAAACAATACCACTGTCAGAGTTTGTGTCTTTATCTCTTGTTATGCAAGTACTCGATTTTGTTCTGACTATTGACTTACTTTTATACGGTTGAAATCCAACACTTCCACATCATCCGATTTAACCAGTCATTTTCCCATAGGTTTGTAGTTTTTCATCACGAAAACATTTGGGAAAAATTACGCTCGTGTGAGTACAATTTTATCTTTTCATTTATATTTGTGTGTTTTATTCAATTTAATTTATTAAAAAATAAAATTTTTGCATCAATGTTCGAGTGAACAAACAACAGGCGATTTTTAGATTAATGAAATTCAAAGCACACAATTTCAGATACTATGGTTGTCATGTCAGAATGTATTTTTTAGTCAATGAAATTCTTTTATTTTCCAATTGTTTTCTTAAAATTTTATAGTTATGTTTTTTTTAGTTCAATGATATTTATTTGTATAAATATATTATACATGTAAAATATGAATAATTTAAAAACAAATGTACACATAAGTATAGTGCAAATGGTTTGAGCTCAGTAATTACGGCATAGGCAACAGCCCTTTACATAAAGTCTAACTTTTATCATTTTTAAGGTTATGTTTGCGTATCCTTGTCCCTTTATTTCCAATATCGGCTCTTTCCGATGTATTCTCTCGTATTTCTATTATTTTTTTCTGACTCAATTGTTAATCGTAACAGTTATCGGCACGCTTCTCACTTCTTCCCCCCTCTCCTATTTTGTGCCCTCTCGCTTTTTTTTGGTCCGGTGACCTACTGGGGTGCCTTGCCTCGTAGATTCTTGCTCTTATTTTTTTGCGGTTTTACATGCTAAATTTCTGTATTGTTTACTATAATAAATAAATAAATAAATAAATTAATTAAAGTGAAAAGAAAGTTTTATCAAGAGGTTTTTGAGATTGCATAGTACTGGAAACTCATTTTTACATAAGTGACCTACTAGTTTTATGATTCATGACTTATGTAAAATTCATATGCTCTGGTGAATTCAAATTGGCTTACTAACCGTGATCCCGATGGATAAACTTAAAAAAGTTAACCCACCTCCGAAATAACTCATAGTCATATGCTCTGGTGGATTCAAATTGGCTTGCTAACCGTGACATAAAAACCCCACCTCTAATATAATACATAAGCTATGGTGACTAACCGTGACCCTATTCGAATGGGTAAACTACAGACTCCAACAAAAATATAATTCATATAACATTTTTATTATGCTATTTTGTTTCATTTTTTTTCGTGTGTTTATTGTTTACTTCTTACTTTGCAAATACTAAGGCTGGGAATGGGTGGTAGAACATACACTGTTCTTTAATGGAATTGTTGTCAACTTCAATTTCTAACAAAGTTTTAGCATCATGTTCGGGTCTGCTAATCTAATAATAAAGGTAGTTTTCTTTCTACTCCCCTTTACTAGTACGTATATTTCAGTGTAAATGCACTTAAACAGGTTCTTTCGGAGGGTATTTCGGATCGAAGTATGCAGTTGCCGGTACTTTCAAACGTATTTGCAGATGACAGCCGGGACTTCCGGTTCAATTAGACAATCAAAGTTTGCAGTTGCCGGTTCTTCTTAACCAATTGCAAATTTTCGGCCCTTTCCGTCAGTTTTTGGATAAGGATAAGTTATTAGCGTGCTCGAAAAGCTGGCCCGCTTTGAGGCTTTGCCTTTTTTATTTTATGAATAATAGCCGAGGATGTTCTGATTGGCTTCTTAACGTAGTTTGCAGTCGAAAGTGCTTCCGGTTAAATTAGATATTCGTATTTCCAGCGAGCAAAATCAAATTTAACGATGCAAAATCAAATTGCTGTCGCATGACTTTTGATATTTAAATAATTCACATTTTCATAAGGCTAAAATATTCTATATTTATTCTATATACACGTGTGTGTACTTTGACAATTTCATAAAACATCCGGATCGGAGTGGTCATTTCCTAAACAGTATCCGCGTGATTGACGTCATATCGATATCTTATAAAGATACAATCGGAACGTCCTCGGCTATGAAGACTGACGGAAAGAGCCGAAAAGATGCGATTGATAAAGATAGTTTTCAAACACTGATCGTATTTACTCGGTTATTTCCGTTGCAGAAAATTTATCAAACGTAAAATTGCGAATGTGTTCGTAAACCGTCGGATATCTGAAAAGATGCCGTTCATTATTTTAAAATTTGACTTTACACCAACGCATCAATGGAATAAATTCAAACAATGTCGATTTCCAATATCACGTGATCGGGAACGTGAATGTTTACGAGAAACAAAATCAGAAACATGAGTATTTTGGACATAAATATTTTAGTTTTTTACTTTGACAGTAACCTGTATGAAAGCGGGTATTTCTTTGTCTTTCTTTTTTAAAAATTGCAACAAAGTGTCTATTGCCTCTGCTGAAACCGGATCTATCTCTTTTGCTTTGAAATTATTATCTAAATAAAAACCTCACGAATTTTGTCAACTGCAAAGAAAAACACTCCTCTAAAATATTTCTGTTAATGTGGATAAACGACAGGCTGCGTGTTTTATGCAAAACTTTTGTATTAGTCACTAAGTGTTGCTATTTGTTCAGTGTACATAAATGGAGAAAAACTTGTTCGAAAGGCCACCTTTCTATACAGATCACTTATGGAAAATATGCCATATAAATTTTGTATTTAGATCCCTTTGGTTAAAGTTATTTGCAAAGTTACCATTATCAGATATCACCTTTCACGAAAGGCCACTCTTTCATTTCTTATAAAATAGGGTACACAAATGGTGATTTAAAGAAAGTTTGACTGCAAACCATTTATTTCACCTACTTTAAATTTACTCTAAAAACCTATTTTACTTCACATTTTTCAAGTTATGTTCACATTAAAGTCACTTTCCGCGTTTAACAGTAAATAAAATTGTTCTGATCAGGATTTATGCTGTTCGCTATCAGTTTCTCTACTTGTAATAGGGTTTGCAAGCGAACAGCATGGATCCTGATCAGACTGCTGGTCTGGATCAATGCTGGTCGCAAACCCATTATGTTGGTTTTGTCGTGACGCGGCTCATTTGTTTTTCTTCCTCAATTATTCAGTAATGTTGACAACATGGCTATAGCAATGTCTATGCTGGGAATTTGGCTTCTGACTGCGGTACAACTTTGTTTCGTAGAAGCCTACCCCACGGGAGCTCCGAGCGGTGCATGTGAGGCTATGATCCCTGGTCACACACCTTCAGTTCCTCAAACCGGCGACTCCCTATATGATATCAAACTGTCGTCTGTGACATACTGTCCCAAAACGGAAGTGACTGGTATGCTTGTTTTATCTTATTTAAAACTGTAGTAACCTTTTTTCTACTGGTATGGTGTTTTTTGTATTATATTATATCATTTAAAAAGGATTATTTTATTTACATTTTCATTATGTAAATTAAAGGACCAACGTCAGCTTTGTAAGTCCATCAACACTATGTTGAAATATAAATCGGAGAAAAAAAACAAAAGAAGGAAAAAAAGAAACAAACAGTAAAAAAATGATCAGATATTATGTAAATTAAAGGACCAACGTCAGCTTTGTTAGTCCATCAACACTATGTTGAAACATAAATCGGAGAAAAAAAAAAACAAAAGAAGGAAAAAAAGAAACAAACAGTAAAAAAATGATCAGATATTATGTAAATTAAAGGACCAACGTCAGCTTTGTTAGTCCATCAACACTATGTTGAAACATAAATCGGAGAAAAAAAAAACAAAAACAAAAGAAGAAAAAAAGAAACAAACAGTAAAAAATGATCAGATGGGTTTTTATAAAAATTTTCAAAAATCGAAATTATTCGCCGATGAAATAAAACTTGATTATTTACAATTTTAACAGTTTAATTTGCTATTTATAGTAACAATAATGGGAAAGTCTAATAATGGAGAGAAGTTTAGGGGATTCCTTTGTCAAGCAAGGACTGCAGTAAATACATACGAAACATCCGGTAGTTTGACGTCCACGGGAACGAAGAATGATTGTTCAGGGGTATGTATGTGTAAACTATGGTTATTTTTTCTGTCATAAAAAAATTTAAAACAGTGTAAAAAAATAAGGTTTTATACGTCTTTTAAAATATGACTTAATCTAAACTGGTACAAAGATATATTTTGGCCAAGATTTAAGTAAATGATAATTGATATACATGTATCTAAGGATCAAGCTCCGAGTTTCCTTTCACAATATATTAATTATAATTTATTTTATAAAGAATAATTACAAAATAGACAGCAATATTCCTTTTTTTATGCAAATGAAACATGCAATTTCTAGCATGTATATTAAAATTTCAGAAAGCCTCCCTATCACATGCGGACAGGACCGACAAAACGTCAGCAGTATTGAAATGGACGCCAAATGAAGGCTTTACAAGCTCAGCGTTCATTGTGTACGTCTTATAATGCTATTTTAATCTCTCCAAGACTCATGTCCGCCATTTTCAAGGTTTTATAACAATAAAAACAAAGTTCATGGCGGGATTCGAACCAACAATACTGAAGAGCAATTGATTTATCATTTGCGCACAGTTTTGCATTATTGCAGATAAAAACTTACCTTTTAAATATATAGAGGATATTTGTTTAGTTCAGTGTAAGATCGGAATATATTTCACCGAGTGAGCACCAAAAGGTATATTTCACGAGTGGCGCAGCCACGAGTGAAATGTGAACTTTTGGTGTTCACAAGGTGAAATGTATTTCGATCTTACACTAAACTAAACAAATTTTCTTTTTATTACATGCAAAGAAACGTTTTAAAAAGACATTAAACCTAATACTGAATGAAAAGCGCGCCAAAAAATAATACAACGTGACGTCATTTACGACGTCACGTCTTTAAGTTGGTACTCAGTACTGTGCACGCTGGTATTTCACTGAAACAACGTAAGGGGCTTAAATTCAAAACAGTGAAATTATCAAAGTGGTAATTTCACTGTTTCAAACAGTGAAATTACCAGTTTTATATCACTGATATATTTCTATAAACTACCGAAAAGCATGTAATAAACGTTTATCATTGCAGTGGTAAACATACAGTATCAGCATGTAACGTTACAATTTTAATGACCATTGCGGATGGTCAGTTATCACTGCGGATGGTCAGTAACAATTGTGAATTGTCAGTTATCATTGAAAATACATGTACTCAATTATCATTGCGGAAGGTCAGTTATCATTTCGGACGGTCAGTTATCATTGCGGACGGTCATTTATCATTGCAGACGGTCTGTTATCATTGCCGATTATCAGTTTTTATCGTTATCATTATGGGCGGTCAGTTATAATTGCCGACGGTCAGTTATCATTGCGTATTGTCAGTTATCTTTGCGAATGGTGAATACACAATCATTATCAAATTTTTAATGTCAAACGCACAATCAACATTGCAAATGGTAAATTATCATTGCGGATGCTGAATCATTACAAGCATATGTACACTCATTATTTTTAATGCACAATTAGCATAACAGATGTACAATTGTCATTATTTTTGCAGATGTACAATTGTCATAATTATTGCAGTTGTACAATTATCATAATTATTGCAGATGTACAATTGTGAAGGAAAAGACAACCTTTTGGGTGAAGCAAAACGTTGAACTTACATACGCAGGGGCAGCTAACTGTACCGGTAAAGTTTTTCGCACATATATGTATTTACTTCAGTTTTTAGATCGTATTTTTTAAGATCTATAAGAAAATTGATTTATGGAGCGGTATGGTGACAAACATCTTTGATTGCAATGGTAATATTTATTTATTGGTTTGTTAGTCTGTTTTTGTTTGTTTGTTTTCTTTCTTTCTTTCTTTCAGGAAATATAATCACTTTTATTTTTTAGTCATCAATCCTTCAGCTCCTTAGCAAAATAAAAAAGGGCTGTTTAAAGTTTGATTTTTTTAATCATGTTAAGATTTAATTGTTTCAATTTTTAAAAAAAATCACTCAAGTTTGTCTCCGACCAATTATAAGTTTTTTCTTTTTAAATTTAAATAGACAATATGGGCGTCTGTAACAAGGACGAAGACTGTTCAGGAATGGAAGGAAAGCAATGCGTGGACGGCAAATGCACGAGCGGTAAGTTAATTCTATTTATAGTTACAAATGACGAAGGTGTTTCCGTTGCGATGCTGTCTGGGATTCCCGGAAATATTGTCAAATACGAACTGTTGTAATTACGAGTGCGAAAGCCTAAATAGCCAAGCTTCTGAGCATAGATTGTGATTGAGCTTTAGGACGAGGAAGAAAATATAATACCATTGTCTCGATTGACCATTCTAGAATAACGAAAACCAGATCTATTATTTAAAAAAAGAAAATAATAGTTGTTTCGCTTTGCTTTATTTGTGTGTACAAAATCTTGCGCTGGTCAAGGACTATTCACTAATGTAGGAACAGCAGAATTTATGCGACAGAATATACATATTCGAGTAAAATATTTACAGATTATCAGTAGCTTTTTTTATCAATTTTATCTGTAGTTTTTTTGTCAATTTGTAATGACCCCTAACACCCCCCCTCTTGATTCGATTATCACTAAGTGAGATATCTTGGTCATTTATATTTCAGAAAATTTTAAACGCAACAAATTTCAATATAATTTTTGCTAATTGGATATTAATGTGGTAATTTGGTGTAAAAACATCGTGTATATCCATTAACTCAGGAGAGAGCAAATAACGCAAAGACCGTGCAAAAGTAACGCATAATTGGGCATTTCTGTGGCCGAAACGAGCACCACGGAAAGTAAATGAATGAGTGTTTCATATATTTTTCAAATAAAAATGTAATTACATGTATTATAATATATATATAATTGCAACCGAAATCAGCAAAGAATAACTATATTCAGTGCTTTCCCCTATTTTATGCCCTTTCCCTTTTGTTCAAATGTAAAAAAAAAAACTAGATAAAAAAGAACCAATACCAGCTTTTAAATCTATATAACTCCTATATGAATCAATGAAAAAAACCCAGCACTGATATATATTAATACAGTTTGAAAGCGTACTGAATATAAAATGGGTTTGTAAGAAGGCCAAACCATGCGATAACTTTAAATGGGTCATATTCGAGTATTGTATTTTATGTCCCAGTTTAAATGCAATAACGTATATATTTCACAATAATCTTTGATACCCGGTGAACCCAACTACCGGTGTAATATTACACTTAATTAGCAAAATAATGCCAAATATGTAAATGGCGCACTGAGGCAAGGCATGTATCTAAAGTAAAAATAGCTGAATCTTATTTAACCTGCTTCTTTCTGGTGTTATGTGACACTAGTAATTTAACAAATGTTTAAAGTATTCCGAATATGAAGGGAATCAAGATTCAAATGCGTATGAAACACTAGCAGGGACATTTCAACTTAACGAATTCACGATTTCAACTTCATGAATTCACGATTTCAGCTTCACAAAGTCAATTTGTGAATTCACGGTTTCAACTTCACAAATTCACTATTTCAAGTTCATGAATTAACGATTCCAACTTTAAAAATTCACGATTTCAACTTCACGGATTAAACTTCGTGATTTCACGATTTCATTTTCACAAAACTTTAGCCAGGTCGTCATTGTCGTGATTGATCTAAAAAAGTAAACATATTCTTGGAAAGAATTGTTATGCTTATTCAAGAATAATGTCATAGCAGTCGTATGCACCCATTCATTTCTTTTAATTTGATTAAGTGATAAAAATATTTGGTCCGTTTACTTGCCATATAACTCGTTTTGACCATTGCGTCGCACCGATCCGGCTTAATTTTAGCGTTATTTGCCCGTTCCTGCGTTATTTGCCAATCCCTGCGTTACTGGATATACACGGTGAAAAAGGTCCTATAATTTTCTGTAATAATCTAAATATTTTACCAATGCATCATTTCAACTCCTCTTCTCAGACCGAATAACACAGATTATAAACAAAATCACTGTGCCCTGTCTTACAAATCTATAAAGTTCAATGTGTACCTTTATGATTACAAACACGTGTTTCTTCCACTTGTGAGCCTAATATTTCAACTTGCAACCCAAAAGTGTCCGAAAAATACTTATTCACCCAGTTTGCTACACTTCTTTAATTGTTCAATGATTTTAATACAGAATCTTTTTCACTTTTTTTCAGGAGCTATGAGGACAGTTCTTGTGTCGTTGGTTCTGATGGTTGTGTGCTTCGTTCTCACACATTTCTAAGTAAGTTAAGTATTTTTTCTTAACCGTTAGGCTGCTGCCGGCAACGAATATTACCCATGAGAACATGTCGTACTTGCCGCTAAATTTTTCCTTACCGCACAATGTCATAACACTAACGTTAAATATCGCAATATCTAAATCCACCGAAAAATGCATCGAAAATAGAGGATATTAAATGAATGTTAGTTCAATACTGAATTTATTGCACGAGTTGCATAAAATTATGTTATGCGAGCCTCTGGCGTCACAAACAGTGCTGACAAAGATCAGCCGACACATTCGTGCTGCTTGATCATGATCTGCATGGTTCGCCATTCACTCGCTGCTCATTTTAGAATTTCTCCTAAAATGATGAATGGTTTCGTCCAGATTCTTTTGTTTGTTTGTTTCGTTTTACGCCTTTCCCAGTCATATAGGCGGGTAGTTTCCTAACCATCGTTCCTGGAGATTTACACCAGTACTAGACTACCTTCCTCCGAGCTAAACTACCAAAACATCTCCCGGGGATCGAACCCACTCCAGAGAGGTAATTGGATTAGAAGTCATCGACTCTAACCCCTCGACCACGGAGGCGGTTTTGTCTAGATTGAAAGATGGACAAGTCCATAATTATTAAACATTAGCATAGTGACTCACTGAGGGTTTAACTGCTTCGCTCTAAGAGCTTATCTATGTTTTATGAGTCAGAAAAAGCGTATAGTTATCATATTTACATGTGATTTTTATTAGATATATGATTATTGAAACAAACATTTGAATCATGTTTGACTCAGACATCATCATTCAACTGATTTTTTTTATTTCTTTACAGACTGGCAGTATCTTCAGATGATGAATATGGTACTTACGCAAGGAAAGAAAGAAAGAAAAAACAAAAACACACACACACACACCAAAACACACACACACACACACACACACACACACACACACACACACACACACACACACACGCGCGCTCACGCACGCACTCTTATTATAACCCTTACCCCTAAACTTACCCCAATGCGTTCCTTTACCTAAACTTAACCTTATTTCTACACAGCCTTAGGCACCTAAACATAATAATTTTATAACTCTAGTAGGGAAGGCTAAGTTTCAAGGTAGCACTTTTTTACCTTACAATGTAGTTGCATTAATTAAGTTGACACACTGACTTTGCCAGGTTAGGTAAACAGGAACACACACACACACACGCACGCACGCATGCAATCTTTAAACTCAGTAATAACACTGTCATCACTTATTATATTTTGTATTTTATTTGTGTATTTGTAAAAAAATCAGAAAATGGAAATTGCATATTATAATTATACTTATACTTCATTTGCCTCAATTTTCCTGTTCTGCCGATTTATTGTGTTGACTTGCCTTGATTTGAACTAAACCACTCCATTGTAATTTCACAGGGGTTTCAAATTCCAAATTATATTTTGAAACAGACGACACTTAATGAGACTGAGATTTACAGATCAATTCAAAAGGAAATGAACAATAAAAATGCGACAGCGAATAAATTACTCTGTTTTATTGTCAGTTTTATTGCTAGATTCATAAATAAAGCTTTAAAATACACCTGGTGTTATTACATCTTTTGACATGCACCATTACATTAAGTGATAGAAACAACCACGAGAAATCATAAACGCGTGCGAAAGTTGTTAAATCAATGCCCTACGTGCCATTCCAGTTGTTTATACTTTGATAAGGTCTTGTAAAAACGCTGATAATGCAAGAACTATTTTGTTCATATAATGCCATTTTCCCTACTTGTTAGTTATCATCGTTAAAGAAGCATGCTTGCAGATGTATGCCAATTTTCATAAAAATATTAAGATGTATATAAAATCAAAATATTATGAATGGAACAAAGAAAGTAATTTACACTCTTCAATCCATGTAAATTAACAAAAGGTGGTGAAAATTTACCCCCACAAAAAGCAATTATTGCGCTAGTCACACAATAGAAATATGGCGATATAAACTGCAAAATCAGTCATTACTCGCGTATGGCAAGTAAACCATTTTTTTTTTGAATCTTGAAGAATCTTTTTACTTTTCTTAAGTGTTTTCATTTTTCTCATGTTTGATTTCCTTGGAATACTTTGGCTCATCTGGAGGCAGTTTTTGGCAGAAAAAGCGTGCAACGAGGGATGGAGTTCTTATGATAACTTGTCAGGAGTTCTTGTGATAACTGTCACGGAGTTCATCGGAAAACTTTTCTATATTCTACAGAAACAATCGTCAAAAATGGTAATTTTCATCTTTAAAAGTGAGTTTTATGTGCTAAATTAAAATTTAATGATTAAGCTAAGCTTGTAATGTGTCAAATACTAATTTATATTTAATTACATTGCCTCTAAAAGCCCTGGTTAACAAATTTATGCCCGATTTTTCAAATGTCCTGGAGTTCTTGTTATAACTCTGAAGATGTCATAGAGTGCTTGTGATAACTTTTGTTACTGCCAGTGTGCTTCTTGCATTAAGTCACGGCACTTTTTAGCGTTTTTTATTATTCATTAATGTTGAAAATCATTGTTCACTTTTGGGACAACGATAATATAAATTTGTTAATCTATTATTGTTTCTCCCTTTAAGTTTGGATGTGTTCGTGTCAGCGTGTGTTACCGCTTGTATATGACTTACATATTTAAAATTGTTAGTAAATTAGTAATATTTCTATTAGTCAGAGATAGAATTATATGTATGTAAAAATTAAAATAGACCACAATTTATTACTGGAGCGATGATGAAAAATTATTCATGATAATGAATTCAGGTATAAATTAGAAAATATGACGTTGCCTAAAATTAAACAGAGTGACTTTGTCAATAATCAATCTCTAATTTTTGACGTAACTAAAACACTATATCAAAACAATATAAATAATATAATATCAAATATCGTTGTTTACTACATGTTTTAAAGTGTTTACATATTAAAGATTTGAAATATGGGGTTGATTACATTGAGTGTACAAACATCAACAGGTGAGTGAAACGTACATACTTGGTTTGTATTGGTTTGCCCACATGTGTGTGATACATTTCTAATGTCCCCATTTACTTTGTTAGATAAAATAATTTTTACTTTTTTAAATGTTAGTGAATCCTTTGACATACTTAAACATTTAACTATTAACCATTTTACAGATATTTCTCATGACTATTGCATTCACATAACAAGGTATGTTCGTGTTCTGAAGCTTAGAGCCCATAAGAAAATCAAGCTTTTAACGAACGCAGCACATGTATTAAGGTACATAAACACAGAAAAAGGTTTCCGTGGCCAAGTGGTTGCAAACCACTTGTCCATCATCGCAGTGGGTTCGAATCCCGACAGGGACATAAGATTCTTTCATGTGAGGAAGCTATGCGGGTGGCTTACGGAACGTCGGTGGTTCTACTCAGGTGCCCGTCAGTGCCTGAAATAAAGCACAGAAGGGCATCCGAGGTCTTCCTTCAACAGTAAAGCTGGAAAGTCGCCATACGACATAATCTGTGTTGATGCGATGTTAAACCAACCAACCAACCAACCAACCAACCAACCAACCAACCAACCAACCAACCAACCAACCAACCAGATTGGCATTCAGAGTTATGAACAGTTACAACATAAAGGTGTTATTAGGATGAGAAGAAAATACTTGCCAGAAAACTTTGTTTCCAGATCTTGATGGGTATGAATTCAACGATCTAACAAAATGAACTGAAGTGGTTTTTACTGCAATTAAGATGCATTTAGTACGGTGGAAATCTAATTATATAAATTGTCAACATGTTTAAAGAATGTAGATACAATATATTCATAACTTGTATACAGCAATTAATTTTAAGACTGTAACCAAGTTTTATGATTTTGGTAATACTCGGCCTTATTACAACTACAAAATGTATATCAAAATCGCAAAACAAGATTTGTTGCTGATATTCAACATCGCATATTGGAACCAAAACTTCATATTTAAGTAGCTTTAAAGTTTTTCAATAACGTTCTTTCTTAAAAAGAAATAAGAATGAGGCACCTTAAAAACCTATGACCTAAATAAGATGGCATGTCATTTTAATTGCCCAACAATTATATAAATCATGTCAAGAGTTGACTAATATAAAAAATGTTTTCGAATGTTTATTTCATTTTAACCAAACGTTTTTAATCATCATTCATCACGAGAAAAAATATAAAAATGACGCATTTAAAATAGAAAAGAAAAATTGGGAACAATTAAAATAAGCTCTTTGGAGAATATTTGAATTACTCACGTGTCCGTTTCCTGGAACTAATCAGGAATATTGTCATATAAGAAATCATGGTCGTGACCCCCCCCCTGCACCGCCTCACAAACAAGTTTTGAATAAAATTGACTAAAAGTAGCTTTTTATGGTACGTTAAACGTTTAAAAAGATAAAAAGAATGAATAAAGATAAAGAACCCCACAAAAACAGAACAAAACAACGCACACACACGCAGGCACGCGTGCACACGTTATTTTTTTTTTCAAAAATTTGCAAACAATCCTCATAAAATTACTTTTGGAAATAAACATATTTACGATTTTTCAACTCTATAAATTCCATCAATTATCAAAAGTATTTGGAACTGTATCCACGTGGTGCTTTAAACACATGTTTAGATTAATATATACGTATTCAATATGTTATCTCTTGCGTTGAAAGAATGAGACATATACATTGCTTCAGAGATTTCAATACCTATCAAACAATAATGCCTTATCATACAAATATTATATTGAAATGAAAAAGATAAGCAGAAGAAAGATCCCAAATTTTTGAAAGAATTACAACGCATAGCATTTTCATAACCAATATAATATGAACAAAACATTTTTTATTTACGTTTCAAATAATGGTTTGAGCCCCAAGTCGTGCACATCACTTTTCGGTATTCCTGATATTACATTAAAGCACTGAAAAAGCATTTTATGTAAGGTGAAAAGATTCCCATAACACATCGAAATGGATAACTTCAATATCACATTGGATGTAATGAATTACGAAATATTGTTTTAAACTTTGTTTCCTTTATTTCTTTAAATAACAAAACAATGAAAAACAAGCAAGTAAAATTAAATACAACGGTAAACATTCTACAAAGAAAACAACAACAACCAATCACATATCACATATTACAATTCTTATATATATTTGAAAACATCATGCCGTTGGTACCCTCTCAAGCACCGGGTACTGTAGAATTTAGTAGTTAAAGATTGTCTCTATCAAATAGGCAGGCATGTGTTTAAATGTGAAAAGAGAGTAAATGAATATCATTTTTGTCAAATTAGGATGCCTGCTCCGAAACGTCTAATAATGTGAAGATTGTGTGCGATAATAGAACTAAGAATCTAGATTAGGGTGTTCGAAACTAGAATATTGGCAGCTGTTGATCTTTCTTTAATTAATTATCAGATCGAAGATTCTGTTCACTACCATTATAATGTATCCAGGCTCGACAAAATGCATTAAAAACATATAAAGTTCTGAATGTACTTGTTTTCGAATTGAATTTCATACAGATCATATTTATACGAATCTTTTAAATATTATGCATACTTTCACTGTCATCTTACAACCGAAATCGCAAAAGAGGTTCTCAATTTCATGTTTTACATGTCACCTACTTTCTAAAGAAGACAGAATCAAATTTGGGAAATCCGATCAGAACGTTAAAGTCCTTTTCGCCATACAAAATTATTTGTTTCCTTCAGGAAATGTTTATGCTATTATAAACGAGTCTGTAGCTAACAATCATTCATCTTGCTAAATCAGTTTCTAAAAAACAGTCTTATATCCCGTCCGAATTCTCAATTGAATCTTTCACATTACTCATTTTGGAATTCGATATTCTATTATCATT